ACTTACCACAATTTGTGTTTAGAAATAAATGATAAATTGTAGAAATAGTTTAAGAGAAAATTGAACATCAACACAGACACAAACAAACAGAGTATATATTTCCGGTCAAATTATCAAACAAAAATGATAATAATGACGATGATAATAATCACAATATATATGAATGAACTTTTGTGGCCGGTTTTTATTATTATTATTATTTTGTAAAGAAACAAATTATCATCAAATTCAGGATATAGTTGAATGTTGTTGTTGTTGTTGTCGTTGACAATAATGTTGATGATCCAACATTATCATCATCATTAATAATGTTGTTGTTGTTGATGATGATTGAAACTTTGTACAATTATCAATGCTAATTTCCATCATCATCATCATAATGACAATGATCTATTCATTTGGTACAACAAAAAAAAAAACTTGAAAAAATTTTCAATTCAATTTTTGAAAAATTGTTGTTGTTGTTGTTGTTGTTGTAACACACATATCAACAACAACAACAACAGATAATAGTAAAAAGATGAAGAAGATTTTGTCAATATCGTTGAAATATTGATGTCAATGATGAAATAAACACACAAACAAACTATTTAAAAAAATCGATTGATCCAGATATATGTTTGGAATGGAACAAATGATAAACACTATTTTGCATCGATAAATGGTGATGTAATTTTGTTAAAAAATTGTTAAAAAATTTTAAAAAAACATCACGAGGAAACTAGAAATTAAGCAAGAATAGATCGATAAAACGATTGTGGTTAAATAATCTCAATTTACAGGAGAAAAAAACAAGCTCAAATTGACCGGAAAAAAACACTAATCAGGCAGTAATTTGTTATTATATAATCGAAGATAATATGATGATGATGATTTAGATCAATAGAAACAAACGAAAAGAGAAAAAATTCTTTGAAAATTGATCCGGATCTATTAGATATTTCTATGGGCGAAATAAGATTTTCGTTTTTCTGTTTTTGATGATCAAAAAAAAAATGTTATTATGGTGGTCGTTTTTTTCTGACTAGAAATAAGGATGATCAATTGATGAAATTTAACGTAGACAAAACAATAGACAAAAACCAAACTAAAAATAGCCAAAACAAAACACCGGATTACTTTGATCAATCAATAAAATTTTTGTTTTTTCAATTTGATGATGATGGTGGTTTCCTGGGTTTAATCATCCATCAATATCGATGATATTTTTCCGTTGTTTTTTTGTTTGGTTGTTGTTGTCGTTATTGCTCAAATCAAAATGATTGAATGGGAAAATCATGAAAATCATTCAATTTATATACCATCATCATATCTAAACTTTTGTTTTGTTTTGTTTCTATTTTAATTATTACGACATATTTTTTTAATCATAATAATCGTCGTAGTTTGATTTAAATTAAATAAACTAAACACACACAAATGATGACTAATTAACAATTTGTGTTAAAGGATTTTGATCTTTTTCGAGGAAAACGATGACGATAATCAAACGATGGAATACATCTACGCACACATTCGAAGAGAGTGTTGACAGAAATTTGAATTGAAAAACTTTTTTTTGGGAAAATGGAGGGTGAGGTTTTGAATGATTTTTTGTTTGTTGAATTTTCAAATAAAATATTCACATGCAAGTTTTGCTGATGGTGATGATGAGGAATTTTTTTGCTGGTTGCTTTCTTCTTCCTATTTTTTCCTTGTTTTGCATTGGATCACAATCAAAAATAATAATAATAATAATCAAAGGGGGTAATTGGATATTATATGGATGTATTTTTTACAGATTTTTTTTTGTTGTTGTTGTTGTTTAAAAATAATGCACATACATTTATAAATGAGAACAAACAAGAGAGATCAATGGTTTTGTTTTTTCTGTGCAGCTGAATGGATGGATCCCCGAAAAAAAAACGATGATGATGATCGTTGACGCCAAAAAAAAACTGATACTGGATTCTTTTTCTTTTCTTTTTTTGAAGAAGAAGACGACGACCGATCGACCGACGACGTTATACACATCACACAGATGTAGTTGGATATTTTTTTTTCTGGGGGTTTTTAATTTCCGAATGGTAGTGGTATTTCTTTTGGGTTTTTTTTTCTGGTGTAGCAGATAAAAACCGAATTTTTTCTTTCATTTATTGAATAAAAAGATTTTTCGTTCGTAATTTTTGTTGGATACCACGACGACGACGACGACAAATGATAAACAATGATAATTGTATGAATGATGATGAAAACGACAAAACAAAACAAAAAATTGAACGAACAACCTTAACGAAATATTCGAATTGTAGAAGCATAGATAAAGGTGGACACTAGGCCATCGCGCATGTTGGATAGGATCCATATTCTCACAAAGGATACACAATCCCTTGCATCATCCAAAAAAAAAAAACGGTAGTGGTAGTTTGTTCGTAAAAAAAAAACAAAATCCATTCTATTACATCACATGCTGCTATCATTTTATTTCCTCTTTCTCTTTGTATCTCTAAATGGGGAAAAAATCGTCTGTTTTTTGTTTCTGTTACCTGTTTCAAAAAGTCAATGAGGAGGAGGAGGATATCTCTGGGTCGTGTTTTAAACAAAACAATATGCGCATGTTCTATTCGTAAAAAAAACTTGTCTTTTTTTGTTTTTTGTTTTTTGTTTTTGTCAAAATACTCATACATTTTTTATTTTATTTTACTGGTCTTCGACCTGGTTCTTCAATGGTTTGAATCATTTCATCTTTTAATAATCATCATCATCATCATATGAATAAAATAGAAGCATCATTGAATCCTGCTACTATCTTTTTCCTCTCTTCTATATTTTTTGTGTGTTCGGGTATTTTATTTTCATTTTGTTAGGTTGCCCGGTTGTTGTTGAATCAATGTTGATGTTGTTGATGATGATGATGATGATGTCCTTAACATCACATCACGTACATTTATAAAATCTTTACCAACCAGTTTTTTTCCAGATTCAGGGGAGAGAAAATTCTTCCTTATTATTAATATCACAACCATCCATCCCTATTTAGACTGAACAGAAAACATATGAATTGTTTTTTTTCTGGTTGTTGTTTTGTTAAAATATTGTTTAATTCTTCGATGGATTGATCTCTATGATTTTTTTCCAAATAACAAACAACAGACATGATTAGCATTCATTTCCGCTTCGTTTTTTTAGTCTGCCATTCGATTCTTTCACATAATAATGTTTTCATGAATGATCAAACATTAACACACCAACACCAGAAACCCTCATAGAACAATGACCCAATCGAACCGGATGTTAATGAACTCTTCTTCTTGTTGTTGTATAGGTTTATTGTCATTCTTGTCATTTTCATTGATTTTAAACCAGAAAAACTGACAGTTTTATTGTAGGTGGTATCATCCGTACGATCACCTTATATCAATTTTTGTATATGTAGTCATAATGATAATGATGTTAAACAAACAAAATAATTTAACCATAAGAATCCATTATCCATTCAAGAATTTCATAATCGAAATGATTGGATCTATTAAATCAAAACAACAGAAATATATTGAATTGATCATTGAGAATATGATTATCCTGGGTTAACACACCCTATTTTCGAAAGAATTTCATACAGGCGACACATTCCAAAAAAAAAGTTATATGAAATGAATCGATGAATTTGGGACCCAGATTTTCTATGTTTCTGGTGTTATTGCGTAAGATGATCCAAAATTCTCTTCCGCATTTTTGCATCTACATCTCTGTATATGAACTCTGGGCACAGATTTATGGACATTAAAATGAACAAACTGCTGCTGGCAGCTATTTTATGATGGAAAAGTTCTCGATTCTATATACAAAACAAAAAATGAATGAAATTCTTCTTCTTTCGAGTTCAACACATTTATATAGTTTCAATTGGAAGTTTCCAAAGTTCATTCGATAAATCTTAACGAAGCTTTTTCTGGATCAAATGGAAATGCACAACAACAACAGCAACAACAAATCCGTCCATGTAAATAGCGAATGAATGGCGGGTAAATTGAATTTGATATTTAAATTTTTTGCTAAAATCGGTGCTACCATCTAATGTTTGAAATTTTAGTTTAATAATGAAGTAATGGAATGTTTTCGATACGTCCTTTTCGACGATGACCAATTAAAAATTCGATATGATTTTTTGTTTTCTGTCAATTTTCAGAAACAACAACATTTTTATCAAAATCGAAAAAAAAACACCTATAGATTTTTTTTGGTTTGTTTTTAATCAAATTCATTTCATTTCATAATAAATCAACGAACATTTCATATTTTAAAAAATGGTATGTTTTTTTGTTCAAAAAAACTTTTGTCCAATATCTTAATCAATTTGTTTGTTTTTTGAATAGCTTGTACTTGTAATCGGTGATTTTCATATTCCATATCGTAAACATAGTTTACCAAGTAAATTTAAAAAATTACTCATTCCTGGCCGTATTCAACATATACTTTGTACNTGGTGTTATTGCGTAAGATGATCCAAAATTCTCTTCCGCATTTTTGCATCTACATATACATATGAACTCTGGGCACAGATTTATATGGACATAAAATGAACAAACTGCTGCTGCTGGCTGCTATTTTATGATGAAAAAGTTCTCGTTTCTATATACAAAACAAAAAATGAATGAAATTCTTCTTCATCGAGTTCAACATATTTATATAGTTTCAATTGGAAGTTTCAAAAGTTCATTCGATAAATCTTGACGAAGCTTCTTCTGGATCAAATGGAAATGCACAACAAATCCGTCCATATAATTGGCGGGTAAATTGAATTTGATATTAAAATTTTTTTTGATAAGATCAGTGCTACCATCTAACGTTTGAAATTTCAGTTTAATGATGAAGTAATGGAATGTTTTTGAATACGTCCTTTTCGACGATGACCAATTAAAAATTCGATATGATTTTTTTGTTCTGTCAATTTTCAGAAACAACAACATTTTATCAAAATCGAGAGAAAAACACCTATAGATTTTTTTTTTTGGTTTGTTTTTAATCAAATTCATTTCATTTCATAATAATAAATCAACGAACATTTCATATTTTAAAAAATGGTATGTTTTTCGTTCGAAAAAAAAACTTTTGTCCAATATTTTAATCAATTTTTGTTTGTTTGCTTTTTTTTTGTTGAATAGCTTGTACTTGTAATCGGTGATTTTCATATTCCATATCGTAAACATAGTTTACCAAGTAAATTTAAAAAATTACTCATTCCTGGCCGTATTCAACATATACTTTGTACCGGTAATCTTTGTACAAAAGAATCATATGATTATTTAAAAACATTGGCAACCGATATTCATATTGTTAAAGGAGAATTTGATGATGTAAAATTTTGATTTGAAAAAATTGTTGAATTTATTTTCTAAAAAAAAAAATTTTTTTTCTTTCTTCTTTTCAGAGTAATTATCCGGATAAAAAAGTAATCACTATTGGTCAATTTAGTATTGGTCTTTGTCATGGCCATCAAATTGTACCATGGGGTGATGATGAAAGTTTAGCAATGATACAACGTGAACTTGAAGTTGATATATTAATCAGTGGCCATACACATAAATTTAATGCATTCGAAAAAGATGGAAAATTTTTTATCAATCCTGGATCGGCAACCGGTGCCTATTCATCATTGGAAGATAATATTATACCATCATTTGTATTGATGGATATACAATCAACAACTGTTGTCAATTATGTTTATCAATTAATCGGTAATGAAGTTAAAGTTGAACGTACTGAATATAAAAAAAATTAAATCAAAAATCAAACGAATCCAACAAATCAATCCGTTTTGTGTGTGTGTGCATTATCATTATTCCAAAATAATTAAAAAAAGAAAAATTTTATATCCAAAAAAAAGATGTTATCAATGAAATAAATCAATTTTTTTTCTCTTAAAATCATATTTATTAATCATTTCATTTCATTTTTTGTCAAATGACGATAACAGCAAAAAAAAGAAGAAAAATTAATGAGAAAGAAAGTTCGGTTTTACATGGCTTGTTTGACATTTTAAAGTTTTTTTTTTTGAATTTTCTAACCAGTGTATTAAAAGATTTTTAGTGTCAAGTATGTGTGTGCGGGTGTTAAATTTTTTTGTTTCAAAGAAGATTCTCTCTTTAAGCTAAACCACGTTTTTTCATTTCATCCAATAATGATGAACCCATTTGTGCTGGTGATCGTGTAACACGTACACCGGCATTTTCTAATGCATCAATTTTATCCTGTGCACCACCTTTACCACCGGCAATAATTGCACCAGCATGACCCATACGACGTCCAGGTGGTGCTGTTAAACCGGCTATAAATGATACAACAGGTTTACCATTCGGACCAGAATTATTATTCTTAAGATATTCGGCTGCTAATTCTTCAGCATTACCACCAATTTCTCCAATTAAAATTATTCCTAATGAAATCATTTTTTTTTTTGTTAAAAATCAAAATTTATCAATAATAAAACAAACCTTTTGTTTCAGGATCATTCAAAAAAATTTCCAAACAATCAATAAAATCAGTACCATTAAATGGATCACCACCAATACCAACACAAAGTGATTGACCTAAACCAACTTCGGTTGTTTGATGTACAGCTTCATAGGTTAATGTACCGGATCTTGATACGATACCAATTTTTCCCGGTGTATGAATATGACCGGGCATTATACCGATTTTACATTCACCCGGTTTTATAATACCCGGACAATTTGGACCAATTAAACGTGATTTATTTTGTCTTACTAAACGATGTTTAACTTTAACCATATCCAATTGAGGAATGCCTTCGGTAATGCATACAATTAATGGTATTTCAGCATCTAATGCTTCCATAATAGCGGCTGCAGCACCAGGTGCCGGTACATAGATGACTGTTGCATCAGCATCTGTTTTATCACGTGCCTAATTATTCATTATCATTAGTATTTTTAAGAAGAAAAAACAAATGAATAAAATTCAACAGTTGCATACTTCTTTAACTGTTTTGAATACAGGTAAATCTAAATGAATTTGACCAGCTTTACCTGGTGATACACCACCAACCATTTTTGTTCCATATTCAATAGCTTGTTTTGAATGAAATGTACCTTGTTTACCAGTAAAACCTTGACAAATAACTTTTGTATGTGAACCAATTTTCAATGAATTACGTGTTGATGTATAATCCGTACGTATAATTTGATGATTAAATGAATTTGTTTTGATTGATATTAATCTTGACACTGGAATTTTAAAAAATTATAACCAATTAAAATCAATTTTGTTTTTCATACAAACACAAATAATTTACCCGATAATTGTCGAAGAATGTTATTTACTTGAAAAACCATTTTTTTATGATTTTTAAAAAATTTTTATTTTATGAGAGAGAGAATCAACAACCAAGAAAAAAAGGGCAGTATAAAATTCAGTCAACGAAATTTTATTTTATTTTTTGCTCATAAATTATCCCAATGATATTATTATTATTTTCTTTTCATATACACGTTACGATTGATTTATAGAATGAATGTTGGATGAGGTCGAGATTTCAACGACAACAACAACAACAACAATAATAATGATAATTACACCGTAAATATATCACACAAATATATTTACCACCACCCTCAATGGATAATGAATGTTTTAAATGAATTTAAATGAAAACTTATTCGAATTTTACAGATAACGTTTTTATATCGCACATCAATCACACATCAATATCAGTTACATGTAAATAAAAAATTTAGTGGTTTTTTTCTGGATGCATTTGTACTTGCAAAGATTTTTTCTTTTTCTTTTTTTGCTGTGAATGAATGAATGAGAATGGAATATAAGATTTATCAATGTTGAACCAGCTGTATTTCTAATGCGATTGCGTCAAATATTAACGCTCAAATATCACGTTTTTTTTCAATTTCGCAGCGATTCTTTTTCATAGATTTTGTTTTGTTTTTTTGTTTTTTTGATTTTAAAATTCAATTTAATTCATTATTCTGAACTGATGCTCAATCAATCGATCGATGTAATTAATTAATCCATCTGATTGATTGATTGAAAAATATTGTTTGTTTGTTTTTGTTGTTCGGAAACAAAAAAAGAATTGCAAGCAAATTTCGATAAATGATTAAATCCATTGGACCAAAATCTAAATGTTGATGACGATTATTTAATCAATCGATTTTTCGAATTTCCGGAATTTTGTTTGTTTTTTTTTCTCGGACAAAATTTCCAACAATAATCTAATCTTCAGTAACGTTGTGTTTGAATGAATTTTGAAAATTTAAATTTTTATCAACCAAAAGCCCAACTATTATACTACCACTGCTACTACTGCCACCCATTTTTTTTTTGGTTTTTGGCTTTTAGCCTGAACGTTGATGATTGGGTTAGAAGCCGTTGAAGAAGCTGCAGCGCCAAATTTTTCTGTTCACAATTGTTTTAGCGCGCTAACAACACAACAACCATCGAAATCAATCGTCAAACATATACCAGATTTTCAATCATCAAACATCGAATATTTCGATAATCATAATTTAATCTTTTTTCTTCTTCAATCATCATCATCATCATCGATTGATTGATTAATTGCTCGGTGGTTGTTGTTGTTGTTGTTGTTGTAATTATCGTCGGTGATGGTGGTGGTGGTTGACCAGATTTCTAATTGTTTTTTTTTCGTTGAATTAATTAACAAAAAGTATCATTTTTGAAAAACGTAAATTCTATCGATATCTCTTTTCGCAAACAAAAAAATGGATGAATCAATGATGAGTATCGAATTAAATCAAAGTATTGATGATCATTTTGATGATGATGATTTTATACAAGAAACATTAAATGTATCGATGAATAATAATTCAACAAACGTTGAATTTAAACTGCCATCACCTGTATCCGAATTAATCACTAATGTAACATTACCCAAATGTCGTCTTGATTTTAATGTTTCCGATATTGATACACCAAGAAATAGTTCAACTGTTGCACGTAATCGAAAACGACGAAATTTTACTCGTCGTTGTCTTTCTACCGATTTGAATGGCGATCATAATAATATGGTTTGGTTTAAATCAAAACATTCTTTATATACTAATTATCAATTGTTTCTTTTCTTTAGTCGGATCAAATGTCTTTTCAGGAATTTCGTTTTACCAAAGAAACAACACCAGCCAAAACATCAATAAATGAATTTAAAAGTCCAGTATTATCATCAATTCAGAATATAATATCACCACGTACAACACCTAAATATAATCTTATAACATTGGAATTGACACCAGAATTTAATAATATTAAACCATCATCATCAACGATAAAATCATTTGATGAAAATGATTTAATACCAAAAGCTAAATGTATTAAATCTTCATCAATAAAAACATTGAACAGCAGTAATAATAGTAATAATAATAATGGTGGACCAAATGTACCAATACAAAAATATTTTAGCGAAAATCATGCATCAATAATGCGTGCCGTACAATTATCATCAAGTGATTCAACATTAATCGGTGATTTTAGCCGTACATATGCATTACCATTGATACAAAATTCAAAACATCAAGATCTTCGTTCAATTGATTGTCATGTATTAGCTAATCTTTTACAAAATCAACAATATATGGAAAAAATACGTTCATTTACAATAATTGATTGCCGTTATCCATATGAATATGATGGTGGCCATATACGAACTGCAATTAATCTTTATACACAAGAACATATTATAAATCGTTTTATTAAAACTAAACCTAAAGAAGCTGATTGTTTTAATAATAGCGATGATGATGATGATAAACAATCATCTAATGATAAACGTGATATATTAATATTTCATTGTGAATTTTCATCCGAACGTGGTCCAAGTTTGTAAGTTTCTATTTGCAAAAAAAAATTCTTTTCGTAAAAATTAATCAGAAATTGTTATTCAATATTTGAATAGATGTCGTTTTCTTCGTAACAAAGATCGTGTTAAAAATAGCCGTGTTTATCCAAATTTACATTATCCAGAAATTTATCTACTTGAAGGTGGTTATAAAGAATTTTATCAACATTATTCGGTTAGTATTTTCTTAAAGCTTTTTTTAATTTATTTTTTCACTGTTATAATTTTTTTTCTACAACAAAAAAATAACCTATAGAATCTATGTGAACCATGTTCATATCAACCAATGCATTCGAAAAATCATGAAGAAGATTTGAAAAAATTTCGTACCATTTGTAAAAGTTTAGATTATAAATATTCTACACGAAAACGTAATTTACGTCTTTAATTTGCAATCAATAATGATCGATGGATGGATGGATGGTTACACTTAAACCCCCCCACTTTTAATCTCTTTGTATACGATGAAAATCAAATGAATATATTTTTACCCATTTTTGGCGAATCAAACCCACCATAAACAGTACAATGAAAAATATTTATTTTTCTTTTCATCAGAATTTCAATTTTTCTGATCATATCTCATCTGATACCACCTTTGATTATGTTCTTTATTTCAATTTTTTTTCCTTATACTTTCTCTTGCACTCATTTTGTTCTCATTTTTTTTGTGTGATTCAAAAAAAACGATCAATCCAATTTGCCGGGAAAAAAACTTACCGATATTCGATTGATTGTTCGTTACATTGAATTTTATTTGGCTTTAATAATTTTCTAAAATATTTTCTAACCCAAAAAATTTCTTTTGTTTATTTCGATCAATAATTCTCTGCATCTATTTTTTATGTTTTTGAGAAAAATTTTTCTTTTGATTTTTGTATTGAAAAACAACTAATAAGATAAGAGAATTATAAAATAATAATAATTTTAAAAAACTTCAAAATTCAACCTTTATTTACAAATTATTTCATATTAAAAAAAAATTTCACAATTGGAAATTAATTGGAAAAGAAAAAAATATTTAACAAAGATTTTTTTTAAGAAAAACAATGGAATTTTTTTTTCACTGATCGTTCGTGATGTTGATGATGATCAATAAAGCATGATTAAACCTTCCGGATGTTCATCATTACGATTTGATCGTCGTTCATTACAACGATGACGTCCATTACAATTTGATCTTTTTGTTGAATGATTTTCAATCATTGTTGTACCATAATAAATGATAAATATATTGATTAAATGTAAACCAATAGCAATAATAATAACATAATAGCTAAAACTTAATGATGTACGATTCAATGATGTCCAACCATCCTGTTGTTCATCATCGGTCATAACATTTTTGATTAATCTGGTTTGATATTGTATTAACCATGTGATTGCGGCAAATGTACAGAATAAACCTATTTTTTTGTGTTAGAAAAAAAATTAGAGAAAATGAAAAAACCCGATCAAAATAAGATAAAATCATCATTTGATAATTTGATTTATGATACTATTATTTGATCAATCGATTTGGTTAATATCGATTGAAATGTCAAATTTGAAAAATGCGATTTGATCATCATCATCAACATCATTTCACGAAAATAAAATTTGTTACTTTTTTTTCTTGAAAATAAAACTTACTTGCCAATGCATTCCATAAATATAAACCTTGTACACCTGTAATAGTTTCAATAGGCGTCATCACTGTATTTATAATTGAAAATATGGCAGCAACCAAACCAAATATCATTGCAATTGAAATGGATAATATTGTCAATAACCATAATGTAAATGACATTAGATTTGGATTACGAAGCATTTCTTGTTTTACTATACAGTTTGAAAGTTTTTTGAAAGAAAAAAATAAAAATAAAAATTGTTAATTTTAAAATTTGAATAAAAAATTGGTCAAATTTTTTGTTTGGAAAAAAATCCCTTGAAAACAAAAATATCGATTTCGTGATCATTTTTGTAACCACAAAACAAAACAGAAAAACATGATTATGATATGTGTAATCGATTGATGATGAACATAATCTTGATGATGATTATCATTACAGTAAGTAAGTGTTGCTGTCATGATTTTGACCATCATCCAACAATCAACAATAATCTATCATTGAACATGTGATATGAATGAATAAAACACAAACAAACAAACAATCATTGATAATAATCTGCATGTTTTTTTAATTTAAATTTTGAAATTTGAATTTTAAAAAACAACAAACAAACAAACAAACAAACTTACACCAAATAATTGTTGTACGATCACCAAGACCATAATTTAAAACTTTTGTACCTTGAAATAGGCCAAAATAGACAAAACCACGAAATTTTTTCGGTAATTCCAGATCGATTGATTGTTGTTTTTGCTGTTGTTGTTGTTGTTGTTGTTGTTGTTGTTGATCACCACCAACATTATTATCAATAAAATAATCATTCAATTGAAATAATGTTGATGAATTTAATGATATTAAACGTATTGGATATGCTATAATCCAACGATGTGTTGCTAATGATATTGTTAACAATGCTAAACATGTTGTACAAATGAAAAATGTTAAAAATATATAGATACGTTTACGTTGTTCCATTTCTTTCTCTCAACTTCTTGTGTTATGTTTGTTGATCTTTGGCTGAATTGAAAATAAAAAACTTGACCAAAAATTTTCATTGATCACCGATGATGATGATGATGATGATGGTAATCATCAATATATTATTCAAAATGTTTAACAAAATCATTTTCCAAATTGGATGTTTATGAATCAACACACAAACACACACACACACACACACAAGAACCGTTTGAATTGATTCTTGAAATCAAAATGATTTCAATGTTGTCGTTGTTGTTGCTCTATTGATCATTATTATTATTATTATTGTTAGATATCAATGCAAAAAACAAACAAACAAACAAAAAATCAAAGTCATTTTGTTGTTGTTGTTGTTGACCATCTTGATGATCATGATGTTTGGTGGTGGTGGTCAATTTCATTGTCTCTTTGTTTAATAAGTTTTTCTTTTCTTTTCGTCGTTCGACACATTCAAGCAATACAAATTTAACACATTTTTCATAGACGATTCAGAAAAAAAGGCCAGGTGTTTTTCTTCTTCTTCGTCGTCGACAAACAACAGCAACAACAAATTATCAGCCACAAAGAATATTGAAACAAGAAAAACAACAACCCAGTAGCAGATGTGATATGTTATTCGTTTCACTTTAAACCAAATAAATAAAATCTGATGCAGATTGGCAAAAAATAATAATAATAATCAAATTTTGAATAACAACAACAACAACCTGGTCGAGTTTTATCATCTCTCTCTCTCTCTCTCTCTCTCTCTCTCTCTCTCTATTTCGTTGATTAATCGACAATCTTTGGTGTCTATTATTTTTTCATCTAATTTAATATAATTATGTCTACTGCTGGCAAAATATTCATTTCAAATTGAGAAAAAAAGAAATGAAGAAAAGAAAATATGCGCCCACTATATCATCACCACCACCACAACAAATATCAAAACAACCGAAGCAAAAATACAATCACCTTTACCGAAGAACAATGTTTCAGTTGAATTGAATTGAACAACAACAGCGAAAACAAGAAATGAAATGAATTTCATTCTTTAACAGAGGAAAAAAATGGATGGATGCATGGATGGATGGATAGGTTGATCTTTTTCTCTCTACACTTCTTTTTTTTCCTGTTCTATACAAACGGTATACACAATCCAATGAGAAAAAAACTAGATATTCAGCCTGTTGTTGTTCAAATTGATTTTATTAAAAGTGGCAACAAACGAAAAATGAATTATTTTCATTCAAATTTCCATCCATTCATTTATTCTCTCTCTCTGTCTCTGTCGGTTTTGTTTTGTAAATTTTTTTATTATTATCATTACTTTGGGTATGAAATTTTGGATTTTTTCACTTCTCCACACACACACTTATCATCATCATCGGATTGTTTGAAAAAGAGACCAGAGCAAAATGGGTATTAGCTTTTTTCGCTTCTTTTACATTGAATAATCAAATGATGATGATGATGATGATAATGAAAAATTATTTAAACAAAAAAAAAATCATCCTCATTAAATGATGATTAAATACTTCGTTTAAGTCTTTTTTTTGTTTTAAAGCCATTCTTAACATACCAAAAGATCATCATCATCATTTGAAATGAATGGATGATTTTTTTTTTCATTTGATGGTCGATGGTTATTCGGTCGGTCGTTCATTTTTTTTTTTTTTTTGGTCGTGCTTCAATGCTATTCGCATTATATACAAATGGGTAAAATGGCTTTTATCCATTATTATTTTTCGCCTAATTCAATATGAATTCGGTATGTATGTATGTGTGATGTCAATGATATTTTTCATTCATTCATTCATTTCATTTCCTATTGAAATATGATGATCCAGTTTTGTTTGGAAAAAATGATAACAAAATCATTGTGAATGAATGAATGAATGAATGAATGAATGTGTGGTGCTGTCAATCTATTTCTTTGTTGTTTGGTAGTCTTTTTCATTGTTATTTTTTTTTGAGTAATTATAATAAATAATAATCACTAATTATAAATTATAATTATGAGGATTTTGGGTTTTGTTTTTCTTTTTTCTTGTTCACTTGATTCATTTAATTAATGATTTTTTTTTCGAGTATTGATATATAGTTTTTGTTTTTTTTGATTGTAAATGCCGAAGAGATTTTTAATGTGAATGTTTTTTTCAAAAAATGCCAGTTTTACATTATGGGCAACTAGATGGCGTTCATAGATAAAGAAATTTCTTTTCAAAATTCTTGTTTCGAAATTTTGTTGTGGAGAAAATTTGATTTGATTTTTAGCGTTTTAAACAGAATGAACGGAATTGAATTGAGACATCATTATTTTCCCAAGAATTTCTTTTTTTGTTGCAAATCTTTTTTTTCTTGGAGAGATAAGTGTTAACAGATCATACTTAAAAATCAACTTGAATTTCTATGTCCTATTTTATATTTAGATCTTTTCATTCATTCATTCATTCATTCATTCCGGTTTATACAGGTATTTCTATCTTTAATCCATCCAATTTAAAATGTTTGAGTGCCAAGAAAAACAAACAAACAAATAACAAATAACAACAACAGAAAACGAAAACGAAAACCATTTTTGTTCACAAAAAAAAAAATATAATTGCAATCTATTGATTTGAAATAGAGAGAGATTGATTGATTGATTGATTGATTGGATGAGCTTATAACAAACTTTTTTTCTTTTTTTTTATCTTTCCAACGACAACTGTCAAACAACATCGGCATTGACAACGACGAAAAACAAACAACAGCAATTAATCACAGATTAATGATATCACAACTGAACTGAAAAAAACAAAACAAAACAAAAAAAGTTTTTATTTGCAATTTTTATGGAGAAAAACCAAAAAAAAGAAGAGTACAGTTGATAATGATCAAAAAATACTAACAAAAAAAAAAGTTTTATCTAGAATCTAGATAATCAAATGAAATGAAATCCGAAAATAATAATAATAAACCGGAATTTTTTCGGGGAGAAAACACCCGGGATACAAAATCCAAAATGAATGAATGAATGAATTCCAAATGGAATTTTTTTTTCTGGATACTTGGCCAATCAAAAGAAAAAAAAAATTTGTGATTCTATTTGGATGCTAACATATAAATATTTTTTGTTATAAATAACCAAAATGATGGAAAATGTTTCTGATAATCAATGTTTCATTGATTAAAATATATGAAATTCCATTTTTTTTTGTTTTTACTTTCAAATAATGACATTGATTCTTGGTGGTTCTCACGGTTATCATCCCGGTTCTCCATCCATTACATAGGCTTGGCCATTGAATCTGGATTCTGGAAAACTCCAGAAAAAAAGAATCCCAGAGCTCAGCCAACCAGCCAACATCACTGGAATGGATTCCTGAAAAAAAATCTGGTACTTTAAAATATGTTATATGTTGTTTGAAAAAAAACGTTAATAAAATTTGTTGTTTAGTGGAGAGAGAGTGAGAGAGTGAAAAGAGAGAGGAAAACAAATGGAAATTTAAATGGAAATTCTTGAGAATTCTTGATTGTCATCATGTGTGTGTGTGCGTGTGTTTTTTTCGTTGTTGAAATACAAATTGAAATTCAAGAATTCAAGTTGTTTTCAACTCCGAAAAACGAAAACGAAAACGAAACTTTCAAACAGAATGGCCATTGAACAGCGAAAAACTGGAAAAATTTTTCGTCTTTTAAAATACAGCATTTAATTTAATCAAAAAAAATTGAAAAAATTCATTTTCAATAACCCTTATATATGTGATCAATTCTCTGGAAAAAATATTTATTTTTTTTTTAAATTAAAAATTTCATTTTTAAAATCAATTTTTGTTTTTGTTCCCCTTCGACCAAAACCAACACACTGGATCCACAGAATAAAATAATTTCTTTTGAAATCGACCAGAAATTCTTTCGCTTGTGGAAATCAACGAAATGGAAAACAAAAATATTCTCACCCAAAACACCCACACATAGAAAAGGAAATTAATTCCAAAAATATCAACACCAAATTGTTACATTTTTTTGAGCAAAACCAGAAAAAAAGAAAAGAGCAACCAGAATTTCAAAAAAAAATTATCATAATAATAATAGGGTTTTTTTATGGAAAAAAATAATGAGAATTTTTTTTTTTTTTTTTTTGAAAAATTGATAAAAAAAAATGGCTTTTTTCTGAAAAGCCATAAGCCACCATCATCATCATCATATGGTTTACAGAATGAAAAAATAATGATTTTTTCCCCTTTCCCCCCATCTCACTCTATTTGATGATAACTTTTTGTTGTTGTTTTGGTTGTTGTTGTTATTTTTCGTTGTTGTTGTTGTTTTCAGTCATAATAATTATTTTTCATTCAAACAATCATTCATCACCACCGCCATCAACAACAGAATCATTATTCATTATTCTNTTGAGCGAAAACAAAAAAAAAAAAAAAAACAGAGCAACCAGAATTTCAAACCAAACAAAAAAAAATTATCATAATAATAATAGGGGTTTTTTATGGAAAAAAAAATAATGAGAATTTTTTTTTTTTTTTTTGAAAAACTGATAACAAAAATGGCTTTTCTTTGAAAAGCCATAAGCCACCATCATCATCATCATATGGTTTACAGAATAATGATTTTTTCCCCTTCCCCCCTCATCTCACTCTATTTGATGATAACTTTTTGTTGTTGTTTTGGTTGTTGTTGTTATTTTTCGTTGTTGTTGTTGTTTTCAGTCATAATAATTATTTTTCATTCAAACAATCATTCATCACCACCGCCATCAACAACAGAATCAACAGAATCATTATTCATTATTCTGGATGATGTTTATTGATTATTATTCTGATACATGTTTTACCTGATACTTTTACTTGACCAAATGACCGTATATGTTATGACTACTGAAATTCTTTTTTTTGTTGTCCATTTTTGGCTTTCAAGAATTTCTCTCATACAGAATTCTATCGGTTTTTTCATGGTTCTGTTTCATACGGTTCATCGATTCTCTTTATTCATTTCACATTTCATTAGGAAATTACTATTTGTGTGAGTGAATCGAGTTAATTTTTTTCTGGTTCGATTCATTTTTTTTTCTTTGGATTCTTCTTTTTTTTGGTCATTTCGAAAACCCAGAAAAATATTTACTTACAACTGTCAGTTTTATTGTTGACAGAATGAAAAAAAAATGGATAAGGATATATACAAAGTCACCAGCTAGCTATTCAATGTATCATCATCCTATTATTCTGTTTGTCTTTTTTTTTCATTTTGGTTGTCTATTTCGGGAATTCCCACATTGAACACATCGATGTCCATTTCATTTTTTTCGCTTTCCAATGGAATGTATCTGGTCGAATAATTCTACGCTTTTTTTTGCACACCCCCTTCTTTTATGCATGTGATTTCTGGTTATATTCGATATCGATATACCCAAAACGAAAGAAAGAAAAGATACACACTATATATAGGGTTTTTTTCCCTTGTTTGATTTTGACATATGGGATAAAATTGAAAATGGAATCGATTACATTTTCGGTAAAACAAGCCGGGGGAGGGAAAGGAAGAAAAAAAAGTGAAAAAAAAACGATTCTATCACATAGGAATCTGGATCATCATCATCATCAGCTATTTTCCGAAATGCGCCTGTGTATTCTGTATTCTTTTGTTGTTGTTGTTGTTGTTGTTGTTGGACTTTTTCATATCTCTTGTGTATTCACACACACACACAACACACTAAACAACGATTACAAATAATCAGTATTTATTGAATCGGTAAGAATTTTTCACTTTTTTTTTCTTGTCAAAGAATCTATTCCAAAAGTATGAAATTATATATTTGTTTGATTCAAAAAATCCAAAAAAATAAAAAGATTATGCGCGCTTTTTTTTATATTGAAAAAAATCGGGCATGCGCATCAACAAAAAATTTTTTTTCATCTTTGAATGCTCCACCCACTTTGTATATTTATCCAAAACATGAAGAAGAAGAAGTAGAACAGGAATAAAATGGAGGACATACACACGCATAACATATATGTACATATACGGTGTTTATGTAGAGGAAGTGGAAAAACGAGTAGGATGATCAAGAGAGAAAAACAGAAAGAAAAAAGGGAGTACCGTTTCTTTTTTTTTGTTTTCATTTCATATGTGGGTGAGTAGTAGCACGACCGACGACCATGATAAGTGGATTTCCCACATCTCCTTCCCCCTCTTCAATGAAAATAAATTCCTCAATGAGAGAGAGAGAATAAAGATGGATATTTTGTTAAAGTTTTTTTTTTCGTTTATTACTGCTGCTTGATATGATGCTCGACAAACAAGCTTTTTTTTATATATAGCTTCCTTTTGGGAAAAGAAAAAAAACTTTGAAATCTTTTTTCTTCATGTTTTGATGAGAGAGGAAAAAAAACACCACCACCACCACCACCATTGACCGTCATCGAATCAATTCGAATGTTTTTATGGTGTTATATTGTTGTTGTTGTAGTTGGCATCAAGTCTCAAAGAAAAAAGTGGTCAAAGTGGTCTTCTACTTCTTCGAATTTCATTCATCTCCTTGTTTTGTTAAGGAACTTCAATGTGTTTGAATAAGAATGAGAATGAATGAAAGAATGAAAAGTTCAATTTGGTCAAATAAAATGTTACGCTCCAAAATGATATAGATGATATCGATAAAGAGAGGGTGAGTAGTATTTACAATCTATACGATATTTGCTAGGTACCAGATCTTATATATATAGATTTCAGATAAATTCTCTATATATATAGATGCCACTACCACCATTTCCATTACTGTCATCATCATCATCATCATCATCATGGATTGATCCATACCAACACCCACTCTCATAAAAATTGTAGCAGCTATTATAATGTCCAATACCACCAATCGCAGATAATAATTCTTCAAATTGAGTCTCTCGTTTTTTATTTCTTTTTGGATCCATAGTGATCATCATCATCATAATAATCATCGACATTAAAAGTTATTGAATTTTCAGTGGATCATCATCATCATACATGAATTGATCAAGTTTTTATCCTTCAAGTTGTTTCAAATAACAACAACGATAACGACATTGAATCATCATTTGGAATCTGTTTTTAAAAAATAACAGAATTAAAAGGTTCCAATTGAGACAAAATTCATCTTTTTTTCATTTCTTCATTCATCAACCCATCCCCTACCAATCATCATCATCATCCATAAGTGATAAGATTCATTTTGTTTTTTTTTGTTGCTGTTATTGGTGGTGAATTGAAATCAACGACCAAAAAATGAAATTCATCATAATCAATATGAATATTTTAATGATTATCAATATTATCATTGGCTGTTGGTTAGCCGGTCAAGCTTTTGCCTATGTTGAGGTAGGATTTTGTTTTCTTTTTCATTTTTTTGAATCCATGTTTTCAATTCCCTAAAGTTATGTATTTTTCTGTAATTAACTTGGTAGAATCTTTCTTTTCATTGTTTCTTTATTTTTGTTCGAATCATATCTTGATAACAAGGAAAACCCAATAATAACATTAATTCCCGTTTTTTTGTTGTTGTTCGGTGAGGAAAAGAAACAAAACAAAAATCAAACAAACTTGTTTCTTGTTATTTAATTTTATTATTATTTCAAACAACAAAAAAAAACCTGACTCCAAACATAAGTTAATTGGAAATTATTATTATTATTATTATATCATGATGATGATCAAATCAATCAACAAATATTTTTTTCATTCATTCAATTTTGATTAAAAAACAACAACAACAACAAAATGTTTGATCAGTTTTATCTACTTTAGTTTTATTATTATTATTCTTTTTTCCTTTGTTTTATGTGGATTTAGGTGTTTGTTCTGTGTACATTTGGTGGATTTTGTTTTTTGTTTTTGATTGTTTTGATTGTTTAATGATTAAAATCTTATAAATTTTTTCTAATATTTGTTGATTTTGTTGATTGATTATATTGTCTTATCAAACAATAATAATAATATTCTTTTTTTTACACGATATATATGAACGGTTTATCTTTTCTGTTTTTTTTTTTTGGGTAAATATATTCTTGTTTGCCTTCCTGCCTGTCTGGTTTTGTTTACTTAATTCATTTTCATTTTTTTCATGTTTATAAAAGTTTTAAGAATTTTTTTTGTTTTGTTTTTGTTTGTTTTGTTTGTTTGCCTATTTATTTACTTAGGGTTCAAAGAATATGAACATTTGAATAAAACAAAAATACAAGTAGAAAATTTTATTCATCATTTTTTTTTTGATCTAGAACTGAATGAATATTTGCAATGATATGCAAGTTTTTCTGTTTGTTTGTTTGTTTGTTTGATTCTCTTCATCTATATTTGTTTTTGTTTCTGTGTTTTTTTTTCTGTATAATAATCATTTGAATTTGATGATAAAATGTTTAATATGGTAATGTTTAATAATGATGGATAAGGGAGAAAAACATTACATTCGTATACACACAAAACAAAACATGGATATACATTGAATGTTTGAATTGAATACCATGGATGGAAATATACAACAGAAAAGAAAATAAATTCATTTGCCTTATTTGTACATTTAATTTTTGAAGAGCAAAAACAACAACAACAACAACAGGCTTTTGGCTTAGCTTAGTTATTACTGTTTGATAATGTTATACAGCGTTTTTTTTCCTTTTTCATCATCATCATCATTATCATCAAAATCGCCCACGTTTATTATTTCAAAATGATGATGCTGGCCTTTTTTCTGTTGTCGTTGCTTTAATCAATAAGCAATACACACACTTTGGAATATGATATGTTTATATCGATGAAAACATGTATTGATGACCAAAAACTTAGAGAAAAAAATGATGATAAAATTTCTTTTTCTTCGGATTTAGGGTAGGATTGAAAATTTATTCGAATTTTCAATGGAAAAAAAGACTTATTTACCTTTGTTTGTTGTTTGTATTTGACCAGGAGAAAGAAAAAACTTGAACATTTGATAATGAAAAACACCTGGTGTTTCTTGTGTGTTTCAGCCCAAATTTTCTTCATTTTGTTTTCATTTAAAACGAAAACAACAGATTTGACGTAAATAGAAAACTAGAAAAACGAAACAAAACAACCAATCCCACCCTCATATTTGACCAGAAATGAAAACTAAAGAAAAAAGATAAAGAAAAATGGCAGCTGACAATCGAGAATCTTCAATGATAATCATTGAATCACCATCATCATCATAAGGTTATGATAAGGTTTCTTTCCGTTTTTTTTCTTGTTCAATTATTTTAAATTGATTTTTTTTCTTTTGCTTGGATCGTTTCCTTGGAAGTTTTGTTTTGTTTTGTTTGTTTTGAGAATTTGTTATTATTGTGTTGTCAGTTGCAATCAATTGAATTCAATCGATGAGAAAAACATATTGAAACAAATTCATTTGATATTTCATATTACAAATGAAATACAACCGGATTCTTCTTTGTTTTTTGGAAACATTTCTTTTTGACGCCAGAAACAAAAAGAAAACAGCATGTACCGTTTCTTAGGAAACTTGTTTTGTCTATGAATCATCGAGAATCGATGATCCAGCAGAAAAACAACAACAACAAACAAGCAAAATGTATAGAAACGAAATTCATTCATTTTTGATGCTTATTGAAACCATATGATGTATGTTCAATACCCTTTAGGGCAAAAGAATAATCTTTAGCAAAAAAAATAATGATCTCTTATAGATTCTGGTGAGAATATCATCAACCGATTCTTTTTTTGCACAGAATAACAATAATTTATTTGTTTGCCCGATACATTACATCATTGATTTCGTTTATCTTTGTTTAGAGACACAATGTATTTTGGAAATTCTCTAAAGTTTTTGTTGTCTAAATTATTTTTAAAAAATAGAAATATTTTACCCAGAGAATATTTGAATGGAATACTGCTAAATAAATAAATTTTTTTTTACAAAAAAAAGTGATAAGAATCATCATTTCTTGAATAATGAAACTGATTGTAATGATGATTATTATTCCCAAGAAAATAATGCTGATAATAAATTAGAAAAAAAGTTTTCTTTCTTCTTCTTCTTTTTGCATTCAACTTTCTTTTGCATTCATTCATTCTTTACACATTGATTTCAATCATCATCATTATTTTGCCGAAAAACTTGTTTGACAAATAAATCATTTGCTTGTTTGTTTTTTTCATTGAAAATAAACATTTTATTTTTGTAAAATAAACAAACAGACAAATTATAGAAATAACACAGAAGATCCATCCATTGCACAGAGCAAATGTGACTTAATGAAAATGTTGATGGAAAAAAAGTAAATTTAAAAGAAGAAGATGATGATGATGATTTTGCGGCTTGAAAACATTAAAGTTAACATGAAATAATAATAATGATGATGATGATTTATTTATTCGACAACAAATAATAATGCATACATCATGTATAAATTATCGTATTGAAACCTTCTGTACTACCCACCCATTCTACAGAATAATTTCAATTTTTTTTTGCAAATGAAAAATTGAATTTAGAATTTTGAAAATCAATTTTGGCTATTTTTCATTTTGCCTATCGATGATTATTCCTATTACATATTATTCTTTGACCTTTTTTTCATCGCCCCTTGTTTTTTTTCGAATGTGAATGACGTCTGGAATTCATTTGATTATTTTTGCTTGTTTCGAGACGACGTCGTTGTTCTACGAATTGAGACACACACAAGATGTATGCATTCAACAAAATATGTTTCGCTTCAATGTTTTTTTTGTTGTTGTTGTTATTCTCTGGGAGTAGATTTCATCGAGCAAAGAATAATAATGAATTTGGTAGAAAGAAAAAAACCGACAACAAATTTTCCCAAAGAAAAAAAACTAGCCGAAACACTTTTTTTTCATCTGGAATGAATTTTGACAAATATTAGTGAGTGGTGGTGGTGGTGTGAAAATAAAACCGAATAAATAATATTCGAAATGTAGAGAAAAAGCAAAAACAAAAAACTTTTACCATATCATTACCGTTGTCAATGTTTTATTTTGGTTAACAAAAAAAAAGTTTCACCACCACCATCATCATTCATTGGGCAAGGTTATTTTCTCTCACTCTCCTTTGAGCCCCATTTTCCCCTTTCCATTGGTTCATGATGCAAAGAAAAAAAAAAGAAATATGGAACACTTTTTGTTTCTAACTTTCCTTCTCGCTTTCTCTATATATATGTCTGTCTTTCAATCTGATGAATCTATATATGAAATGAAATGGTATTTTGGAAAATTCTGATTTAATGTACAGCGGCTGTGTGTGTGTGTGCTCATACTATCTTGATAATGTTGGTGATGATGATGATCCATTTGGGAGCAACCAAACAAAAAAAAAAGAATACTTTTTCTTTCGTTTTTTTTACAATATGAATGAAGGATTCTTGTTGATGTTGTTGTTGTTGTTGGTTATGTGTGTTGTATGCAGCCACCCCTTTTCCACCCAAAACTCCCATAAATAAAAAAACATCAATTTTGTTATTTGTTTTTGATTGTAATATTTTTTGTTTCCTTTTTTCTTTATTACAAAGATGTTTTCCATCACATTCAATAGTCTATTTCGAAAAAAAGATTTTCCATAGAGAATTATTTCAATTTTGGGTATATTTTTTTTCACACCCACATACAAACACCTACACACATATACAAACATTATCGAACTGTCCATTTCTAAATGAATGTACATTGAATGTGAATTGTCATAAATTGTTATTGGAATTAATGGAACCGAATACAACAAAAAATAAAATAAAATAAAATAAAAAGAAGAAGAAAATCTTGATTGACGTTTATAGAAAATGAAGAAATCTCTCAAAAAAAAAATTCTGGAATAGGAATCAGTAATTGGTAGCAGTAGTAGTTTATAGAATCTAAAGAAAAAAAAAATTCCGGCAAATTCTCTCTTTCATTAAATTGACAGATTTTTTTCTCTCCAGAATTCTGATTAAAGTTTATGATATTAATTTCTTTTTTTTTGAACATTTATTTAAGCTTTTTGACAAGTTTTTGCTTATTATTATTATTATTTGGTCACCAAACCAACATATTGGTTACCAAAATAAGAATTTGGCTGTCTGAAAATAAAAATTTATTTACTTTTTTTTTTGGTTTCATTAAATTTAGGCATTAGCAGCTAATCTTGATACAGCACAATTAGGTCATTTTCAGCCAATGGTTGCCATATTATGTGGACATGGTAAATACCATAATCAATTTCTTAATGAAGATAATAAATGGATAACAGATATGGATTCAAGAGCTGTTTGTACGAAAAATACATTGGAAATATTGGAATATTGTCGAAAGGTAAATTTATTTTGTTTGTTTGTTTGCTTTTTCAACTAATGATGACATATAAGACAGATTATTGTCATTCGTGACTTTTGTAATGTTATTCAGATTTTAGATAATTTTATTAAATATTTTGTTTGTTTGTTTTTTCTTTTAAAATTTTCAATTAAAATGATAACTAAATATATGTTGAATGTGTAGGTTTATCCGAAAAAAGATATTCGTAATATTGTCGAATCGAACAAATATTATCGTATTGAATGGTGTAAAGTTGGCCAAACAAAATGTAAAACGAAACATTATGTTAAGCCTTATCGATGTTTAGAAGGAAGCTTTCAAAGTGATGCATTATTGGTACCTGAACATTGTGTCTTCGATCATATACATAATAAAAGTTTATGCCAGAATTCACAATATTGGAATCATACAGCAATAATTAGTTGCTCTACACGTAATATGAAATTACAAAGTTATGCAATGCTTTTACCATGTGGTGTTGGAATATTTTCCGGTGTTGAATTTGTTTGTTGCCCACATTCTTCATCATCAATGTCCATGAATCATGTAGCAGGTGCGGCTGCTGCTGCTGCTGCTGCTTCTACTTCGAATATTCATTCTTCTGGATCTAACAATGATTATTGGTCATCGAAAAAACATAATACATTATCAGCTCAAAATCAAATGGATGATATGAGCGATACTGTTAGCAATAATAATAATAGATATAATAATATTAATAGAAAATCTGATGATATTTATAATGATCAATCAGATTCATCGGATGAAGATCAAAATGATGGCGATAATAATAACGATGATAATAATATTAATGGTGATGGTGGTGGCCAAGATGATGATTATTATGATGATGATTTTGATGATGATAGTGATGTTGAAGATTTACCATCAACAAGATCACCAAGCACAACAACAACAACAACTACTACAACAACAACGACAACAACCGAAACACCAATAAAATATTATCTAAGCCATTTTAATTCACAAAAAGAACATCAAGCATTCAAAGATACACAAAAAGCATTAGATGATGATCATAAATTAAAGGTTACAAAGGTTAGTTTAATAATAAATTTCGATTTGATGTCAATTTTATATATTATTATAAATTATTTGTAATTGTTTTTCAAATTTTATGTCATGTCATTGTATTTTAGGTTATGAAAGAATGGAGCGAATTAGAAGAACGATACCAGGAGATGCGTATCAAAGATATGAAAAAAGCAGATGAATTCAAAAAACGAATGACAAATCGTTTCCAAAAAACAGTTGAAGCACTTGAAGAAGAAAATTCGGCAAAAAAACGACAAATTATTTCAATGCATCAACAACGTGTAATGTCAATTATTAATATGCGTAAAAAATCAGCAATGGATTGTTATACACAATCATTGGATGAAATTATACCGAAAGCAAAAAAGATTGAAAAATGTTTGAAAAAATTATTACGTGCATTAGAAAAAGATCGTATGCATACATTACATCATTATAAACATTTATTGAATTCATTCACTAAACAAGCATTAAAAGATAAGAAAGCAATATTAGATCATCTTACCGATCTAATCAAAATGGCAAATCAAAGTATACAGATGTTAGATCGTGTTGCAATCGTTGCAGATAAAATCAAATTCCGTATGATTGCCTATTGGCATAATTTACGTGGTGTTCCAATTGAACGAACAATTTCACATGAAACTGAACTTAACATTATGAATCGTTATGAAGAAGAAGTGGCACAAAAACAAATCGAACGTGAACGACAAAAAAGCTTAGAAGAATTGAATCGTGAACAAAAAGAATTGGATGAACAAGAACAACGTCAGAATAGTGAAACAGTAAATAGCTCACAACAGCAACAAAGTAAATCATCAAATCGTTATCAATATGATCCCGAATCAATGGAAGATGAAAAAACATCAGCTCAAGCATCTGATGATGATAATGTTAATGATGCATCATCATCATCATCATCATCAAGTTCATCGACAACTAAATCAGCAATGGTTTCATCATCATTATCATCATCAACATCAACATTGTCACCAATTGTCGATGATTTCTGGAGCCAAGAAGATCCTGAATCAAATGAAATAAATCGGGTTGCCCATTCAAATCAACCATTATATATACAAAGCCAATCTTTTCATCACAATGAACCGGTAAATAATCGTAAATAAACTGTCTTAATAAATTAAAATGATTATTTTCTATTCTAATCTTTTATAGAGTTTTACATTAAAACGTGAACATTATCATTCAAAAATGAAATGGAACGGAAGTGTTTATCTTACATTGGCATTCGCTGGTATCGCATTGTTAACGGCAACAATCGTTGGTGTTGTATTATTACGTAAACATACACAAACATCACCACATGGTCAAGGTTTTATTGAAGTAAATCAAGCATCAACACCGGAAGAAAAACATGTTATCAATATGCAAATCAATGGCTATGAAAATCCAACATTTAGATATTTTGAAACACAAGAAGATTAATATTTTGAAAATAAAAATAATAAACAGCTGAATAGAGAAGAATTCTACATCATAAAACAATGACATTTATAATGATCACAAAAATACACATTCTCACATCCATAAACTCTCTCTCTCTCTCTCTCACATACACACATCCCATATACACAATGTAATACCAGTGTGTTATTTCCTAATTAATCATAATGATATTCCGTGGATATTCTTAATCACTATTTTCATTATAGTCATTATTTTTGGACCAAAATTCTTATTATTATGCCATCATCGATTTGAATTTTGTTCTTTCTAATTGTTTACCAACATTCTTCGGTTTCCTTTCTATTTTATTCCATTTTATTTTTTTTTTCATTTTCGTCTTCACATCACACACATTTATATATAAATTATATCAGCCAATCAACACAAAAAAAACCTAGGCCATGTCGATGAATCCTGTGTGTGTGTGTGTGTTTTTCTCATTCAAAATCTTTTTTCAAACATCTTCAAAACAAAAAAAAATAATGTTTCCGTTTCACAATGATTTTTCTTTCAATTTATTCTCGCTCTTAAATATGTTTGTGTGTGTGTGTTTTGTACATTTTTTTTCGTTTGTTTTTCTTGAGTGTGTTTGCATCCCCGTGTTCTTTTTTTTTGAATTGAAACAACAGCAGCTAAAACAAAATATAGAAAACAAAAACAGATAAAATTCCTGTATAATATCTTCACAATTATATCCGATTTTTTTTCTCTTTTCCTTTGATTATTATTGTTACTATTCTCATAATGATTGTTTTCATTTACAGAAATGAAATGAAAAACACTGACAGAATATTCTTACACACATAATCTATACACACATTTATACCCATCATCACATTATATCAACAACAACAACAACAAAAAAAACGACTGATTACATAAAGTTATGAACACATCACCATCATTCAATTATTAATCAGAAATAACATCAGGCAGCATCAGACAGTATTATTATTATTATTATTTTATCAAAAAAAGAAAAAAAATTTCAACATCATCATCATCTATATTTGATCGATATTATATGATTTCAAATGAAATATTCGTTTTCGATATTCTTTCTATTTGTTTTGTTTTGTTTTGTTTCGTAATCACGACAACCGCAAATAAATACCACAAATAATCGATTTTGAAGAAAAATAGACATGAGAAAAAAAAACATCATTCAAAATGAATAATGTCTATCCATATATAGAATTGTCGGATCAAAAAAAAAGAAAAGAAAAAGTTTTCATTCGTCTAACAAACAAACAAACAAATCGATCAATTTTTTTCATCATTTTTTTTTCTCACACACACACACAAACAAAATATTCATTTATTATTAGTTCTCAAAATCGATCTATTTCGATTCAATCGATTGTGAAATTGATGTATGACGGTATGCTTCAAGAAGTACTCATCTTATCATTTCGGTTATTATTATCATCTTGTTCGGCTGCTTTTCTCCCCATCCTTTTTTCGCTCTCTCAGATCGATTCATCAACGGAAAGAATTATACATAATTGAAAATAATATGCTGAAAAGAAAATATCTAATATCGATCAAAACATAACCCATGTTGTGGATGGTAACCGAGATTCTTCTTTTTTTTGTTTGAGTGAGGCCCGATCATCATTTTTATCGTCGTTCATCATCAACATCAACGATAGCAACTTTAACATTAACAACAACAACAACAACAACAATACAATCATCATAGACAAACATAAACACACATTTTGGCCATCAATTATAACCAAAAAATAATAATTATTTAGCATACTACCTACACACACACACGGAAGAGCAGCTCATATCATATTCCGAATTTAAAGTAGGATATAACAACAACAACAACAAGCTCACGCAAACTCAAGAATCGTTGTCAGACAATGAAAATAGACTTAATGGACCAAAATCAGGAATTTTTTGCTCTTCATTATGATAATTATTATTATTATTATAATGAACAGGAAATTTGAATTTTTCTTTTCATTACATTTCTCTTTTTTTTTTGAAAAATTCTTCTTCAATCACATGATAACAAATGTACCAGACAAAAATATTTCCGAGAAAAAAAAATTCTTTTCAATTTTTCGAAACTAATGCTGCTGAATTGTTTGAAAAAAAACACACTATATTATCTTGTCATCATTATCATCTTAATGAGGAAGAAGAAAACGTTCGTTTTGTTTTGTGAAAATTTTGAAAATATTTTTTTTTTTTTTTTTAATATCAAAAAATTCAATTATTTTCATTTTTAATCATTCCATGATTATCTCATTATTATTTCATTGACAAAAAAAAATTCACTTATTATTATTTCATTTTCATTTTTTTTGTTGCTGTTAACTCTATAATTCCTGTGCCATAGGCTGCTGCTGAAAAAAACTGTTTATTTCAATTTCTGAATTGCCATTTTTTTAATTTCATTTTTTTTCCTAATTGATTTCGTTTAATTAAATTTTTGATTTACCCTCATCATCTTTTCACATTTATCAAAAAGAAAACGATCGATTTTGTTCGATATTATTGATTGTTGTGCGTGCATATTTATCTGGGAATCGATTTTCGTTTGACGTTGTTGTTGTTTTCGTTTAGCCTAAAATAATGTAATACAAAATTTCAACCAAACAGCCCCCCAAACAAATCGATAATTATAATTATTAATTAAAAATCTATAATTTTCATTCAGTTTATTTTATTTTCGGGCTGAAAACAGCTAAAACCGAATTCATTTATTATATTCTTCACACTTATCTTCAACCGATATATAAGTAAAGCAAAAAAAAANAAAAAAAAATTCTTTTCAATTTTTCGAAACTAATGCTGCTGAATTGTTTGAAAAAACACTACAACAAATCTTGTCATCATTATCATCTTAATGGAAGAAGAAAACGTTCGTTTTGTTTTGTGAAAATTTTGAAAATCATTTTATCAAAAAATTCAATTATTTTCATTTTTAATCATTCCATGATTATCTCATTAACAAAAAAATTCACTTATTATTATTTCATTTTCATTTTTTTTGTTTGTTGCTGTTAACTCTATAATTCCTGTGCCATAGGCTGCTGCTGAAAAATAACTGTTTATTTTAATTTCTGAATTGCCATTTTTTTTTAATTTCATTTTTTTTTCTTAATTGATTTCGTTTAATTAAATTTTTATTTTACCCTCATCATCTTTTCACATTTATCAACGAGAAAAAAAAATAAGAAAACGATCGATTTTGTTTGAAACAATATATATTGATTGTTGTGCGTTCATATTTGAACCCGGGAATCGATTTTCGTATGACTTGTTGTTGTTGTTGTTGCTTTCGTTTAGCCTAAAATAATGTAATACAAAATTTATATTTCAACAAAAACAGCCCCCAAACAAACCGATAATTATAATTATTAATTAAAAATCTATAATTTTCATTCAGTTTATTTTATTTTCGGGCTGAAAACAGCTAAAACCGAATTCATTTATTATATTCTTCACACTTATCTTCAACCGATATATAAGTAAAGCAAAAAAAAAACAGTAATGATAAAAAAAATTCTGATTCAATTTGAATTTGTTCCTTTCTTTGATTCTTTTCTATATATAAATCCTGACAAAAATTCAACAAAAACAACAACAGCAACAACAATCAACAACAATCAATAGACGATAAAGAATTTCAAGGTAAAACAAAAACTGTTCTGCAAAATACAACCAAGCAAAATGCCTATCCACCCATTTGAAACATACAATAAACAGAAGCAGTAGAATTTGTCGTTTTTTCTTCTTCTTCATGTCACTATTTTCTTATTCCATTCAAAACAAAAACAAAAAAGAAATTTCTTAAAAACAACAACAACAAAAAAAAACTATAACAACAAAATCTACCTGAGAAAAAGATTTTTTTTCACCTGAAAAACAAAGAATAATTAAAATTAATTATAAATAATTTTGAAAAAATAAAATTTAACCAGCCAACCAACCAACCAATCCAGTCAAAAGTAAAAAATTTCACAATGAAAAATACCAATTAACACACACACACACACACAAACTTTTAAAGCAACCAAATTTATCATTACCATAATAATATGACAGAATTTCAATTATAACAACAACAAAAAAAAACTAAACTAAAAACAAAAACAATTTTGAAAAAAATGAAATAAAAACTTGAATAAAAAAAATTTAAATAAAAAACCACTCGTGTGTTTACTTCATTTTTTAAAATTGATATTTATTGAAATGAGAACACTGAATCAATCGAGTTACTTTGTCGATTTGTTGGTTTTTCGAATTGGAAAAAAACAGACAAAATTCATTTCAATTTCATCTAAAAAAATGTGTTGAAGATTCATTTTCAACTAAATATTGATATTTTTAAAGAAAAAAAATTTTATTTTTTCACTTTCACAAAATTTTGTTCCAAAATTTCATCATTTTTTTTCCATTCCATATTGTTGTGTTTTGTTAATACAATTCAGTTGTTATTTGTGAAATAAGAGATGTTTTTTTGAAAGAACATCATAAGTGTTTAATCAACACCAAATTCCAATGAATAGATTTTTTTTTTGATAATTGATGATGATTATGAAAACAATTTCGAAATGATTTCCTCTTTTTTTGCATTATTGAATGAAGAATTTATTTTTTGGTTCCGGTTTTTTAAAATATCCAATGGGAGAAAAATTGTTTTTGTCCATAAAAAAAGTTTATTCGCCTTTTAAGATTCTTTTGTAACGACGGAAATATGAATTTTGAATGAAAGATGAAACATTGAATGGAAAAAAAGAAGAATATTCTGCAAATTCCATTATTTTCTTCAGAAATTTTGTTTCTTTTTCTCATCATCATCATTGGTGTTTGAAATTCGATGGTGACTATATATATTTGATTGGCAACAATATAGAGTAGATATATATGCTGTGAGATATATAAAATTAAAAAAAAATTGTTTGACAAATGACACGAAAATATTGGAGACTGAAAATGAGCTACGGTAGCCATTTTTTCCAAGAATTAATGCAAAAAAAGAATCTCAAGCTTTAATAACACCACCATCGCCTTCAGATACGAAACGTTTTCGTCCCCTAGTTAGAATATATTTTAAAATGAAAAATTTTCACCATTATTCGACATCAAAACAAATACCTTTGTGGCATTTCTTTTTCCAATTCAGCTGGAAATGAATCCAATTTTTCTGCTTTGGTTTTGATCTGATCAAGTATTTCATATGCAAACGGTACATCGATGACAATATCAGGCATCTCTTCAAACACACGTAGATATCCCTTTTTAAAATTCAAAATAATAATAACAAAAGTTATAACAAAGCCATAACAAAGAAATAGAATAAAGACTTACATTTTTCAATTGATCGATAGTGATGACACCCGAATCAAAAAGATATTTGAGCAATGCACAAATCTTGTCGATTGTCGTTTCTTTACTATCTTCGATAGCTTTTACAATGGCTTCATAAACAAATTCATGATGAAAATGTGGAACTTCCAACTCATTGAGATTGGATCCAGCATCTGTTGCCAGATTTGATACCATATATTCTTCTAAAATCAAATGCATCTGTTTGACAAGATATTTTACTGGTCGCATACCACCAGTAAAACCCCAGATGCGATCAACATTAATAAGACCATGTTTAGAGGTCAATAAATCGTTCGCAACTTCAATAGAAAATTTTTGTGGTTTTTCCGTATATTTTTCTTTGTTACGTTTAACATAAATCGGTGGGATACAATCATCAGCAACTGCACGAGCAATAAAATTACCCAATAATTCATCAGCACTCGGTGTGTCAAGCATTAGATCTGGAAGCATTTCAAGCAAAACATCGAATGCATGTTCAATATCAGACTGACGGAATACATGGCCATATAGATCGGATATCAATACTGATGTCATCTCTCGATTAGCATTTTTTCGTTCCATTGCCAATGAAACAGCGATGACAACAATCATATAAACATGATCGCCAAAATTAAATTCTTGCAATGAATCGATTACCTCTTCAGTGTTTCCATGTTCATAATATTCAGTGACAATAGGTTTAACATATTGTTCAATTTGATCTTCATCCAACACTGGTGTAATGGCTTCAATTTTACAATTTTCCATATTATCCGAATCATAATTTGGATCATTTGGATCCAAAAAATCACCATCACCATCTGGATAGACTTCACATATTTTTCCCCATGTACCTTTACCACCTGCACCACCTATTAATTAAACAAAAACAAAACAATTAATAAAAATAGAAAACTCGCGCACATTCAAAAATGCCAACAAGTTAATTATAATTATCAATATAGTGATAATCTTGCTATCATCATTTGACTTTATTTGATGTTGATAACAATAATAATCATTAAAATTGCAATGGCACGATCAAAAACGATCAAAACAAAATTGAAAAACAAACTAACAAACAAATTAAATTGATTGATTAAAAAAAATACCATATTATCATCACCCATATCACTATAAATAACAATCATCATCATACACATAATGATAAAAATGAAGCCCAATAATAACAAAAAAAACAAGGAACTAACAAATTAAACAAACATCGAATATAAAAAGAGAATTTGGTGAGCGTGATTATCATCATTCAATCATTTTCTTCTTCAATTCTATTCTATTATGGTAGTAGCAAATATGCTGATCTTTTCAATTATATGACCTTATGTGAATTAAATTAAAAGTTTATGTGCAATAATTTCCAGAAAAAAAATAAAATAAAAACAATGACATCCAATTAGGCCAAAATATGAATAGATGACTGTAATAATTGTCACCAAAATAAATAAAATAAATTTACCTTTTTTGGCTAAACCACGACCAAATCGACTACGTGATCGTCGACTATTTTTCATAAATTTTTTCATATTAGCTTCGGTTGTTGGTGAATGAGGGTGATAATCAACCGATGTTGCTGTTGATGACGTTCCATGATTCGGTATAGGTTTACCTTTACCATTCGAATCATTTTTACCATTATGATGTTGATTGAGACCGGCATCTTCAACGCCATTGAAATGACCATCCATAGTATTTTTAGGAGATGACATTGTTGGCAGATTAGTTTTTGATTAACAATAAAACAAAATAAGTTCGAATTTGGAAAATGACAAATGAAAAGCAGAATTTTTTTCAGAAAACAAACAAACAAACGAGAAGAATGGCAGAATATCGAACATCAATTTGATAAAAGTTCTTTTCAAATTTTTTTTAGAGGAGGTTATGGCAGTCACGAAAAACGCACGTTTTTGTTATTTAAAATTCGAATTATATTTTTTTTCGGAAAAAAATTGAATGATGCTGATGAATTTTTCAATTTCTTCGTTTGTTTTGTTTTGTTTTTTTTGCTGCTGTATTCACATGACATCAATGTCCACACACACACACGAATCAATGTGATTTTGATTATAATGATAATATTGATGTCGTAAATATGAAAAACAAACCACAAACAAAAAACATATACACAATCTAAACAGACAAAGAGATTGGGATTTAAAAAAAAAACACATAGAGCTTCTCTCACTCAATATTTAGCTAAATTTTTCGTTTTTTTTTTGGCTTTCTCTTCTTTCTTTCGTTGTTTTTTTTTTGCTTTAAAATCAACGATGTTGTTGTTGTTGTTGTTGTTATAGTTGATGTTGTTGAAACAAGGAACTATACACATACAAAGCAAAAGCAAATGAAAAAAATACTTATAAAAACACATAGCCTTCAATATATCGCGAGAGAGAGAGATATATATCGGGGGGATCAAAATGCAAAATAATAAACATTCGAAATTATATATATAGAGTAGTGGTACGGGTGGTTAAAAGTAGTGGTATGAAAAATTGTTTTAAACAAAAATTGTTTCTGCTGATTTTCATTCGAAAAAAAAACAACAAAGAAAATAAATTGCGCTTGCGCTTGATGATATGAGACCAAATTCACTTTCTGGAATATTCGAGAATATTTGCTGTTTGAATGAATAACGATGGTTTTCAAAAATTTTCAAAATCAAATATTTTATTTTGCAGGAAACAACGGGAAAAAAGTGTCTGATTTTTTGTTTTCTTTGAGTAAACATATGATGATTGTAATTTCAATTAGCCCAAAGTTAGTCTCCGGCGGAAAACATAAAATTATCAAAATTTCAATTTTGTAATAATAAAAATAAGGAAATAATGAATAGGAAAAAAATCAATTTTTATTCGTTGTTTATTTAGGAAAAAATCAAATGAGTTTTATTTTTATTTTTACCTATACTTTATATATTTCAATAGAATCTTCAATTCTTTTTTAAAAATAATAATGATGATGATTATTTATAAAATTCATGTTCCGATTCATCTTTTTTGATCGTATTTTTATAACCTTTTTCAAAATCTTTTGGCAAAACAACATAACGATTTTCACGTACTGCATGCATACCAGCTTCTTGACAGATTGCATTAATATCGGCACCAGAAACTTTATCCGGTCTTGCAACATAATCTTCTAGATCGACTTCATCACTTAAATTCATTTTAGATGTAATTGTTGAGAAAATTAATCGTTTTTGTCGTCGATCTGGTAATGGGAATTCAATTTTACGATCCAAACGACCGGGACGTAATAAAGCTGGATCCAATGTATCGGCACGATTCGTTGCCATTATAACCTTTACATTGGTAGTCTGATCAAATCCATCCATTTGATTCAATAATTCCAATAGAATACGTTGAACTTCACGATCAGCACCAGTTTGTGCATCAAAACGTTTGGTAGCAATAGCATCGATTTCATCAATAAAAATAATTGCCGGTGCATTTTCTCTAGCCAAACGAAAAACATCTCTTACCATTCGTGGACCTTCACCAAGATATTTTTGTACAAATTCTGATCCGACTACACGAATAAATGATGCAGTAGTATGATGAGCAACAGCTTTGGCTAACATTGTTTTACCACAACCAGGTGGTCCAAACATTAAAACACCACGTGGTGGATCGATACCGATTTGTTTGTATAATTCAAAATGTGTAAGAGGTAATTCAACGGCTTCACGAATTTCCTGTTTTTGTATATCAAGACCACCAATATCGGCATAACAAACATCAGGTTTTTCATCCGGTCGTAACATTGCGATTGAACTATCTGCTTCTGGTGGTAAAACATCGACCAATGCATTACTATGTTTATGTAATGCAACCGAACTACTTGGTTTTAATAATTCACGATCAATAGTGCTCAGTATACGAACATAATAATTTGAACCGGTTGTTGAACCAACAATACCAGTGTTTGCATCAACAGCTTCTAAAAATTGTCCAATCACTAATGGTACACTTTGTATACGTTTAACTTCTTCCTGTGCATGTAGATATTCTTTTTTTAAATTTTTTTGCTCATCTTTTATATATTCTTCTTGAACTTGTAAAAATTCTAATTGACGTTGTAGCTTTTTAAAGATAACATATAAATCATCAACATCATCGGTAAGCAATGTTTCACAAATCGATGGTGTTATTATGTTTTTAATTTCGCTTGGTGATGATTCTTCTTGCTATTAAGGTATTCAAATACACGTGAAACGAGAAAAAAAAGTCAGTTTTTCTAAATTAAAAAAACAAAAAACAAAAACAAATCATACCTTTTCGGGCACAACAATTCCAATCTCTTCCATGTTTTAAATGTTTAATAAAGAAAAAAGAAAATTCAAGATTAAAAACTTGATGCGAAACAAACGATGAAATTATTTTTGTGATTCGAACAGATGCGGATGACAATATTGGCGAGTATTAAAAATGAATGAGATTGCTATTTTATAGTGCAAACATCATTATAATAGATGGCGCTCGTTTTATTTCGAAAAAAAAAATCGAATTTTTATTGGAAAATTCTTTTATTTGAATTTTTTTTCTTTAATTCCTGATTTTTTTCAAATTCATAATTTTTTCATATTAATGAAAAAAGAGCTTTAAATAACACAAATTAGAAAAAGGAAAATTGCGAACAGAATAAATATCATTACTTTTTGAATGATTTTTTTTAAATGAAAAAAAAGATGATAGATTAATTTAGCCAAATCGATAATTAGCCATTTTGTTTAAAGGCAACCGATGCTTTAAGATTATGAACTTTTGTAGTAAAACTACGAAGCTGTACTTCTTCAGCATTCGGAATGATATGTGATGATGAATCAGACCAATCAGTAGATGATAATTGTATATCTTTGTCTGTGTAGAATAGTATGTCAAATGAAACAGGATCATCAATTAATGGTAAATAAGTGATACTGGCAGTAATTTGACGAATCAGATCACGAATCTGAGTCTGTATGGCTTTCAAATCAACTTCAATCTGTTTATCGTCGGTAACACTATTATTACAATCAATTTTAAATTCCCATCGTTCAATTGTTTCTTTTGTATCTATTCGAATCAATGTCATAACAACACGATGAAGTTTTCGTTGTAACAAAAATTCTTGCATCTGATCGAAAATAATTTGCAAATGTTTTTTCAATCGATCATCCTTTGTCATCAATATGGTTAGGCCATAATTTTGTACAGCTTTAAACTAATAACATTTGGAAAATTAATAATCATAGAATTTTAGTCTTTCTCATGTTTTCTATTTTCCAACAATTAATTCACTAAATACTTACGGAATCCGATGGATAAATGCCACGTTGAAAAAGGATATTATTGATACAATAATCTATCAATTAGAAAATAAGATTCATCAGAAAAATTTTTGGACAAAATTCTATTTTTGCTTACTGAAAAATTCCTTAATAATCGATACCGATCCTTTTAGATTGATCGAATTACAAACACCAACCGATGACATTTTGATTAATTGATTTAAAAAAAATCGAATCTTTTTGACAAAATAGAAAACAGAGAAAAAACTGGCGCAAAAATTGATCAAAAAAAAACACACACACAACGGTCAGAATTCTAACACTATTGTGACATAGACGACCATACAATGATTAAATGGAAAAAAAATGATAGCGACATCTTTTATATGAATTTCAAAAAAAATAGAAATGAACTTTATTTAAAAAAAGAATATATTTTTTCAACATTTATCTAGATTTTTTTTGGTTTTCGAAACTTTTTTTTTCCTTTACCAGTTTTTCGTTCATTTTGTTGTTGTTTTCGTTTATCTTTTTTCATTCTTGAATCAACAATTTTATAACGACCTTTTACACCGGGTGGTCGTCGATTACCGTATTGTTTTTTGGCCACCACAAGTTTTGGTCGTTTTTCATTTTTAGTCGATGCTCTTTTATATATTCTACGTATAGTATCAGCTTTTTCTTTATTCGACATACTTGGATCTTCTGTAAGTGTTTCCGCTTTAATACGAGCTTTTTCCAAACGTCTCATGGTACGTTTCTTTTTTCTTGCTTTAGCTTCCATTTCTTTTTTATTTTGTCGTGAATTAATTCCAGGTGTTATCGATTGTTTTGCAAATTCTTTTGATACTGGCATCGGTTTACGACAATGTTGTTCTTCTTCTCTTTTAAACCATGATGGTGCACCATCTAGATCATTATTCATATAACGATTCCAGCTATCATCAATTAAATCACGTTTAGATTTTTTCGAATGAATCATTGCGGTTGCCATTGTTAATTCTTCTGGGCTAAGCATTCGTTTAGCTTTTTCTTTACGATTCATTTTCTTACTTAATCCATTAGTCATTGTTTGGTTTTCTTCTTTTTTCACAACTTCATCATCATCATCATCGTCATCATCTTCAGATTCTTCTTCGTTATCTAGTTTTGTCAAATTTTGTTCCTCATCTTTTTTATTATCTGATTTTTTAAGAAAATTTTCAATCTCTTCCAATTCAATTTCTTCATCATCTTCAAAATCTTTGAATATAGGCTTATCAAAAAATCGTTCACTTTTAACATCCATTGAATGATCTTCAAGATCAACAATTAAATCATTACCATTATCATCACCATCTTCATCATCAAGATCAAAATGAATTACACCATTTTCTTTTTCATTTTTTACATTGTCATTATCGAAATCATTTTGATCTGAATCTTGATTATCATCATCATCATCATTTTCAGATAATTCATCTTCAGAATCAAGATATTTTTCATCTTTATCATAATAAATCTTTTTTTGTTTTGAATTTTTTCCATCATCATCATCATCATTATTGTCATTATCGTCTAGTACAATATCAGGATCAACATCTTTAATTTTATCCAAATTTTTACGTATTTTAGTTAAACTAAATAGATCTTGTTCTTCTTGAACAAGTTGATCATTTTCTAAAACCATTTTCAAATTCATTCGTTCAGTTAATTTACGTTTTTCTTTGGCCATTTTTTTCTTTATTCGTTTCATTTTGATAGCTTCTTCATTTTCGAATGAATCAATTTCTTCAACTTCATCATCATCATCATCATCGTCTTTATCAACATCATGATTTTCTTTATCATCGATATCCAAATTGTTTTCTTTTTCTTCTGAATCTTTATTAAATTTTTTGGCCAAATTTTTCATTTCATTATTTATTGTACGACGCCAATTTATTAAAAGCCTGAAAAAAAATTATAAATTATTTCATTGAAACATCATTGAAAATGAGAAGAAAAACAAAAACTTACAATAATTCTTTTCTACCAAGTACTTTAATATCTTTGCAACATTCAACAATTTCATCAGTAGTTGCAGGATGATTTCGAATATAATCATTATTGATGACAATTTCACTTGATTTGCTTAACAAATCTGCATAATTTTCATTTGCAATAAAATCGGAAGCATTCAATTTTCGATATAAATTTATTTGTCCATCATCATAACCTTCAGCTTTAGCTTTTTTCTGTTTCATACTTGCTTTAAGCAAATCATTTGTTGTCAGTTTTTGTTCCGATTCTTGAAGTTCAGCGAAAACATATGTTGGATCGAAAAATTTTGGATCAATTCGATCGGGTGCAATAAAATTTTGACAAACAACAAAAATTTCGGCCGATTCATTACGTGATGCTTGTGGTTTAGTAGCGAATACTTTTTTAAAAAATTTATTCAATACCCATATTAATGCATTATAATCTTTGGAACGAAAAACCTTTGTTATAAACCAGCCACCTTTGACAAGAAAATCACATGCCAAATGTAATGCCGATAATGTAAGACGATTCTGTTCGAATGCATCATGTATCCAACTTTTACCAACATTTGGTGCACCATCATTAAGAACAACATCAGCTTTCCATGTTTGTAGATTTTTCTTCAATGACATTCTACATTTTTGTGTTGTAATATCTTCTTGTAATGTAATAACATTATGAATCGGTTTGATTGGTACTAAATCTACACCAATTATAACACTAGATACGGGCATATATTTTTGTGCTACCTGTAACCATCCTCCTGGTGCTGCACATAGATCAATCAATACTTTTGATCTTTGTAAAAATTCAAATTTTCGATTCAATTGTATCAATTTGAATGATGCACGTGAACGATAACCTAATCAATTAGAAAAGTTTTAATAGAAATTCAAAATATAAAAGGATTCAAAAATTACTTACCCGTCTCTTTGGCTAATTGATAATATTTATCTTTACGTTGTTTTCCTACTTTTCCTTTTTTACCCATTTTTTATTTGTTGTTAAAAAAAAAATTCTTGACAAAAAAAAAAGATTCTCGTGTCTGCAGATGTATCAAGAACCACATGGCTCATCAGAATCGGTCTTGAACGCCATCTTTTGGTACAAATATTATTTATATTTTATCCTTTTAACAGAATTGTCAAATCCATTAACTTTGATTCCATTCAAAATAATATTCGTGAGTAAATATTTGTTTCCGTAAACAAACGAAAAAAAAGACTACAATTATAATATAATGGAAAATTTGATCAACAAAAGAAAGATAAAGTGGCACAAAAAAAAGAAATACTGTACAATAAACAATTTATTTATGATAAAAATCAATCATCAAGTAATAAAATTACCCGAACAAAAAAAAATCATTATTTGCAAATTATCATTCTTCATTCAAAATATCATGATCATTTTTTTTTTGCATCCAAACACAATCATCAAGCAAAATCTATTTTATTGTTATATATCGATTCATATAAGGATATTGTCGTCATCATCATAAAACTGGATACAAAGACATCATATAATCGTTGTTATTGTTGTTGTTGTCAAATTGATTCATTTTAAATTCAACAAAACGACAACAATAATAATAATAAAATAACAAAATAAAATAGCTTCGGGGTCATTTTTTCCATCGTTGTTCCATCTTATTTTGTGTCATTTTGGATCACAAAAGAAAAGAATCAAACAAACAAACAAGAATTTGCTTTGTTTACACAAATTCTTAACAAAACCAATGTTTTAATGACCATTTTTAAGATTATAAATCATGGCTTTTAACAATAATAATGATCTAATTGTCGATCAAACAAATTAATCATCGTTTTTTTTCCAGAGAACCAAAAAATTGAATCAAACTCTTAAACTACCCCCACCACCACCCCATACCATCATTAATTCCTGTCATTTTTTGTTTGAAAAACATGAAATTGCTTTCTAACAATCCTGAAACAAAAAGCTTAAGAACAGAAAATTTTTGGTTCAAATATAAATCAATAAATAATGATGATTTAGCAAGAATTTTTCCCATTTCTATTTCGAATCAAGCAAAACAAAAAAAACGACAGCATTAATTCCATTTTGATTTTCGATACCTGAGTGTGTGTGTGTACTGAATTCCGGATGTTTGATTCATTCCAAAACACTCGCCTCCCAAATAAATGTCAAATGGAAGTCAATCGGAAAGATTTTTTCATTTATTAATTCATCATCATTTCAAAGAATTTCGAATGTTCCGTTTCAATGACAAACAAAAAACAAAACAAAAACATTCGAATCGCGATTCTTTCGAATATTGTTTACTTGAAAAACAAAAAAAAAGCAAGATTAACGTTGATAATGAAAAAACATTGTTGTTTTTGTTATTCAATGTTTTTTTTAGTTTTTTGTTTTTTAGTTTTTTGTTGACGTTGGTTATCTCTAAAAACAAAAACAAAATAAATCAGATTCATTATAGGGTCAACAACAACAGCAAAAATTATATAGAAATTTTCTGCTGTTGTTTTTGTTTTCAGAAAATAAAAAAAAATTACCAAAAAAATACAATTTCTGTTGATTGTTATCCATTCGAATCATTAACCAAGAAATAAAAAATTCAATTAACCAAAAAAAAGCAAAAAACAACATAAACAAAGTGATTAAAAAAAGGAAGAAGATAGAAATGTGTGAAAATTAAGATCATATCAATCGGTTTAAATCTTCAATTCTGGACAATCAAATTCAATCATTTTGTTTTATGAATTTTATCTGTTAAATTGTCTTCGTTGTTGTTTCGTACGACGTGATCGAAATAAAATTTATGAACAACAAAAAAAGACATCAACAACATTTTCCATGATGAAAACTTTGGTTTTCGGGCCATTTTATTATTCCGTAGTAATGTATTTTTATATCTTACTTATCTAAATATTTTATATGTTCAAAGTTTTTTTTGTCGTCGTCGTCGTTGTTGTTGTTGTTTTGATCAATATCGAAATACACGATGATCAAATCTGTTTTTTTTCAGGCAATATTCGATTGGATAATATTTCGTCGATCAATCGATCGATCGTTCGATCCAATGTTTTGCCAATGACATTGATTAATTCAATATGTGTAGTTTTCTCTTTCTTTGGTGTAATAAGAAAGAAATTCTTGTTTTTTTTTCGTTCAATGGTGAATTGGTCGAATTACTTTTTTTTCACCCAAATTTCTTGGAAAAATAAAAATTTCCATCTTCGTTTATCGAAAATAAATAAATAAATGAAAATGATCGATCGAATTGTCCTGAAGTGAAGCCTAGGAAGTATGTTTATCAATATTTTTTTTCCAAGGAAAAAAAACAACCCTGAATATAGCAAAGACGAAAAACCCCGATAACGAATACCAATGGATTTAATGGTCCTGAATATTAACGGAAATAGGAAAAATGATTTATTTTGTAATAATCAAATTTTTTTTTTGGTAATACCCCGCTCATCATTTATTTATTTGAAAAAAACAAAACATTGGATTTCATTATCATGATATGATAAGGATATAGTTTATTTGGGCAACACAAAAAAAAATATTGGGAAACAATAATGACAGGTGATGATTATGATTGAAAAAAAAACAAATATGGAATGATGATGATGATGAGTTATTATTGTAGAAAATTATTAATTAATTAAGTAGAAAGAAAGAACAGGTAGAAATGAATAAAATGATGATGATGATCAATTAGCGATAAATTATTTGGTTGAGATTTTTTTTTTGTAAAAATTAATTAATTAATTATATATATTTTTTGAATTAGAAGAATTTATCAACAATGTTTTTCTTTTCTTTCTTCAATTTGTTTGGCTAGATTCGGTTGTCGTAATCATTTCAGATTCATTATTAGTATTTAATAATAATTTATTATTTAAATTTAAATCATTTTTCAATTTAGTATTATTTTTATGACGATGTTTACGTAGAAATGGAAAACAATTATAATTATCTTCAATTTCTGGTGGTCCATTCGATATGATTAGATCGGGTGTCAATTCATCACCAAATGGGCCACCAAATATACTTAGCTCTTCAAAACAATCTGTTTCAATTATTTCATTTTGCCAAGGTATCGATACACAACCAGTATTAAATTTTGAATAAAATGTATCATCAGTTGAATCAATATTAACACCTTTTACAGTTGAAAATTGTTCAATATCAAGAACATCTTTGGCATAAACGGCATGTGGCTATATGAAGAATATTCAGTAGAAAAAACATTACAACAACAACAAAAATCAATAAATTTAATTGAAAAAAAATTTCTTTACTTACATCGGGCACAAATGGAGGATCAAGAAGACCAGCTTCAAGTCTTTTCCAATTAATATCTTTGAAAAATATATGATTTTTTACTTCACGTGCTCCATAACGATCACTTGAACAACCAAGTCGATCTCTAACTTTTTTCTGTAACAACTATATTTTTTGATTTGATTTGAAAAACAAAACATTTAATAAAGTTTAAAAGTTTAAAAGTATTTTGTTTTTTGTTTCAAAAAAATCAATATATTTACCTGTCTACAAATTAACATAGAATCTTCGGTAAATTTTTTTGAATATACTTCCTGTTCATATTTAATACGTCTTTCAACTTCTTCACGTTTAACTTTTTCTTTACGTGCACGAAATGGTGCTTTACCTTCAATCATTTCATAAATTAAACAACCCAAACTAAACCAATCAGGACTATATGAATATTTTTCATTATCAACAATTTCTGGTGACATATAACCAACAGTACCGACACGTCCACGTACCATTTCATTTTCAGGTATTTCAACAGCCAGGCCTAGATCTGAAATACGTACATGACCATGATCATCAAGTAAAATATTTTCCGGTTTTAAATCACGATAAACAATACCGATTGAATGTAAATGTTCAAAACCTAATGTAATTTCGGCAGCATAAAAACGAGATCGTTGTATACCGAAACCGGATTCACCACCCATATTATAGATATGAAATTTAAGATCACCACCATTCATTATGGTTAATATTAGGCATAAAAATTCTTTCGTTTCATATGCATATGCAAGACTAACAATAAAACGTGAATTAACTTTTTGTAAAATTTGTTTTTCCGTCAATACCATCTGTTCGCCTTTACGTTTTTTTATACGTTTTTTTTCCAATTTTTTACATGCATACATTTTGCCTGTAGCACGAACCTGACAAGCACATACTTCGCCGAATCCTCCTTTTCCAAGTACACGATACATACGAAATGTTTTGCTTGTAACTGGACGTAATTCTAGAGCTTTCCATTGTAAATATCGTAAAAAATATTTACTATTTTCAAATTCTTTAAACGGTTTTTCCGATAGATAATGTTTAACATAGCTAAAATAAAAATAAAAAAAAATGAATAAAACATTTTAGAATTCAAACAAAAAAAAGTTTGAAAATCATTCAAGCTAAAATTTGTGACAAGCATTACAATAACAACAACAACAACAACAACAATGACAATGATTTGAATAAATTTTGAAAAAATTCACTTACAATGAACAATCGGCAAACAATCCTTTGGTTGCATTCGATGAATTTGATAAACAACGTTCAACAATTTCTTCGGTTAGAATTTCGACAAAATTTTTACTTTGATTATCTGATATTAAAAATTCTTGTATAATTTTTTTGGCAGTTTTTTCCTTTTCTTCCGATAATTCGTAATTTTCCTATATATATTTTATTTTTCCATAATCAATCAATCAATCAATGGCAAACATAGGAAACATTAGAAAAAGAACCAATAATAAAAAAAAACAAATTAGAAATCCGAAATTGTAATTCGGATCACATAGAAAAAATAAATAACAAAAAAATAAATAAATAATCAAGTATTAATCACCAGAGCATCGAGAAATAGATTACAATTATGATATGAAAGTTTTGTTGTTTCACAAAATTTACGAAACAATAGACGACCAATTGGTTGAAGCTCGACAATATATCGATAATGAATATCTGAATGATGAATCGGTTCGTTGATTTGTTTTATATTCGGGGGGAAGGGAAGGAATTGGAGCAAAGAAAAATGACAAGAATTAGAATCAACAACAAAAATAATCAATAATGATGATGATGATAAGAATAAGAAATAGGAAAAACAAACAAACAAACGAACGAAAAAACAATTAGTTTTGTAAAATCACTTGAGTAAAAATAATTAATGAATAAATTACAAACAACTAATTATTATTCATAAGAAAAAAAGGAAAAGATATTGATAACGAAAAAACAATAGGAATGCAATGAATGCATTGAATTTTGATAGAAAAAACAAACAAACAAACAAACCTAATTTATCCTTCAGATAAAGGCATTGTGTAATATGTGGAAGTTGTAATAATTTTTTCCATTTTTTACTTCTGCCTTTATTACTGTCTGGATTGGATGATGATAATTCAGCAGAATGGATGATGTAAATGATTTTTTTTAAATAAGATAAAAGTTTCAAAAATAAAAAAGGATTAAAAGTAAGAAAACCAAAATGAATTAATTAAATTTGAATTTAAATTTTTTTGAAAAAGTTTTCTTTTCTTTTCTCTCTTTCTCAATTTACCTTCACGAGCCTTAAGATACACAGTATTGGCAACAATATTCTCCAATTCCATCAACTCCAGCTTTGACGATTTATTTTTGTTGACGTTTTGTTTTTCTTATTGTTTTCCAGTTGTATCAATATATTTTATTTGATGAATGAATGAACGATTTGAAAAAACTGAAATTCTGAAGAATTAAAGGAGAAAACCAAAAAAAAAAAAATCAATTTTGATAAAATTAAAACAAAACAAAAATCTCTTATCAGAATTACAAAACACTGGAAACAAATCAAAAATCAAAGATAAAAATAAAACAAACAATTCCAAAATCGTATGTCAATCATCATCATCATCATTTTGTATTCATTTCAATTGACAATATCGATATTGATTGATTGATTGAAGAATTTCTCTCTCTCTCTTTTCTTATTCTCGTAAAATTTTTACAGAATGACAGCTCACATGTTTCACTATCATATTTCGTTTTTTTCTGGTTTCAAATATTTCACTTAAAAAAAATAAGAAAAGCTGATACCAACTGACGCCATTTATCCTTGATGATTGTCGTGATTTTCAACAATCTATAATGATGATAATCAATCAAAAAATAGATGGGGTTTTGTTTTCTCACACTGGGTACAGTGATAAAGGAAAGTAGTATGTAGTTTATTATAATAGAATTAACAACTAGAAAATGATATTAATCAAAAAAACGGATTATGGATTAATATCAAAAGAAGGAAAACCGGATTTTGGGCATTTATCATCATCATTTGATCAATTTGACACTTTTTTTTTCTTGTAACACCGGCTAAAATGGAATTGATTTTTGTTGTTGTTGTTGTTGTCTGTAACTTTTTTCTATAGAACAAATCAATCCACATCAATCGATGGTTATCACATTTTTTTTAGACATAATCTTTCTTCTTTTTACAAATCAGATTTTTTTGTTTGTTAATCAATCAACACAATTTAGTTATTTTTTTGTTTTCCTATACCGGATTTGATGTCACTTCGATTTCATTTAATGATTCAATTAGTTTTGGTTTTTGGGCTGGTTTTTTTCTTTGTCCCAAATCGATCATTAAAATACAATTTGAATAAATTGTATTCAAAATTACTAATCAGTTTGGATGAATAATTGTAATCGGTTAGAGTGAAAAACCTTGAAATGAATTTCTCAACAACATCTAATGATGTGCAACGGAAGAGTTTTTTTTTGTATTGATTGATTGATTGATCATGGAAGAAAACCCAAAAAAAATTATTAACCCTTCGATCATTCAGAAACAAAAAAAAAATGATCAAATTCCATATCTGCACGCACACACACAAAACACCTACGCATATTATTCATTTGTTTTGAGAATTTTTTTCGATTATTAAATGACGGATATTTGCGGTAGAAAATAATGATGATGATATAGTGATAATAATAACAACAAAAACAAAACAACAACAAACAAAATTGACATTTAAACAATAACATAATTGACACTTTTGTCTTTCAATGTTTGTTTGTTTGTTTGTTTGTGTTTTTGATTAAATACTGACTGAATAAAATGCTGACACAAACAATTCTTTTTTTATTCATCAAACAAATTAATTAAAGTAAATTGAAAAATAGTAATGATAATAATTACCCGTCAAACAATGGTAAAAATAATAATGATGATCGGGTGATCAGAATCGGAACGAAAAACAAAAAAACAAATGGTATTTGAAAAATTTTGATTATTTACTTTACATCGTTTATTTTGATCGAAATCGTCGAATAATGAAATTCTTTGTTGACAACGATATTTTCGTTTTTCGTTTTGTTTTTTCAATTCGACCACAAATACATTGACGATTTTACACTTGCGTGAATATTATCAATTGAGATTTTTGTTGGTTGGTTGGTTGTTGTTGTTAACCAGCAACGACGACAAACCGAAAAAACCCGAAATATCCGGAAATTAAACAAAACCGAAAATTGAATGATTTGAACGAAAAAAAACGACAATAAGATGAACGAAAAGAAATCAGAATTCGAATAAATTAAATGACAAAATCATTGAATTATGATGATAATAAAGATGATGATGATGTTCATCAACGAGAATCATCAAGAATCATCATCATTTTTTTTTGCTCTCAGAAATTCTTTCATTAAATAAGGCTGAATATGAGAAACAAACAAAATGAACAAACAAAATGAACACACACAGCAAAAAAACAGTCACATCAATTCCACTCAATTAATCGATTGATTAATCAATCAATCAATCGGGTAATAATTTATTGATGATGGTGATGATATTTGAAAATTTTTGAATCACAGAAAAAAAACACTTTTTTTAAGCAAAAAACAAAAAAACCGATTGCTCAACACAAAATGATTGTTGGGTAATTCTGGAAACCAAAGAAAAAAAAAGAAAATTGAAAATCAAAAAAGGAAAATTGAATGTTGAATGATGATTATTATGGAGATTCTGTTCGTTTCAATTTCGATGATGATGATAGGTTCACGGTGAATGAATCCAAGTCCAGTTTGAATTCTTCAATTCGATTCGATTCGATTACATTTCTAATTTCTAATTTCTTTTCTTTTCTTTCGTTTGTTTGATCGGATGATGGTTTTTTTCTTTTTTTCTTTTCTTTTCTTCTTCAATCACTATAATAAAGATATAGATGTTTGTTTGTTATTTGGTTAGTTAGTTGTATATAAATGGATACCCCGAATAGAAAAAAAAACCAAAATAAAAGGTTTTTTTCTTCAGTTTCTCAATGTAATTCTCAATTCGGGAATTTTCGGATGAACAAGAAAAATAAAAAAAATCATGAAATCTTCTTGGTGCTCATGAGCAACAACAACAACAACAACAACAATAAGAAGAAAATTGGTCCAGAACCGGCTACAACAACAACAACATAACATCTATCTTGTGTCCTATACGCACTTTGTATATAACGAGATACACACTAACACTGTATACCACTTTCCCTTTTTTTCTGGTTGTTGTCTTTGCCCAAAACACAGCCACCACAATCCATCCATGAATGATGATGATATATACATGGGATACACATAACAGAAATACACGAAGATACAGACAGATTTTATATAGCAAATTGGATATTTTAATGTTTTTTCATTCATTCAATTCATTTTTTTGTTGAACAACATTAAAAATTAGGAAGAATATGGCATATGGAACATCCTATATAATCATCATAATGTTGTTATTGGAAAGGTTTTTATTTCGCTTCTCAGAAGAAAAAAAAACATTTTTTATTTTTATTTTTTAAAAAATTTTAAAATTAAATTTTCATTATGAATAAATGTATCTTTCTTGTAAAGTTTCTCTATATCGAAAAAAACGAAAAACCTATTACCATTTTCATTTTTGTTCTTCACTCCCATTTTCTTCATTCATTCATTCTCCATTTTCATTATTCATTCGATGTTTTGAATATTGAATGATATTCTTTGGAAACTGAACGAAAGAAAAAATAAAAATTCTAAATTTCATTCAATTCATTTCAGGCGGAAAAAAAATCTTTTTTCTCTCTCTCTCTTTGATAACCAGAATAACCAGAAAAGATAACTAATAAACAAACAATCCGAAAAAAATTATAACCCTTTTTGACCTGAAATTTTTTTTAATTTTAGATTAATTTTCGCTTTGTTTGTTTGTTTGTTTAATGATTATAAATTATTTATTTTGTTTTTTGTTTTTCATTTAGCATCATAAATGATGAATTCAATGAAGTTTGAATGAAGTTTTATTTTAATTGGAAAGCTTTTTTTTTGAAAAAATTTTGTAACAAAAAAAAATTCGTAAAAAGATGTTACTGGTCTGTTTTTTTTTCATTTCAAATTTTCATTAAAATTATTAGTTTTTTTTCACATTTGTTTGTTTTTGTTTTGGGTTGTGTTTTTCCCAACAGAGACCTGTCATACACATATCATTGTCCATCATCATCATCATTATCATTGAATTTTCAAGAATCCCAACAAGAAAAAAAATCATTACCCCCTATGAGAATTAAACAATATAGTCACGTTTATCACGATTTATCATTTTCAAATATACACCACACACACACACATAAATCAAACAAAGAATTTTCTATTATTATTATTATTGTTTTCTATCTATTTATCTTTATGTTGATGATGTTGGTTGACCCAGAATATATTCTCTCACTCTATTTATACCTATATCATAGGTCTATGACGTATGTTTATTATTATTGTTAAGTTTTTTATTATTATTATTATTCTTCACATGCACAGAATTATTCTTGAACATCCTACACACTTGAAACAAACGCACACACACACAAACACATGACAGTTACCCAAGTAACTTTATAATTCAAAATTTATTATCATTATCATGATGATCCTAAATTCTTGGTATTGAAATAAAAAAAAATTCGTCATCATTATCATGTGGATTCCTAATACTTCCTACTACCTAGCCCCAAAAAACCTCCCCTCTCGCTCTCTCTCTCTCTCTCTCTCTCTCTCTCTCTCTCTCTCTCTCTTGCCTCCATTATAATAATTATCCAAAAAAATGGTATACGTTTTAATTTGAAGATGGCGAACAAACAAACAAAAAAACCATATTTTTACATTCATATTTTCAATTAAATTAAATGATAAAATTATAATGATAGCAACAAACAAACAAACATAACTTTTTCATTTATTTAAAAAAAAAATAAAAAATATTACAATTAAATTTATTAAATCTTTGTTGTTACTTGGTGTTGTTTCCTGTGTGTGTATACTCTTTCCCCTCCGGTAATTCTTGGTGATATTTGGATATTGAAAGAATTATATTTTCCCTTCTTCATTCACTTACAATTTTATTAATAGAAATTATTAATTGGATAACGAAACAAACATAGAAAAAGAATAAAATAAAAGATGATGAAAAATAAATGAGAAAGAACGAAAATTAACGATTCTTCTTCTTCTTCTTCTTGATTACTTTTTTCTTCTTCCTATTTTTTTTCTATTTTACTTTAAATTTGATTATTTAATCACAGATTTATATCATCCCATAAATATTGTAAAACTTCAAAATATGGTGAATTCGGTACACATGCCGCTTTTTGGAATGTTTTTATGAACGACATTTTATTATCATCCGATTTGATCTTTTTGTTTTTTTGGTTATGTTGGAGCAAGTTTCGGTGCGTGGGTGAGGGAGAAAAAAAAACGAAAATTCCCATTTCGATTCAGAATCCATACGATGATGATGATGATCATAAATGAAATAAAAAAAATGAAAAGATTATTTGGATTTTTTTTTTTGTGGAAAGAAATGTGGAAAAAAATGATTTGATTTTAGGCCAAAGCAAGCAAAGTTATCAAAGTTAAATTAAAAAAGTATATTCCAGTGGTGGGTAGTGATTGTTTTTTGTTTAATGGCAAAACTTGATTCAAAACACAATTCCAATAAATATTATTATCAAATATACCTCATTGTAGAAATTATTACAGATGGTGAAAAAAGCTCGTTTATCGTGTTCATTAAATTTACCAAATCGATTTTGAAAATAGTAATAACTGATGATGGCGATGATGATGATAATGTTTGCCGCAGCAAAAAATTCCCAATGAATATGAAAAAAAATGGAAAAAACGAAACGAAAAACAAAAAAGATCAAATGAAAATCAAATGGAATAATAAATGAAAAAATATTATATTTCATTTTTGGGATATTGAAATCCATTTTGTTTTGTGGCTGCATTTGGCATTTGCATTCATTTACTCCATTCATTCATATATTACATCTATTTCACAACAAAAAAATATATATAGAACAAAAATAAACATACCATGATCGTATCCAATGATTATGTGATGCACAAATTAAAAAACAAGTTAATGCCCATAATGCATGTGATATTGGTACTAATTGTGTAAAACTTGATAATGATAATATTACCCAATCTTCACCAGTATCATCTGTATGTTGACAATCAATTTGTAATTTACTATAAATCTTTTTTATTTTGTTTGTAGCAAGAAAAAAGAAAGAAAAAAACATTAATGGAATTCTATTATATTGAAAAATATTTGGAAAAGTGAGGTTTTCATTCGGCCAAATCAAAAATGAAGAAAACAAAAAAAAAAGAAATTCTTGTTTACAAAAGAAAATACTTACAATAAAAAGTATTTCAATCAAATATTTATAATGATTCTGTTGTTTAGATAAAAATTCACCAATACATTTATTTAATATATCTTGTGGTGGAAAAAATTCAGCTAAAAAATAACCAAATACTTGACAAATAATCATTGCATCAAATGAATTACAATAACGTAATGGTTCAAATATGATTGATAATTTTTCCATTGTTTTAAATAATTCATTACTACCGTCAGCATTTGGATCATCATCATTTGTATTATTATTATCATCATCATCATCATCATCACCATTATTGGTTTCTAGATTAAAATTTGTTGTTTCCACTTTACAAATGTTTGTTTATTATTATTTTGTTGTTGTTGTTGATAATAATGGACAATAAATAATGAATGAATTAGTGATCATAGAACAAAAAAAAAACAGAACAGAAAGGAAAAACAGAAACAAAACAAAACATTTACAGTTCCCATTTCATTTCACAAAAAAAAAGAAGAAAAAGAAAATTCTTACCTAAATATGTTGTATTAATAATCATATTCAACATTTCAATCTGATTTGATTGATGATTATTTTTATTCATACGTTTCATTGATAAATTTCTTAATAATTTTGCTTCATTTTTATTTAATTTTTTTTGTCGTATAAATTTTTCCAAATATAATGTTATTATTTTTATTACATTTATATTAATATCTTTGGATATTAATCTAATCAAGCCCTATAAATGTATACAATTGAAAGAATGTGTACAACAAAAAAAAAAGATTAGGCAACAATTAGAATCCAGAAAAAATACAAACAAACAAAGCAAAACAAACGAAAAAATACCTTTATAATCTTTTCATTTTGATTGTGTAGAAAATCCTGATTCGAATCAATCAATTTGAATGAAATTCGTACCAATTTTTCAACATATTCTTTACAATAACTGCTTGGTCTATTTTGGAAAAAAATAAAAGATTTCAAATCATTTATAAGGAAAGAGAGAGAAAGAGAAAAACAAATTAGATTAGATTTTCACTGGAAACTCACATGATATGTTCAGTATTCAAATGTTTGATAATATAATCCAATAATGGCTGTAAATCTTTTGTTTTGATAATTTTTCCATCAATCATATAATCAATTGCATCAATCGAATGTATACGTGTTGGTAGGAAAAATTCTTTAAAATTTTTTTCAAATATTTGCTTTTTTTGCCGTTCAATATGTTCATCCGAATGTTCATCTAAAATTGTATAAAATTTACATAAACCAGTACCGATAAATTGGCCAAGTATTTCATCATCATAATTTTCAACAATTTTTTGTAAATCAATAAACAAATTCAATGCATTACGATATTGATTACGATCAACAAATAATTCGGATAAAATTAATGTTGATCTAGCTATTTCGGTTATGATTGGAAAATGTATTAGATTTTTATTCAATAATGATCGAATCTGTTGAGCGTAATAATCGATCAAAAATTGTATACATGAATATAGATCAATCGATGTTTGAACATTATTATTAACTGCTACTATCGATGATGATGATGATGATGATTGTGTTTGAAGTGATTCCGATTGATTACGTTCGATTACATTCGATGAAAAATGAAATTCATGAATTGATTTGAATTTATAATGAAATGAATGATTCAATATTGGATCATTATAACGTTTTAGGATTTGTCGATCTGAATGAAATTTTCTATGAATAATATGATAAATTTGTTCATATTTTTCACCAAATGATGATGATATTTTATCATCATCATCATTATTATTATCAATATCATCATATGAATCGGATATAGAATAATCGGAATGATAATCATTTGATAGCATTGTTGTATTTGCATTATATAAAAGATTTGTAATAGCTATTATTACTAATTTTGTAAGTAAAATATATTCACTTAATTCTTCAATACTAACACCTTGACGATATTGTGTTATAAGTGATATTGATTCGGAATATACACCCAATAATGTCATCCATATTTCTTCAAATTGTATTCGACTTACGAAACCAATATTAGCAATACGAAATAAAAATTGTCGAAATATTTCCGTTTCACAAAGAAATTGTGATGCCATTATCGGTAAATTTGTTAATGATTGTATACCATTCCAGATATTTGCATTTGTTGAATTCAATAGATTATATGGTATATAAATTAATGAATTAAAATATGGTAAACGACATATATTCAATATTATTCGTTGCATTATTCGATGATAAAGTGATGATGGTGGTGGTATTGGAATTTTCATTCTATTCATTGAATCATTTTCCAACGAATGAAACATTGTAATTATTTTCTGATAATCATTAATTGTAATATATTTTGATTCAAATGAAATATAATTTAAATCAAAATTAATGAAAATATTATCCATTGACGATATTGAATAATCTATTTCAATTATTATTATGAAATGTTAAGCAAATACAAAAACAAAAAACAGAAAAACAAAAAATGTACGGAATTAGAAAAAAAAAATCTTGTTATTGTAAATGAAATCATACGAAATTGAAAACTTACGATGTTTAAATGAATAATAAATTGAATTGATCAATGTTAATTGTAAACAAAGAAATTTTTCCTCACCAAATTGAACAAATAATGTACGATTATCGAGGAAATTTTCAATTACATTCAGAATATTCAATATATTTTGATAATTTTGTCTATCCTGTTCATCATATAATAATGTTGAATAAACGATTGTTAAATGTATGATTATCGATTGTATCGATGATGATGATGATGATGATTGTTCCGGAAAATAATTATCAATCAAATAATTTTCAAACAATGATAAATGTTCAATAAAATAGATAAATGATGAACAAAATGATTGTAATAAATCATTATAAAATGGATAATCATCATGTATCAAAAGTTTATTACGAATATCATTCAAATCGATTTTTCGAACATTATTATCATCACCATCAACATTGTTGTTGTTCATATTAAATAAATGAATCAATGGAAATCTTTCAAGAATCGATTGTAAAAATCGGCAATAAATTGGTACAATAAATTTGGCCATTTCTTTTGCATCAAGTGATTGTTGTTGTTGTTGTTGTTTATGTTGTTTTGTAGCACTGCCAACAACAACAATACCTTGTTGTTGGCTATCTTGTTGATGTTTTTCAACAATCAATTTCAAAATAATAATAAAATTTTCAAATGAAAATTTTGATGAAAATATTAAATCAATAATATCATTATTTGTAAGACGTTCCAATGATGTCATTATATTCGTTATATTGATCGGTTGTCGTCGTTGTGATAATTGATTACCAATCAATATTTTAAACCAATTTTTATCCATATCCGGAACGGCAATACGTTTCAATCTTAATGGATCTTTTATATCTTTATGATGATGACGTTTTTTTCTTGCAAAACGTTGCTGTTGTTGTTGATTAGTTGAATTTGAATTATTATCATTGATTGTATCATAGAATCTTACACGTATCATTTTTAATGTAAAATATAATTTATTATATGATGTATGTTTGACAATTTTTAATAGATTATTAAAATCATCAAAACTAAATAATAATTGTTGTTGTTGTTGTTGTTTTTTAGTTGATTTTCTTGATTTATAATCATAAATTAAATTCAAACGATCAATAATAATTGTTTCAGCATATTTACAACATTTATAATATAATGATAATCGTATATTACAAATATAACGTTCAATAAGAAACATTATTAATGCAATATTTTGTCGATTATGTGAACGTTCTAAACAATAAAGAATTTTCTGTACCATTAATGGACTATCATTATTTGTATTAAAAAGTTCATCACATTTTGAACTTATTACTTGTAATAATAAACCACTTGATACTGGTTTACGATGTATTGTATTTATAAATTCTTTGATTGGCATTTCATGACAATGTTCAATTATTTCATGTAAATAATTTATTATAAACCAAGATAAAAATTCAACATTTTCAAGATTTTCGGATAAATAATCACATAGTAATATTAATGAACATCTTTTCAAGATTTCCCAGTTGATTATTTTTGTTTTTGTCATCGTTGTCGTCGTCGTTATTGTTGTTGTTGTTTGCTTTGATTTCATATTATTCCCATTGGAAAAGATGTTAATTTTATTTCTTTCAATACATTTGGATAGTATTTTTGCCAATCTATCATAGTTAAGTATGTATAGAAAATTCAACCATGAAATTGTAATAAATGGATAGAATTTTGTAATTTTTAGAAAAATTTCATTAACCATACGTAGATTAAATGTTTCATTATTCAATGATAGATATTCTGATTTTGGTTGTTGTCTTATTAATAATGTAGCAGATCTAGTTAATCTTGGATAAAAACCCGATTGAAATAATGAAACTAAAATCATATGATAATGACGATAAAATGTTACAATTAATTTATGATCATTAACAACAATATTATTATTATTATTTGAAATTAAATAATAATAATTTCCATTTGAAATATCTGAATCAATTTCCATAATAATTTTCTGTAAAAGATTTAATAGAAAATAAGCAAAAATATCTTCAGAATCGATTTTTTCCAAACAATCACCTGTACAATTATTAACAGGATTCAATATAATTATATTCATTTTCATTTTAATATAATCAATTTCTTTCATAATAGTTGTTTCATTCATATCCATTAATATTATTTTCAAATACATTAAGATTTTTGGTAACCAATGTTTGAATAGAATTTGTGAATTTTGATATGATCGATATTCATTGAACATAATCTCCAATAATGATTGTGATGATGATGATAATGCTGTTGTTTTTGTTGTTGTTGTTGTTGTCAAACAAGATAAAACACTTGGACATAATGTAGCCAATAATGATTGTAATGAATTAAAATATTCTTGTGAATCGATTCGTATATGATTTGTTAATAATTTTCCAATAATAATATCTAAAATTTGTTGTGAAAGATCATTCCATTTGATTGGATCACAATGTTTATAATGTTGTAATATTAATGTTAATAATTTGAATGTACCTTTTTGATTGATTAATTTAAAACAATAAGCAACAATAACTTCTTTTTGTGTTTCAATAGCCATAAAAAGTTCATCATTAATTAATGTTGTTAGATTTGAATTATTTGATAATTTGGATGATGATGATGAAAAATCTAAATTAAAAATATGTTCAATAAGTATATGTAGACCATCGATAGCTAAACATTGATGACCATTAGCAATTAAATTATCACATAATTGTATAATTTTTGGTATGCTAACCAAATCATCATTAATATAATGTTCAGCTGAAAGTGTTGCTAAAAAATGAAATACATGTTTCATTAATAATTCGTATGGACCGGAATCATAAATCATTTCCAATTGTTCAAATTGTTTCATAATAAAACTGATGAAAAAATTTTCCGAATCAAGTAATGAATAATTTATATGAAATTGTATTAATTGTACAAATAAATCTAATATGATTGATTGAAATTTTATATCATTACTGAATGCATAATGTTTCATTGATTGTATAACTAATGGTTCAAAACATTGAATTTTTGTTGTTAGAAATTTTTTCAAACAAAAATCAGAATTTTTCCCAATTGAAATTCCACGTGTTACATCGGAATTCATTATTTTTATATATTTATATTCAATCCATTTTCTTAACCAATTTAGATATGATATTGATGGTAAAGTTGTTGATGATGATATTGTTGTTGATGAAGAATGATCAACAACATTACCACCAATCGATTGAAAATCATTATATTTCATATATGGAATAACAAAACAAATATTATATAAACTATTCAATTCGATTGATAATGATTTTGATTTGGTATTTCGACGACCACGACTACGACGATAATGATGCGAATGATGAACATTACGAAAACTATCATTATGATTAAATATTTCCATAAACAATGAAATATAATTAATTTCAAATATACATTTCATTAGTTGATTAATTGTTTTGATTGTAGCCGATGGATTCATATAGAATATCATTTTCAAATAGATAAGTATATCTTCTAAATGATTACATAAAAATGATGAACTTGTAAATTCTAATAATTTTGAAAATATTATTAACATTGTATTTAGATGTGATGATTTATCACTTGTTGTACGTGCCGATATTGTCGCTGATTTACGATGATGATGATGGTGGTGGTGGTGATGGTTACGATGATTTTTAAGAATTTCAAACAATCGAAATGATATTGAATCAAATGCCAAAGCTTCACGACGACGTGATGCTTTTGTTCCACTAAATGGTGATGATGATGATATAGCTGCTGATGGTTCTTTACGATGTTTATCTTTATTCATATCGAAAAAACTTGTAGAATGTTTTCGTATTATTGCCGATATTGATTCTCTACGTGTATAAAGATTATGAATAAATGTTGTAAATATTAATGGATTATCTTCATTAATTGCACTATAAATAACAATAATTTTATATAAATAAAGAAAAAATGTTTCAATACATTGAGCAAATTCAATGGAAATCATTTGATGAAGATAATTTGTTGATTCAATATGTATTTTATTTGAATGATGATTTTGTAGCTGATGAAAATAGTTAATACAAACACCTTCGATTAGATTCATAATTAATTCGGCAAGATTTTGTTGTATGGATAAATCATTAAGTATCATTGGATTTTTTGTTAAAATTTCAATAAGTAACATAATCATTTCAACTGAATTATGTTTTGATTGATCATCATTTGATTCGATAAGCCAACCATTTGAATGTTTATTTGGTGGATATAATCTTGATAATGTACATAATGAATTTAAACAAATTGTTAATGTTTGTTTACAATGATAATGTTGACGTAATTTGTAGAAAAATTTCTTAACAAAATAACCAATATTTGATTCGATAATAAATTTTTTAAAATTAATAAATTCATCATCATCATCATCATCAATTTCATCAGCATCAACATCATTGATAATCGATTCAAAATTTGAATCAAACAATTGATTTTCATTCAATGGTTGTTCAAAAAGATCTAATGATGGAAATTTACCATTAAAATATTTTGATTTATCCAATTGATAATCATCATTTGATAGAATTGAATTTATAACCAATAAATTGATACAATCATTTTGGAAGACATAATTATTTAGGCAAATATTATCAATAAAATTTGGTAGTAAATTTAATGTTGCTTGTCGTACACGATAATCAGAATCGAATATAAAATGAAAAAGTATTTCTTCCAAAATTAATTTTGTAATTGGAACATGTTTTAGATGATGATTTGGAATTTTTAATAATTTCCATTCATCAGCGTTTGATTTAAGTATAAATTCCATATGTTTCAAATATGGAATGGAAATTTTGGCAAATAAAGTGATCAATTCAATTTTGATCAACCAATATGAATTATCTTTCAAACAAATTAACTGATGTATTAGATTGAATATTTGTATAATATTAATTTCATTATGTTCGATTAATATTGGTAGAAATTGTTGTAAACTAATCAATACCTGACGAATTGTAATTGATGATGAATCCAATAGAAATTTTTCCAATAAATTTAAAAGTGAATCAAGTGAAAGCTCATCATTATTATTATTATTGTTTCGTGTAAGAAATTCATCATAAGAAAATGAATATGATAATGTACGTTGCAAATATTTTCCAATAATCATTGCTATATGTCCACGTATATTTGGATCTGAATGTGTTGAATATAATAATATATCATTGATTAATTGTTGTGAAGTTTTTTTATGTACAATTTTATCCAATAAAATTTTTGGACAATGTTGAACAATTGATGTTAAACAAGATAATGATAAACTTTTAATTGCTACACGAACTTCTGTATCGGTCATTAATTGACCTGATTGTCCTTTGAGTAGATATTTTAGACAAATTAGTTTTCCAACATGTTCAAATGAAAATAATGGACCAAGATTATAATCATCCAAATCAATTGAATTGAATTGATTTTCAGTAATAATCAAATCAAACGATGATGATATATCGAATGGTGAATTTAAACATTTATGGCTTGTTGTATTTAATGATGATGCTTCGGATGATAAATCAAATTCAGGTGTTTTATTTCCAATCGATTTGGTATCAATTTCACTTTCATGATCAAAAATCATTGATCCAGTATTTTCAATTAAAGAATTGGAAAACATATTTTCACTTGCTTCCGAAACATCATCATATAAATCTACGGTAGATCCTGCATTACTAAAATAAATACCCGCTTTTTCAAATGTATCATCTTCAAATTCATCATTAAGATTTTCCAGATTTACCAATGAATCATTATTAACACTTTTCATTACTGATGATCGAAATGAACTTATATGTTTGAATTCCATTTCTTCTTCACATAAATCTGTAAACATTTGAAAAATTTTTTCAGGCATTACATTGAAAAATTCAGCTAAAGCTTCGAGTATAGCAATAATCAAAATATTATTTGTTGCATGTTTCATTGTCAATATCATCTGTTGATAAATATAGGATAAATTTTTCAATAAAGAATCAAATAATTTTGGATGTTCATTTGGATCAAGATATTTGATTAATTTGGAAAACGAACATTTTGCCATCATAAATATACCAGTAAGTAGATAATCTTTATTCTCTGTATTGTTAGATTTTATCGATGTTGATATTAGATTGCTAACATGATTCAAAGCAACATTAAAATAATGATCCGATTTTCTTGCACTATCACATAGGATGACAATCGAAATTGAAGAATATCTTCGAATTGTATTCGATGATGATGATAGATTAATAAGATAGGCATTCATTATATCGAATATTTCTCTTTCGGTTGCATATGGTGTAAGCAATGGATAAATTTTACAAATAGCTGTATATAATGATTCTTGTACAAGTTCATCTTTGCAAAAATCGATCAATATCGTTAAAAAACTTGAATATAAATTCATTGTGAATGCACGATATTTGTTCGGACGAATTCGATGACATATTTCGGCAAATTTTGTCAATGATAAACGTAGTGAACGATTTGATGAAAATTTTGTTATACCTTTACATAGTTCACTTAATAATCGATTTGAATTGAATTCAATAAGATTGCCAATAATTTTATCAAATGTTTCTTGAACAACATTATGAACATCTATATCATCGTTATTGCAAAGTTGAAATAAAAGTTCAATAGATTGTGATAAGAATTTATTGAAATCCGGATGATTTCTATGATCAAACACAGAAAACGCCTATTAAACTTTGCGAAAAAAAAATTCAAAATAGAAAAAAAATTTACCTAAAACTAGTCGAGATTAGAATATTGCCAAGATGATCACATTGTTTAAGACATTCTTTTTTATCAACAATATTATCTTGTCGCCTTGAATAATCAGAAAAAACAAAACAAAATCATCTCATCTAAAAGTTATGCATTTTTTTCGACAAACTTACAAATATTTGGGCGAAATTAATGATTTTTCCGATGGTAATTGTCCAGATATTTTCGGTGTTTGTATTGTAAATTGTTTTATTAATTCAAAACTACGTTTAAACTTTTCAATATTTGCCATTTTTTTGTTCCTATCAATATTCAAATAATGATTCTATAAAATTCATGATAAACTCAAAAATTCTTTGATTCACCTTAATATTGTTGATATATCAACAAATTATATTGCATAATACAAAACATTCGCAGCGACTGTTACCACATTGATCGACCATTCGTGTCGTTATATCAAAATATTTTGGGAAAAAATTTAGAAAAAAGAAAAAATTTAAAGAATTTTATTTTTAAAAATAAAATTATCATCATTATCATTAGCTATATTCGAATGTTGATGAACAAGTACAAACATTTTAACGGGTAATAATTCTTTTGGCATTCTTTTTTGTCGAAAAATATTTTTAATAATTAAATTCGGTACTTTGGAAAAGATATTTAAAAATTGTGTTTCGGTTCTCGTTACAAAACCATCTTCTTCATCAACATAAGGATCATTATTACCCGATACATTATCTTTGATCACAATAAATCCATGTTGTTTATTTAGGATTCGAAGACATTTTTCAAGAAATAAAATTAAATCTTCATCGGTCAAATAACCATAAACCCATTGACCCCAAATACAATCATAGATTATACCATCGATAGGAGTAAATTCTTGCATTCCTTGTATAAAAGTATTCTTTACACGATGATAATCATTGCCAAGAAAATCTTTGGCTTTTAATATAAACGTTTCATTTTGTTCGAGTAGATCGATTTCATCGAAAAATTTCGATAAAACATATTTACTAACACGACCAATACCGGCACCACAATCTAAACAACGAAGTTGACGATTATTCGATTGATTGATTGGTTTCAATAGAATTCGAAGTAATTTTCTTGATTCATCAACATCGCTGGTATTGATATTCGACCAACCGCCTAACATTCCATCAATATTCGGTGCAATACGATTCCAATATGTTCGACTTTTTTCATATAAATCATCATCATCATCATAATCAGCCATATTGTTTAATTTTGTGAATGTGTGTGTTTGTCAAATTTTACAAATAAAAATATTGATAAAATTCATTCGAAATTCAAAAAAAATTATCATCATTTTTATTATCATAATCACAGATGATCAAAGAATTAAACATGCAGACATCAAATTTCAGCATTCTATAGTCATATTCATAGATTACGTTAATCTTTTTAAAAAAAAAAAAATTATTTCAGAATTTTTTGCATTACAACCAATATTCTTGAACAATTTTTTGTTAATTTTTGTTCACCAAATGATAATAAACGAAGATTTTCATGTTGAAAACGTATAGCCGGATCTTGATGATCATATTTTGGTAATGAATCTATTTGTGGTAATGTTTGTGTTTGTTGTTGTTGTTTGAAATTTTTATAATCATTATTTTTATAAAAATGTTTAAAATATGGTGCCCAAAATATAACAATACCATTTGGTTTTAAATGTTGTGCAGAAAAATTTAATAAATCATTATAAATATCATCAAGTTTATATTGTAATTTAGCTGGTAAATGACGATCAAGATATTCAATCGGTATGGTTGGATCAGATTTTTTCGTACCAATACGTTCACGTGATTCTCGTATACCATATGGTGGATCAGTAATAATTGCATCGAATTCAATATCATTACGAAATAATGGTAATGATGAATCACCAGCAATAACATCAATATATCTGGATTCAAGTTTATATTGTTTAAGATTTCCATGTACAGATTCATCATCACCACGTTGTTGAGCACCAACTCTTGTTGGTTTTATCATACCATGTAATAATGGATAATCAATATCTGTACCACAAACATAGGCACCAAAATAAGCAGCTGATACCAGTATACTACCGGAACCGACAAAAGGATCATAAACAATATCATTTATATTGATTTGAGCAATATTAGCCATCAGAAATGATAATGTTGCATCCATCGATGTATTGGCTATAAATTTTCTTGTTTTCAATGAAAATGTTGAACATAATTTACGATTACTATCAGTAATCCATTTTCCAAATAAAATTTGATATGGTTTTTCGGGTTGTCGATTAGGATTTAATCCATAATATTCCATATAATAAAATGTTACATCCGGATTAATCATACGAATTTTTCCTTTCAATGGTAAACCTGATAAACGTTCGATTCGTTCAATTTTTTGTTGTTGTGAAATTTTTCTACCAAATGCTTCAACTTGTATACGAAATGAACAATTTCGATAATAATCATTATGAATTTGTGAACAATTATTTACTTCATCAATAAATTCATCAAAATCCGATGATGAAACCCAACATTCGAATAGACTTGTTGCTAAAATGATTCGATTGAATAAATTCAATAAGGCAGCTTCATCATCAGTCTCGATTATCATGAATGGCTTTTGGATTAATGAAAATTAAAAATCAATCGATTTGTTTTTGAAATAATTTACCTTTTCCGATATCGGTTCAATGAATTTAAAATCTAATTTATATAAAGATGCTAATGCATTGAATTCCTTGAAAATTTAAATTATTTATAACAACAAAAAAATTTCTCGTCTCAAATTTTCCCTAAAAAACTTACCATCGAACGAAAATTATTCAATTCATTAGCAAAACGTATGACATATGATTTTTTTGTTTGAGACATTTTGTCAAAAAAAAAAGATTTTTATTCTTTTTCTTTTATCAAAAAAAAGAAAAATCAAATGACATTTTTCATTGAGAAAAAACAAACACACATGATAAATTTTCCGAAAAAAACTTTAGCCATCCGAACAAGAAAACTTTTCGGGAAAAGAAAAAAAATTTGAAAATTGCGGTTAATTTGAAATAATTGGATAATTATTGGTTAAACATCAGAAAAAACGACACATTATCATTATAATAATTTGATAATTGTAATAATTTTTTTTTAATTACAAAAATAACTAATTCGACCTAATCATTTTGAACAATAAAAAAAGAATACAATTTAGGTCAATCAATGTAACAAATTGAAAAAACAATGAATTCGGTGATCACATTAAAAAAAATGAAATATTTAAATTAATCCGCTACCATTGTCTCATACATATTTGATGACAATGATGATAAACATATTTTTATGATCATCATCATCATCATAATCATTTGCATTTGAAATTAATATTTTATGATTTTATCAATTCTTTATTTAAGTTGAAAATTTCGAAATCAATTTTTTTCATGGTAAAGTACTCCATTATGGATCGATCCAACAGACTCTGATTTGAAGTTTTGGTAGCGTTAGAAAAAACCGGTTACAAGTGTTTTTTTTTTGTTTGTTTTCATACTTCAAAACAGAAAACAAAAAAAAATGTAAACAAAAATAATTTGATTTCGTCAAAAACTAAATCAACCAACCATGTTAAGTTCAATGATGATGACGACAACCAATATAGACAAAACTTTTTTTTTGAATCCAATAGATTCTCTTCTTCCTTTCTTTCTCTGTATCTCTCATTTTTCAATGAACAAGCTACAAGGAGAGAGAGAAAACTTTCTCTTTCGTCAATGTATCTATCTCTCTCTCGCTATATAATCAAGCAACACAAACTAACATATTGGATGCCCAAAAACAAAAAATTATCATACTGCAAACAACACTATTCTATATGATGAAAAACGAAAAAAAAAAATTCTAGTTTGTTATTTCGTCGTTCTTTCTTTTTTTTTGTTTGGGTTTCATTCAATGGCGCATTCATATGAATGCACATCAATTCAATTGTTTCATAGCGCGCCTCTGTCATTCGTTAGTTGTACTGCGGTTTAATCGTATATTGATTTGCTACTCCATTCTGGTTTTGTGTATTGGATTCGTTTAATATTTTTGTTGATGAATTTTTCAATTGTATTCAATTCTATATAGACACAACAGTGGTGGTGGTGGTAGTAGATCTTTCTTTTTTTTAATATTTTGGTGTCACCCATTTTATAAACATTCATATTTATCGTCGGTATTATTTAAATAAATATTTTGCGTTTTAATATAATATCATATGTGATTTGAAGATTATAAACATTATCACCATTGTCGATGACATTTTCTGGTTGTATGTGTGATATTATTGATGCAGCAGCAGTGATATTAAATTCAATCCAAATATTATCAGCAAATTTATTATTATTATTATTTTGGTTGAATGTCGCCCCTTTTATTTTCAAACAAAACCAAAAAACAGAACAGCTAATAAATCAATGATGTAGGATTTTTTTTTATATATTTGATAAAATTTATAATAATGATGACGATGATTGTTGTTTGTTAAATGTTGATATATTTTATTTTTTACTTTCAAATGATAATCAATCAAGATTTTTGTATATTTTCCACTGCAGTGTTTACTTTTTTGTTGTTGTTGTTTGTTTGTTAACGAATTTTCATCAAATTCGAATCATTTGTTTTTCCGGAATCTTTTCTACATCCCTTACTCAGGTTCCGGAAACTTTACCTTAATCAAATTATTCCTAGGTCTTTTAATTAATTTCATTTTTTCTAATTAATTAGAAAATGTCTACACAAATTGTTCTGCCAGCATCACCATCACCATCACCATCATCAACATCATCCAAATCGAATCCATCGTCAGCGTCATCAACAACAGCAGCAAATAAATCATCATCAACAACAACAACAAAAACAAATCGTTATCGTTTTCGTCCACAACGTAAACCTGAATTACAATTAGATAAAAATGAATTAAAACAACAATTAACACCATTACAATATAAAATAACGCAGGAAAAATTTACTGAAAGGTATTTTTATTTTATCGTTTATTAAGAAAAAAAGAAATCCTTAAATTATACTCAAACCATGGTTCAATGATTCTCAAGTCCTCGTTTTTTTTGATCATCTTTTGTTTGTTGCTGTTTTAAATTGTTTATTTATCTGTCAATCTTTGTTTTCTAATGTTGTTGATAATAATTGACTGACAGATCTGGATCCTATTTTTATCTTTTATGAAATTTTGGCTTTTGTGTAAATCATTATTCTTTATGAAATTTACCTTTTTTGTGTTCGTTTTCTGACTTAATGATTTTTTATTGTTTTTTCTTTGATAAAAATTTTTTTTAGACCATATTCAGGTGAATATTTACGTCTTAATGATCAAGGTATCTATTGCTGTATTGTATGTGGTGAAGAAATATTTTCATCCGATACAAAATATGATTCGGGTTGTGGTTGGCCAGCATTCTATGATACAATTGATGGTGATAAATTAATTAATCAAATGGATCTTTCACATGGTAAGTAAACCATGAATCGTTGTAGTTGATTATTAATGCAAATCGAATTCAGACATTGATTGAAAATCAATCAATCAATCAATCAATTGTCGATCGATTAGAAACATGATTGAGAAAACATTCATTTTTCCTTAGAAACAAAATTAGATTGATTTCCTGATTTTGAAAGATTTCACTGTTTTTTTTTCTGAATAAACTTTTTTTTTGTTGATAGAAAGAAAGGAAAATTTGGCAGCAGACAGAAGGAATCAATGTTTTCTTTTTTTCTAAATATTGTTCGACAAATCACGGCCATCGTTAATGGCCTTGATTTGGATTTTTCTTTTTCGTTGAAATTTTGTTTCTTGTTGCATTTTTTTCATGGCGGTGTTAATGGCATAAAAATGTTAAATTCAATACAAACAAAAAAAAGGAATGGAAAAAATTTGAAAAATTTTTCTTTTTTTGGATAGAAATTTGTAATTTGTTTTTAGTTGTCGAAGTTCTGTTCTGTTGATTGAAAATTTTGTAAACAAACTTTTTGGCACAAAAATTCGTTCGAATAATGTTTGCGCACGCGTTAATCGAATTCGAAAGTTTTTTTTTTGATGATCCATGATGAAAACAATGAAGATTACTAAATAATCGTTTTTGTTGAAATTTTTTTTTAATTTAGTTGGCGGAAATCTTCTATTATTAGCATTAAATCAAGATCTTGCACGTACTGAAGTAAAATGTGCAAAATGTGGTGCACATCTTGGTCATGTATTTGATGATGGTCCACGACCAACCGGTAAACGTTATTGTGTTAATTCAGCTGCATTAAAATTTAAAAAATCTAATGGTGAAGAAATTATCTGTGATACATTATTGTCATCATCATCATCAACATCAACATCGAGCTGCTGTTTTCGTTCGCCCACCAAAATAATTGATTCCAAATCATCATCATCATCATCATCATCGACATTACCACCAACGCCAACGACGACAACGACATTACCACCTTCACAGCCTACAACAAAATCGTCATCGGTTACCGTTAAAGATGATAATTCAACAAAAACATTATCATCGGATTCATTAGCAAATAAAACACCATTATCAATACCGACAAAACCTTGTCGTCAATCAAAACAATCAAAAACAAAATCATTATCACCTGCAACACGTACTTTGAATGATAATGGAACAAATGAAACAACAACAACAACAACAATACAGCAGCCATCATTGCATGCAAGAAAAGTTCAGATGAATAGAGAAGATTTTTTCAAATCATCACCATCATCAAGTAATTCAATTCGTACATCTAAATATAACGAAATCAATGACCGAATAAAAAATTCATTATCATCATCATCAACAGTAACAACGACAACAACAACAACAACAACAACAAAGCCTATTTCAATCAACAATCGTACGAGAAGAATTGCCCAAACATTTGATAATGAACAACAACAACAGAATTCTAAAAATGATATGAATAATAATAATCAATATTGTGGTAAGCTGACAAATTTGTCATCATCAACGACAGCAAATAATAAATTATATAGCGATGTAAAATCACGTTATCTTGATCATTTGGATATGATGAGTAAAAAAAGTGTTATCAAACATACATTTACATCGTTGTCGGCGAAAAAATCATCATCATCTAATTCAACAACAACAACTGCACCGGTACTGGAAAGTGATTTGTAAATTTTTTTTTTGATAATTTTCTCTGATCTTTGTTTGTTTTTTTTCTGTTTGAAATTCTGTGATGTTGAAATGTTTCTTTCAACAAAAAAAGACAATTTGTATTTGATTTCTTTGAATTTTTTCCCGGTTTTTCAACAATTTTTTCTTATTTCAATTTACAATTAAAAATTATTTGAAAAATAAAATTTAAAAATAAATTTTTTTTTCTGATAAACTATACGCCATCTTTTGTCGTAAAATCTATTCATTGATTCACAAATTTATTCGAAAGATGGCGTAAAGATCCTGGATTTCTTCGATGCTCAACACTGCAGTGACGTGGTCTTTACTCAATTCGATGGATCGTGTTGGTGGATTGACCGGCTGATATTCATTCATTTTTTTTGGATTCTTGATTTTATTTCAACAAAAAAAACTTATCATTTAATCATGGCCGAATCAATTTGTTATACGTTAATAAATGTTGAAACTGATGATACTACGAATGAAGTTTCGATACGAAATGATATCGGTAAATATATTTTTTTGCTAAATGATGTTGAATTTTGAGTTGTTAAACGTTTGTTTTTCACAAAAAAAACTAAACAGAAAAAGGTGATACGAAATCTAAAATTACAGCATTGAAAAAATTAATCTACATCATTTTGAATGGTGAAAAATTTCCACCAAACATGTTAATGTTTGTCATTCGTTATCTTTTGCCATCGAATGATCATCAAATTAAAAAATTATTATTAATTTTTTGGGAAATTGTACCGAAACGTGGTCCGGATGGTAAACTATTGCATGAAATGATTTTAGTTTGTGATGCTTATCGTAAAGATTTACAACATCCTAATGAATATCTTCGTGGTTCAACATTGCGATTTTTATGTAAACTTAAAGAACCGGAACTTTTAGAACCATTATTGCCAACCATTCGACAATGTTTAGAACATCGTCATTCATATGTTCGCCGTAATGCAGTATTAGCTATATTTAAGATCTATATGAATTTTGAATTTCTTATACCGGATGCACCGGAATTGGTTTTGGATTTTTTGGGACGAGAATCTGATGCTAGCTGTAAACGTAATGCATTTCTAATGTTGATTCATTTGGATCAGAAAAAAGCTTTGGATTATTTGAATTCATGTTTAGAACAGATTGGAAGTTTTAATGAAATTCTTCAATTGGTTATTGTCGAATTGATATACAAAGTTTGTATATCTAATCCAGGTGAACGTTCAAAATTTATTCGTGCAATTTATAATCTATTAAGTATGTCTACATCGGCATCTGTTCGATATGAAGCTGCTGCAACATTGGTCACTTTATCGCAAGCACCAACAGCATTGAAAGCTGCCGCAAATTGTTTCATTGATATTTGTATCAAAGAAAGTGACAACAATGTTAAACTAATTGTGCTGGATCGTTTGATTTCATTGAAAGATTCAGCTTCTGGTGCTGAACGTATTCTACAGGATTCATTGATGGATATTCTACGTATATTGAATGTAGCAACCGATTTAGAAGTTAAACAAAAAGTTTTGAATCTTTCATTGGATTTAGTTAATCTACGTAATGTTGAAGAATTGGTTCAATTATTGAAAAAAGAAATCCTAAAAACCCAGAATGAATCACATGGAACACAAGAAGAGAATAGTAAATATTGTCAAATGTTGGTTAAAACTATTCATGTTATTTGTATGAAATATCCCGATGTAATCAATTCAAGTAATGTTCTGACAACATTGTTTGAATTGTTGGCCACTAAAAATGATGAAGCAACCGCCATATTAGTTATTGTTTTCTGTAGGCAATTCATTTCGAAAAATGCTCAGCTTAAAAATTTTATCCTAAATAAATTGATGGAAGTATTTGCATCGATCAACAATGTCAAGGTACATCGTGGTTTGATTTGGCTTTTGGGCGAATTTTGTGATGAAAATGCTGTTCAATTACAAGAAGTACTTGAACTTATTAAAACATCTATGGGAGAATTGCCTATCGTTGAAAGTGAATTACGTAAACTTGATGATGGAAATGAAGATAATTCAACCTATGTAAATCATGATGCTTCAAAAACTTTGGCCACTTCATCGGCACCAAAATTGGTCACAGCCGATGGATCATATGCAACACAATCGGCATTAAGTGTAACAACAAAAACAACAACTAATGAACAATCACAACCACCATTACGTCGATATATGTTGGTGAATAATGAATTTTTTATTGGAACAACAATTGCCAATTGTTTGGTTAAATTATCGCTTCGATATAAACAGATGCCTGGTGTTGATCAACGATCAATTAATGTTTATCTAGCTGAATCAATGTTATTATTGACATCAATATTACATTTGGGTAAATCTAAATTGGTTACACAGATGATCAATGAAGATGATTATGAACGTATATCATTATCATTATATGTATTGATCAATATTAATAATATGGATACGAATGAAATTGAAACATTAATGAATCAGATTTATTTACACGATACACGTCAATCATTGATGAGCATGTTGGATAATTCAAAAGAATGTGAAATTAAATATGATTCTGTATTGAATAAAACGAAAAAAGCTGTTGAAATTGATGATCATCTAATATTTTCACAGCTTATTAATAAAGCTACTGAACAAATGGAAAATCTATTGGATGTAAGTTTGAATCAGGCAATAGCCGGACCAACAGCAACATCAACTGCATCGGGTAGATCATCATCCACTGGACTATTATCGGCAAGTCAATTATCCAAAGTAACACAATTAACTGGTCTTGGTGATCCTGTTTATGCTGAATGTTATGTTAATGTTAATCAATATGATATTTCATTGGATGTATTGATTGTCAATCAAACATCGGATACATTACAGAATTGTACATTAGAATTATCTACTATTGGTGATTTAAAATTGGTTGAAAAACCACAGCCAATTGTATTGGCACCGCATGATTTTACCAATGTTCGTGCATCGATTAAAGTAACATCGACCGAAAATGTTGTTATTTTTGGCAATATTGGTAAGTTCGTTTGTGTTTGTGTTTATTTGTTTTGATGTTGTTCGTGTTCAGAATTTGTTGTTGTTTTTTTTTCTTGACATGAAAAAACTTTTTACGAAAAAATCAAATATTTGTTTCTTTTTTTATTTATTTCCTTGATTTTAACCTCTTATTTTTTTCTGTTTGTTTGTTTATTTATTTGTATGAAACAAAAAAAACGAAATAGTATACGATATTTCGGGATCAACATCGGATCGTAATGTTGTCGTATTGAATGATATTTATATCGATATTATGGACTATATAATACCAGCTACATGTAGTGATGCACAATTCCGTCAAATGTGGACTGAATTTGAATGGGAAAATAAAGTAACTGTCAATACTGGAATCAATGATCTAATTGAATATCTAAATCATTTGATCAAATCGACTAATATGAAATGTTTAACACCACAAAAATCATTATCGGGTAATTGTGGATTTTTAGCTGCAAATCTTTATGCAAAATCAATATTTGGTGAAGATGCATTAGCTAATGTTAGTATTGAAAAAACATCATTAGATGCACCGGTTACCGGTCATATACGTATACGTGCAAAATCACAAGGAATGGCATTAAGTTTGGGTGATAAAATTAATACATCACAAAAAATGGCTAAAGCTGCTTAGAATAAATAAATAGCGAATGTAACAACAACAACAAGAACAACAATAAAAAACATTTAAAACAGATTCGATTCCAGAATATTTAATGAAAATGAATGTATTCTACAAAAAAAAAGAAAATATCATCAACAAAGGAACCAGAATTTATTATTTTTATTATTATTTTTACTAAGAAAAAATTACAATTTTTAAAAAAATAAATAAATCGCAAATTGAAATAAAATTATCATTTTTTTCCATGACTAATGTGTCAATACGATTCATGATTCCATTATCCTAGCCACTTATAATATTTTCACTTTTTTTTCAAATGTTTTTTGTTTATAAAAACATCTAGTGTTTCTTTTTTTTACGATGGTGGTGGTGGAAAAAATTTAAATTTTATTTCTTTCAATTTTTTTTCGGAATGATAATGTCAAAACATATCATTTTGGATGGCTTCGACCACAATTGAAGTAAGTAAGCAGACAGTTAGACAGACGGGGAATAAATTTGAATAGATAAACAAATGATGAGGCCTACCACGACAACCAAGTATCAAAACCAAACAAAATTCAAAATAAAGAATTTTAAAATAGAATTCTAAAAATGGCTAACAGAAAAATCCTGATTTATTGGGTCTTTTTTTTCAACACACAAAATGAAATGAATATTCGAAAAACGAAAACAAAGACAGAATCTTTTATTTTGAATAATATTGGAATTTTGTTTCCATTTTCAAAGAAGATGGTGGTTGTGGTTTTTCTATTTCTGGTGGGTAGAATAAGAATTTATTCATTTTTGAATTCTTTCTGGGGGATAAAAATAGTCTTTTATGGAAATTTTTGAACCAGCCAAAAAAAAAATTAATTTTCGATTTTTTCCTCTCTCATTAAATATGATCATAAATCAAAAAAAAAAAACACAAGACAAACAAACAAACAAAAAACATTGTTCCAAAAAAAAAACTGTATTCTCGATCAAGAGCATAGGACTCGTCTCAATTTACACTTGAAATTCCATGTTTAAATGAAATTTTCTCTGCGCGTTTACACACACATTGTCGACACCAATTGTAGACAAGAGTGAAAAGTGTTAATGATTCAATTGTGTTTGAAACATTAATAACAATGAACAACGAACACATCATTCTGTGTGTGTGTGTGTGTGTGATACATCTGTCTTTTAGCCAGTGATGGTGATGGGGGGATGACAAACACGATTATTTTTTGGATGCGAAAGTAAAAAAAGTAAATTAACTGTTTAAAATATAACAAAACTGATAATGTTTTATTTGATGTTCGGGACAAAGTTCATTCATTCATTCATTTAATCCTCATGTGTGTGTGTGTTAATTTGTTTCATTACAATGCTTGAGCATCGTTTTTTTTTTGGAACAGCAATGAAATGAAGGAAATAAACGTTGCAGAACTTTTTGTTTTCAAAACCAATCTATCTGCTGTTTATTGCACGAAATGTTTTTTCTTCGTAAAGATAATTACAATATGTGAAGTTGGATAAAAACAAAACGAAGCGAAAAAAAAGACCAAACCAAATTGCCTTGTTGGGAAAAAAATGCAGCATTCTATCCATCTCTTTTGATTTGTTGTCATTTCTTTTGGTGGCCGTTTTTTTGTGATATTGTCATTTTCTATGGATGAATGGAATTTAACTTTGAATAACAAAATAACGATTTGGTTGATTTCTTGGATTTGTTTTTTCCTTTTTCATTTTTTTCGAGTGCATTTTTTAATCAAACAAATTTGAAAATTTGGGCCAAAATCATTATCAATGATAGAAAAATGATGATCAATGTTGATTGTGGGTCCCTATTGAATAAAAATGGACAGTTGATGAAATTTTTCGATTGTTATTGACATCTATTATCAAATGTTATCATTGATTGAAAATCAAAAACCAAAAAAACACCCGAAACCCAATGATGATAATTGTCAATTCAAATCATGAATGAATTGAATAAAAATGGCCATTATAATCATTGATTGTGGATCGAATTTTTTTTACTTATTTCCAATTATTCTTTGATCATCATCACCACCATCATCATAATGATTATTTCTGGTTATATAAGGTTACAGAACAGAGAGAAAAGAAAAGAAAAAAACATTTTTCATCTTTTATTATTATTATTGTTATATAATCATACCATTGAAATCTATAATTGGCCACAAATGATTCATTCAATGATAACGATAATGATGATGATAATGGTAAAAAAATTCAAATCGAAATAAAAATGAGCAGAATTTTGGAAAATAATTTCCAAACAACCAATTGCAATTTCGAACAAGACCTGAAAGTGTCGAAATAGAAAAAAAAAGTTTAGCGATAGAGCGAAAGAGATGAATTGGAGATCCGGATTTTCTCCCTTTTTTTCTTCAAAGAAAAATTCAATTTGGAAAGCAAAAAGAAAAAAAATGATAAATTACTTGTTGGCCTATTGTCATCATCATCATCATCATCATCATCATCATCATATTTCATAATTAGTATGGCATCAATAAATATGAACAAAAAAGAAAAATACTTTTTCTTTTTGCTAAAAATATATCGATAATATCAAATTGTATCAAATCTTAATGATGATGTTGTGATTGTCATATATATTCATTTACCCTATAGGTATTTCAATGACAATCAAGTTTTTCTTTTTTAAAAAAAAAAATGTTTGAATGAAAATTAAAAATAACTTTTTTTTCTTTTTTTTAGTTGTTGTTATTGTCGAATTGAATGATTGGCAATCAAGAAAGTGGAATGTGTGTGTGTGGCCTTCTTTTCACCAAAGATAATAATTTCATAAATGACAATGATAACAAACAATCAGAAACAGACAAAAAAAATCGTAACATTATCATTATGGTGATGATGATCAACTTTTTTTTCCAAAAAGTTATATGAATGGATCGAGAGCGAGGAAGAAAAAATGAAACTTTTTTTCTTCTTTGCTTTACAATGTCAATATCAATTGAATGATAATGATTATCATTATGATGATGGTGATATAATGATCCTTGAAGATTTCATTTACTGTTTCGTTTTTCCCATTCATTCATTCATTCAAAATATTTCTTTTGGCAAAATTTTAATTTCATTTTCTTCACCACCGCACCACCACCACCACCACCCGTTCAATAATGTTGGGCACCATAACCATGATCACTACACAGAAGCAACGAAAAAAAAAGATTTAAATCGATGAAAAAAATAGGCTAATCCATTGAATTTAATGTGAATTTTCGACTGAAATGAAAATTGAAATTTTAACAACAACGACGATGAAGATGACGACAAAAATTGGATTATCTTGATCCTTTGAGGATTAAATAATATTTGATGGTGATGGTGACATGTGGGTGGATGATTCCACTTGTACTTTTTTTTCACACTTTTGCGTTCCAATTGGATTCCGAAAAATTTTTTTCTTTTTCTTCTCATAAATTCGTTGGCGTTCTCATAGGGGAATTGGAAAAAACGAAAACAAAAAAAAAATTATCACAACCATAATCTTTTACATCATCATCATCATCAAATGATACACATTTGTCACATTTTTCAGGACAAAATTAAAAAAAAAATCCATATTTGGCATATTTGAAGAAAAAAAAAGACAGAACAGAAATGGTAAAAATCTAATTGAAAATGAAGATTATGAAATATGGAAGACGAACAATTAATCAAAAAAAAGAGTAGAAAATTATTAACTTGTATCGGTGCCAAAGCCAAAGCCAAGAAACATTATATTTCATGATGATGATGATAAAAACCATGAAATCTTTTCATTTTGCATAAAGAATCTTACATCAACATTGAACCGTAAAGGATTATTTTCAATGATTATGATGATGATTATGATGAAATAAATTATATTTCTTAATCTAATTTTATCCAACCAAACAAGCTATCATTATATTTTAAGAATTTGACAATATTTTTTTTCTTCTTCATTCTGTCTGGATGTGTTTCAAACTGAAGAAATTGAACAACGAATCTTTTCAAATCATATTTCATACTTGATGATGATGATGATGGTTACATGGAAAAAAAATATATAGAACAGATCTTGCAAATTGTGCGTTTGTTGATGATTCATTCATTTGTTCTACTTTTTGTTTTTGTTGTTGTTGAATTCATTCCAAACATTTTCATCATCATCATCATCAAACTTAATTATTATGATAACTGTGTCTATAGACAAACAAAAAAAATCTTTCATCTATAATAAACATAACAGTGTTGCCAATTTGAAACAAAAAAAAAGCAGAAAATTTCCGATAAATAATGATGATGATGATGAATCAGCTGAAAATCTTAATGATGATGATAATTATTGTCGTCGTCGTCATCATCATCATTAAGAAGTTTATCATATGATTGAATTATTTACATAATGAATAAACACAAAGCAGAAGAATATTCTGTTTTTGCTCAAAAATCAAAGTCAATATCATGAATCGAACATCTCACGAAGCAAAATTTTTATCATCATCATCATCAATTTGGTGATTGGAATTTGGCATTTTGGTTGCACCGAAATTTTTTCATTCATTTCGTTTTGAAACGACATAAAAGGTCGCTGCTCTTCTCTGTTCGGCTTCTATATCTCACTTATCGATTCATGGGGTGTCTCTTCGTTGTTCCAATTGGATCGTAATATATTAAGTTTGATTGCCTATTTTTTTTTCATTCCTGTTCATATTTTATCTCTGTGTTTTTGGAGAGATGTTTCTTTCGTTGGTTTAGTCTGGTTCGGTATATACGATGCTAAACTATTAAATCATACACGGTTATAACAATATGTGGCCATATCATTCGATTCTATGTTAGCACCTTTTTTTTCTTTCTCTTTCGATGAAAATCAATATTATTGAGAGAAAAAAAAAGTTCAATGTATTCTTTTTTTCCTCTGGATCGTACCATTTTCACTCAAAATGGTTGTTTTTTGTTTGTTTTGTTTTGTTTTTCGCTCGGATTCTCGACAAACAGGAAAGTTGATTCTCCTTTTTTTTTGCTCGAGTTTGTTTCGTTGGCTGTCCGTTTAATATATGTCGCTTTTCGAAAGAAGTTTGTTCCTAAGGAATAAAAGTCAGAAAAAAAAATCCATTAGTTTTTTGTTATATACCATCATCAATTTAATAACTCAGGTCATCATGGTTTGAATTTATGATGAAAACGATTAACACCCACATCAACACAAACACACACACAGACAAGAAAATAGATTGAATAAGGAAATAAATTAATTTTCGTCACTTCTGGTTATATATGATTCACGAGTCGAATACTAAAACAAAAAAACAGAAAAAACAAAAACAAGAATTAATCCAGCTTAAGTTCAAAGCTTTTTGTTATGAAAAGAATTATAATTCTGAGAATAACCCAAAAAAATGGAAAGAAACAAAAAATAACCAATTTTTTCATTAGGCCGGTTACAAAAAAATTCTGGATCATCATCATTTATTCGATTCGAATCATCAACTATTTCCACAAAAACGGATGTTCACCATTTCAACATCATCATATTTCATTATTTTCTTGAATATTTTTATTGCTTGGTGTCAATTTTTCATTTTTTTTCTCTCTGCCATATCCGACAATCAATATGGAAAATATTTTTTCAATTCATTTTTGTTTCATCATCATCAAATATAATCAATCGAAGATGATAAAGCCCTCCGGAGAGTTATCTTTCCGTCAACTAACCTGATAATATTGCGTGTTTTCATCAGCGATGATCATCCAATTGATCGGTAATTCATTGACAATGTTGCAACAGAAGAAATATATTCGAAAAATTCCTATCCAATTTAATTTGATTTGATGGTGAAACGAAAAGAAACGAAAAAACAAGTTTATTGAAGCATATGAAATGATAATGTAAAATTAATCATTTTTTCTTTGGTTACATCCGTTATTTTTTTTTGTTGCGAGAATGTAAACATTTGATCATCAGGATAATAAAGAAGCTAAAAAAAAGCCAAAAAACTACAAATTCTTCATTGGATCGTTCGTTTGAAATGGATCGCAAATTGCCCTTCCGGGCAATCTTTTTTTTCCAATTTTTATTCCATTACACAGACATTCATATGATTGGATTGACTTGATTGATTGAATTAAGTGAGAGAGAGAGACAGAGAGAAAACAGGAAAAATCCATCATTCATTTTCACATGATGAAAATTTTGATGAAAAAAAAGTTGCCTTCAAGTCACATGACAAACAGAATAAACTTTTTTTTTTGGAGAAAAAAAAACATTATAATTATCATAATGATTAGGTATAGAAAAGAGAAATCAATTATATCTTTGATAAATTGAATTAATTTCGACTGTTTTTAATTGTTTTTTGTTGAAAAGTTTGCTTTTTTGATCAAATTAATCTATCATTGAAAAAACAAATATTGAAACAACATCTTATTTGTTTTTTTTTGTTTGTTTGAACGAATTTTCAATGATAAAAACAATGACATTTCTTTCTTTTCTTGTTGGTTAGATCCAAACGATGATTATATGGAATAAACGTTATAATCAATGTAGAATATAATGAACATCAAAGTTATAAACATCATTATTATGATGATCGAAAATAGTCTATATTATGACATAACATACATCTCTTATCATTATCATCATCATCATCGTTTTGCGTTGTTGTTGTTTGAATTGATTTTGACTTTTTCTTTTTTGTTGACTTCATTTGTTTGTCCATTGTCATCATCGTCATCGCCATCGAACAATAAAAGCTTCTGTTTAGTGGAAAAAAAACTTTTTTTGCCATTTAGCTAAAATCAGAACATTTTGTTCAGATCAAAACGAAAAAGATTTAAATCGATTACTGTTATTCAATAATAATAATAACAACAACATATGTTCTGGACTAAAAACATTCCACACTAAACAAAATCAATGATGGCGAAAAGCAGCAACAAAAAACAAAAATCATTGCCAAAATCGAAAAAAATTCATGAAAATCTTGTTCGTTCGTTTGACCACAATTGACCCACGATGATCATGATCATGTTCGAATCGATGTGATTTTGAATTTGTTAAAATACAAAAATTTTTTTTTGAATTTAAAATGTTTTTTATTTCCTAAACATAAAAAAAAATCCCATATAGGGATCGATACAAACAATCGAAATGATTTCTGTTTTCCTTAAACAAGAAAAAAAAACATCACATGATTCAATCATTAACGTTTTTAACAACAACAACAGAAAAAAAACTTACCAAAAAAATTCAATTCATTCAACATTGGTGATGGTGGTTGAAACTTTATCACGAATTATACAAAGCAAAAAAAAGAAGAAAAAGAAAACACAATTTAAAATGTTTTTCTTTTCTTTTTTTTCGCATCCAAAATGAGATAATGATGAATGTTTTTGCTGTTGTTGTTGTTGTATCCATTATCATTCGAATCGAAAAAAAAGTGTTCGAACATGAAAATTATCGATAGTATCGATGTTGTGAATGTGTGTATCGACTTTCCATCCATCCATCCATCCATTATTATCTGGTCGATAAATTGAATTGATTTTGCTTTTGTCAAAATCGATCACAAACAGAAAATGATTAAATCTGCATATTCAAATTGCGTCAAAGATAATGTCATTGATTTTTCTTCCACCATGTGAGTTTCAAAAAAAGCTGAATAATTTTCTCAAAACGGTGGTCATCAATATTCAAGCGAAAAACGAAACGAAATTAAAGAATCAATGAAGCGATAAATGTCAATTACATTCAATGTACAGAGAGAAATTCCATTCCCAAACAATTAAATCTTCTTTTTTGGATAATTAAATGAATCGCAAACCAGATCAATTTGATTATACCCATCGAGCATATTTTCATCCGAATTTGATTTAATTTCTAACCGCCCCCTCCGAATCAAAACAAACAAGTATTATCATTATTGGATTGTTTACTCTCCATTTGCTTTGTTTTTTCAAACTTGATTATCATGGCCAAATATTCCAAATCATTGAACATTCGAAATCATCATTTGAACATTCGAAATGGATCCACCGTACCACCACCACCATTATAGTCAGCTAATCAGAATGGAACATCTGTTTCCCGGGAAAGAACGAAACAAAAAAAAAATTCCACAAATGAAATTACGATGATAATTTTTGATTTATGAGAATGAAATGTTTTTTTTTTGGTTGTTTCCTTTGAAACAAACAAAAAAACCGAACAAAACAAGATTTTTCTCGTTAAATTGCGAACATGGAATTTTTTGAACACAAAATTCCAGGAACACACGACGTAATTTTATTATGAAAAATATAATTATATCAAACAAGAAGAAGCGAATTTCGAAAAAGAACAAAAAAAAAATTTACATTTAAATTAAACAACAACAACAACGACGACGACGATGATGATGAAAAATGTAAAATAATTTCATTCAAAATTTATAAATTTTTTCTTTCTTCACAAGAATTATATTCGAAAATTATGATCCCGGGTGATGATGTTGGTGTTTGAACAACATATATTTTCTATTATTCAAAATTCAATTTTGATTTGGGAAACACCATAACAACAACAACAACAACAACAAAAAACTGCCGATGTATCAAGAATTATTTGATAGAAAATATGAAAAAAGTAAGAATTTTTTTGTTGTTTGTTGTTTTGTTTTTCATGGTTTTTCGATTCTTTCAGCAATCAATCTTTGATCAGACCATCAGCTGAATAAATATTCTAAGAGGATTTTCTTTCTTTTGTTGTTTTCACCGTTTTTTTTTTTGTTTGCAGATAAAACAATAGAGAAAAGATATCGACAAGTAACAACAACAAGAATTCATGAATCGATAAGAATTTTAAGAAGATTTTTTCAAAAGATCCAAAAACTTTAACTAACTAACTTACTGAAATTCTTTAATTCTAACAGCTTGCAACTATTCTGACAACTTTTTATCTTTATTATTGAAGTTTTTTTTGTTTTGTTTTGTTTTTCACCGAAAATCCATTTAAATCTGATAAATCCAAACAAAAACACGATTCAAGTTGATTACACAATATTGTTGTTGTTGTTGATTAGTCAATTTAACAGCAACAACAACAACTAAGACGACAACAACAACAACAAAAATCAACCATTCAATCAAGACAGTGATTATGATTTTGTTTCCATCCATCCATTCACCATCACCAAAATGAATGAATGAAACACTTTATTAAACACACTAATCACTATGAATGAATGTATGTGGAAAACAGAAAAATTTGTTGTTGTTGTTTGAAAACAAGCGAAAGAAAAACTGAAACTTTGTAATTTGTTCCAGGATCAAACAACAATAACAACAACAAAAGTTTTGTTCAATTTATTCGTCAATGAAGTGTGTGTGTTTTGATCCAAAGTTTTTTTTTCATTTTGTTTCGGTCTATAAACACACACAAAATTATAACAAGTTTCACTTACAACGAACAACGATACGGTTTACGTAAATGAAAAACTAAAATGAATATTTTAAGTTTTTTTTTGAAAAAAAGTAAATCTTTTTTTTTCTTCCCAAACAATTTGTTGAAATTTTTTTTTTCTTTTGGATCGTTCCATATTGTTCCCAAACATGAAAAAAAAATATATCACGTACCAAACGATGTGATCAATAAAGTTTGTTCAGTACTGCCATTGTTGTTGTTGTTGTTGTTGGAAAATAAACGTGCATATTTGATCCATGCAAATGAATGAATGGATGAATGAATATCATCAACCATTCAATAAATATTCGAATGGTATATTCGTCGTGAAACTATTTTTGAACCAAAACAAAAATATCATCATAAATATAGGCAGGAAACGAACCATAACAAGAACAACAAAAACTGAAAATGAAGAGCTTCTTAAGATTGTATTTCGATGATGATAATGATGATGATGGTAATAATAATACTGACGACGATCATGATCATCGATCGATGATTTGTGGCTGTCCACATATAATGTATACAGGGGGAGGAAAAAAATATTCGAATGTTTTTTTTACTCACTCATCTTTTTCCTTGTTGTTTAGTTTTTTCGGTCCATTTTTTTCATTTCAAAAGTTTTGAAGATAAAATGCAATCAAAAAAATTTTGTTTGTTTGGACGCCAGTGAAAAAGTAAAACAGCAAAAAAAATTGCATTTGAAAATTACCAATAATGTTTCGTGACTTGATGAAAAAAAAATGAATCGAAACGAAGCAAAATGAACCGAACGTGTGTTTTGTTTTGTTTGTTTGTTTGAAATGGTCGATGATGATAAGTTGATCATCAACAATCATAATCATGGTGATGATGATGATGATGAAAATGGTGTTCAAATTTATTTTCTTTCACACTCGTTTTTTGAAAAAATCCAAATTCATCAACCATAGCCACTTAACTTTTGCGTCAAAATAAGAAGAAAAGAAAATTGTTTGTATGGACAATAATGGTGAGTGTTTGTTCAAAAAAAAAATTTGTTCCAGGAACAAAACAAAATCTGTAACAACAAGAACAGCAATTTTTTCTTTATCTTTTTGTCATCATTACGAACAACAACAAATTACGTCATCAATGAACGGATTCTTTTTTCGGACACCGGATGATGATCGAATCGTTCGAAAATAAAAACATTCGAATTTCAACTTTCAATTTTTTACCATAATTACAATATAACATCCGTAGATCATCAAATCATTTTCACTTTTTTTTTCTTGATAATATTATTATCATCAGATAATGATCATCATCATCATCAAATCACGATTGTTATTTTGATTGATCGATCAGCCTGAGCATCCTTTTTTAAAATTGAAAAATATTGATAATTATTTTATCTCGGTTCAAGATAAAACCAATGATTGATTGATTTTTCATCCAAAAGAAGAAAAAAAACTGAATTTTTACCGTTTTTGCCTAACATAATAATAAACATCTCTTCAGGATAATTTAATTAACAACAAAATGATTCGGAAAAGTTAAAAATTCAAAACGAAAATTCCGAACTAAAATACATAAACAAATATTCTTCATTTTCAAAGAGACAATTTCTGTTTTTTCCCTCTTCCTTGACTTGAGTGAAAATGATCCAGATTTAGCTGAGTATCGTCTTACTAACTTCTACAAAGAAATGAAAGGAAAAAAATCCGAATTCAATGATTTCAATGATGATGATGATGGTAATGGTTATATTAGGTGTTTGTCGACAGTTTTTCATTTTGCTTTTCAAATAAAACGATGTCAACACTATTGAATGACAAACGATTTAGTTGATGATGATGAAGGAAAAAACTTTCTTCGATGGAAAAAAAGTTACCGAAAGTTACTATACGGAATATAATGATTTTTTTCTATCTTCTTCGTCGATAAATTTGAAGATAATGTCATCGAAAACGACAACGACAACAACGAAGATCATTTATAAACATGAACTTGTTTTGTACAACAAGAAAAGTTGAACATTTTTAAAAATTGATTGAATTTGATTTTTTTTATATTTATTTCGTCAAGAAAATTTTCCATAAAGTTTTTTCCCTGAAAGTTTACCAGATAATTTTCCCATTAAAATTTTCTTCATAAATAAATTCATTTGAAGAATTTTCAAAGATTCTACATTCGATTAATGTAAAGTTTTTGATTTTTGATCTGATTAAAAAAAAAATTTCGGGAAAATGAAAATGAAAACCAAAAAAAAAACCAGTTTATCTTATGGTCAAACGATATTTGCAAAAACAGAAAATCATTATCACCTTTATGATGATTTAATTGTGGTTACCTATGGTGAGTGAGAGCGAACGAAAACTAGTTTTTTTTTAAAATTATTCATTCTGATTAGCATGCATACAGTACTCTCATTTGGCTCATCACTTATTGATAATTCAAGATAGAAAAACGAAAAATCACTTTGGATTTGATTTCATCTTCGATTCGTAATTAACAAGAGAAAAAGAAGAAGGAAAATTTGGCCCTTTTAAAAAACATGGATCATCATTAGTTTTTCACACCAAATATGGTTATTAATCTGGAGAAAATCTATGGCCATAATCGGTGTGTCTGTGTAAAATACAATTGTTTGTGGACAATCAAAGGTCACAATCAATTGATGACAATTTTTTTTTTAATATTCAAAACGACGACAACAACAACAACAACGATTGAAAAAAAAATCAATCAATCGATAAAAATCGGTCATTTGATTGATTGAATGATCAGATCAGCAACAATAGAAAATGAATGAATGAATGGATAATCATTATAATGATGTGCTATGGATGATTATACAGGATTAGCCTTTTGTTTTTTGTTTTTTTAACTAAACTTAGTTTTTCTTTTGTTTTTTTCTTTTTTTCGAATGTTCTAATTATAATTATTATCATTTTTTGATAATAATGGAAAGCCTTGCTAAAAAAGATTGAAGATACAAAGATAAGGTGGTAGCAGAAGTTTGGATCATCCAAGATCTTTTCTTTTCCTTGGAAGAAATTCATTTCTCATTATTCATAAAACCAATGAACGAAGAAAGTAAGTGAAAAAAAAAATGATAAAGTAACATTCTCATTCATAGTTGATGGTATTATTCAATTATCTTCATTTTTTTTTTGTGGATGATAATTATATCCAAGATCCATGATGATGATGATGATCCATAATGATGATATAATGATGATGATGATGATGATGATGATGATGAAAGTGGCTCGTGTTTGTTTGGGTGAAGAAAATGAAAATTGAATTTTTTTTTTTAAACTTTGTTGCTTCTTCTTCTTCTTCTTCTTCTAGCTAACCATCAAAGATATCATCATCATCATCATCATCTTCGTGAGTTATCATTATGAAATGGTTGAATGATTTTTTGTTGTTTGTTTGTTGTTTTTTTCTGTCTACAAAATTCATTCATCCATTCATGGATGGATATGGTCTGAAAAAACAAAACAAAAATCGATTGACCAATTGAACAAACTGACAAGAACCAGAACATATCGATTGATTCACTCTCGTTTTCTATTCATAACATTTGAAAGATAATTTGTGATGCAAGCTGTTTTTTCGGCTACAAAAAAAATGTCAACATTCGCGAATTTGCTGCCAAAAGAATCTCATTTATCATTTCTTGAATTGATTGAATATTAATCAACAGAAAAAAAGAAAAAGAAAAAGTTTCTTTGCAATGCTCAAAAACCTATTTATAATGAGGATGATGATGATAAATGATGATGATAATAAAAAAAAAATATTTAACGATATCCTCCTGTATGTCTCAATGTGTGGGAATTTTGTTAGTAAAATTTAAATTTATTTTTTCTTTTTGTAAAATGAAAAAATTAACAGGAAATGTTTTTTTTTATTGCGAAAAGTTTAAAAAAAAATCAAATAACGTAATTCAGAAGCTGTTGTTGTTGTTGTTGTTGTCATTGTAAATGATGAACGACTTTCATCGATCCATCGATGATGATCGATGATTGAATGATACATTCGATTCGAACGTTTGAAAATGAAATTTATTGGAAAAAAAGAAATGAAAATTAAATCCTTAAAATCAACAACAACAAAAACGAACAAACAACCAATTTATCATCCGCATCTTCTTCAAGAAATGAAAAAAAATCCATGTCCAAAACAAATCAAATCAATCAATAATCAATAACCAAGTGATCGATCCAATATACTAAACGAATGTATGAATCAATGAATGAATGATTGACTTGAACACGAATGAACAAATGAATCAGAAATATATCATTCAAATAAACAATCAAAATTGATTGATTTATTTGATCGGCAATGAAATTTTCAATGTTTATATGATCGAAAAATTATTAGTTTTTTTCCCAGTTTCTCGCATAAATATTTGAATCAAAGAAATAATCAACAAAAAAAACCAACAACAACCATTATCTGAATTTGAAATAACCTTCACCAATGATTTTTAATCATCTTTATCATTATGATTTGGATAACAGAAATATTTTTTTATCATTTAAATAGATTTTGGTGATTATGATTTTTGCCCAAAATGAAATGAAACCGAAATTCAATTTGAAATTAACCAAGTATGTGTGTGTGTGAGCGCGGCATTTCAATCAAACATTTCTTGGTTATCAAATATTCAATCAATCAATATGATTCGTTCCGAAATCCAATACGATTAATAAAATTTTTCCTTTTCCAATCAATCAATCAATTTGATTGATTTAATTTCAAATGATGATGACTAAATTCAACAACAATCGTTTTTGTTTCATTCGGAAAAAAATGGATTTATTTTTTTCGCTCAATTTTTTCCCGAAAAGAAAATAGAACAACCAGCTTGCAGGCTAAAATTGAACGTTTCAAGTTTATGAACTAAAAAAAAGTTTTGAAAAAAAAACAACAACAACAGAATTTAAATGATAATTTTTATTATATTCCGCAGTTGGAATTTCATCAAAATTTAAAAAAAAAACTTTAAACACCGGCAAAACAACTTTTATTTTTTTTACAAACAAAGTGTAGTTCTTTGTAAATAATATCAGTGTGTGTGTGTATATAAAAAAAAGTATTAATAAACTGATAATTTGATGATTGCCTTATTTGATGATCAAATGTGTGACATTTTTGTTTTTTAAAAGAAAAAAAAAATCTTCTATTACAAATGTAGATTTACAAATTATGAATTTTTTTTTATATATAAATAAAAAAAAATTATATAATAAAAACAAACAGAAGAAAAGAAATAAGCTTTGTTGAAAAATTTGAAGAGAAATTGGATCAAGACATTCATTCATTCATTTTGTTGTTGTTGTTGTTGTTGTGTTTTTGTATATATTTTGTACAAATCAAGTAAATTCAAAGAATTAGAAAAAAAAATTGAAAGGAATTATATAACGAAAATGAAAATAGAAAATCAGTGAAAAAAAAGTGTAGGTGTGAATGAGTGGATGAATGAGTGAGTGAGAGCAAGATTTATTATTATTATTATTATATCACAAGTGAGTACACAAATCGGTAAAAGACAGAAGAGAGAAATTAGAAGAAAAAAATTGCAAAGCAAAAAAAAAAAAGTAAGGCCATTCTGTTGTTGTTGTTGTTTATTACGTCATGGAACGATTGGATTCAATATTCATTTGATTTATAAAATGGCCATTTCACAGCCAGATTTTATATTGGATTCGGATTCTTTTATTTATTAAATTGAATTGGATGGATTCGATGATGTAAAATTCTTTTTTTTTCTTCTATACATTCGTTGTTGTTTTTGTTATCGTTCACATTGATTTGATAAAATTAATTAATTAATTAATTAGATAATCGTACAGCCATTACAACAATAATTTGGTTTCTCTTTCTGTGAATTATAGCTCATTTCACGAACAACTTCGGCAAAAACTTCATTTACATTATGACGACTTTTAGCTGATGCTTCCATAAATGGTGAATTCCATATCTGAGCTAATGTTATACCTTCCTGTTTTGAAACTTCACGTTGATGTTCAATATCAACTTTATTACCAACTAATAATATTGGTACACGATCACTACCTTTTACCCGAACAATTTGTTCTTTCATATTTTTAATATCTTGAAATGTTTGATGGCACGTTATTGAATAAACAACAACAAAACCTTGACCATTTTTTATATAAAGATCACGCATTGATGCAAATTGTTCGGTACCAGCTGTATCTAATATTTCCAATACACAAGGGCTACCATCAACTTCGATTTCTTTACGATAAAAATCTTCAATTGTTGGATCATATTTTTCCATAAATGATCCGGATACAAATTGTACGGTTAATGCCGATTTACCGACACCGCCACTACCCAATACGACTACTTTATATTCACGCATTTTCTTTTTTGTTAAAATTTATTTTTTTCAATCAACAATTGAAGAAAACAACAAACGACTTTTTTTTTATTACAATGATAAAATTATAGTGATCCTTTGTGATGAAATTGGACGACACAAAACAAAAAAGAAGCTCTTTGCCGATAACTCTACAATTTTTATGATGATGATGTTGTTGTTGATGATGATGATGACACAGCCACAGAAAGAAATATTTTATTTTTAAAAATTAAAAAAAAAATTTACAAAAGAAATAAAAATAAATTGATGAATCAGTAGAAAATAAACCAATGCACAAATACACAGACACAGACAATTGTGTAAGATTGGATTCAAATGAATGAATGAATGAATGATGATGATGAAAAAAATATATTTTTTTCAACAAAAAAAAACTTTATTCAAACCAAAATCAATCTTATAAATTGGTTACTCATTATCATCATCATCATTTGATGACACATACATAGACATAGACAGATATCAAGAAATCACGGTCTAAATATACAAATTATTATTGGGTGGATGTTTGATATGATTAAGATATTGATGTTAGATTTTATTCAAATGAATGATTCGATTCGAATTATAATTTTTCAGTTTTTTTTTGTTTTGTGGTTTGACACATCAATTGAAAAGAAAAACAAATTGATAACAATTTTTTGTGTGTGTGATTAAGTTTGAGATCGTAATTTAAAACTGTTGCTTTTGAATCATAAGGATCTAATCAATAGTGAGAGATGGAGAGAAAATGAAATTGGCTCAATATCAATTTTTATTTTTTGATCAATCAATAATACAATATATAATTCCATAAAACACATGGGATCACATCAATTATTATCAATGATTGTATTGAAAGTTGATTGATCGATTACAGATGTCTATACTGGTTTTGTTGATGATAACAATAATGATGATATAGTTGAAAATTTGAAAAAAATGTCGTAATAATTGATTTGAAAAAATTATGAAATTTTCCAAAACGTAAATATATCTATTTTTTTTGTTGAACGAAATGCTACTTAGAACAAAACATAAACAATATTATTCAGCCATTCATTCATTTATTTTTTTTCGGTACAAAATGCAATATTAATGATGATTGAAACGTTGAAATCTTTCAAATACGAAACAAAACAAACTTGTCGAGAAAGAGCATGAATGAATGGATTGAAGAAAAGAAAAAAATGAAGAAGATGATGTTCTTTGGTCGATGATAATGGTGATGATGATGAACACTGCTACCACCACTACACACAACCAGAAAAAAAAACAACAACAACACGATCAAATGAAAACCGAAACCGAAAAAGAAAACGATGTTTAAAAAAATGGCAATCAAAGTTTGTTTTTATTCGTTGTTGTTGTTGTTGTCGTCATTCACAATGTGCTATGATGATTGCTTTATGCTTATGGTTTTCTTCTTAAGATGATAATGATGATAACTTTTGAACGTCGTAGATGATGATGCTGTTATTATTATTATTGGAATAGCAAGATGTCTATTTTATCTGTCTATCCACATCTATCGTCGTTTTTGATCATCATAACATAGTCGACAAAGTTGAATTTCAGATTTTGCGACGACGACGACGACGTTCGATTGAATGTATCGGTATAGAAATCACAAACATAAACACACACACATAAAAAACATACAGGTATATTATCCATTTGCACACATAAACATTGATTATTATTATTTTTTCATTTGTCTGCTTATTATTATGATATTGATGATGATAATGGCGTCTTTATATATTGTGAATGAAAAACAACTGAAAAAAAGTCTCGATGCTAAATATGCACATTATACATTCAATGGTAGAGTTTTTTTTTTGTTTTGTTTTCATTCAATCGATTTTGATTGCAATAGAAAAAGGGCAAAATTTTTGTAGTTTTGACTATTTCTCAACCAATATACAGTTGTTTTATTTGATGGTTGATATATTTTTTTTGCTGTTGTTTTGTTTGTAGTGGTTTGGATTTAATATCTCATCATTTGGAAAATGTTGCCGTTCGTTACTTTATTTTGCCATTTTTTTTTTGTTGATGATTATAAAATCCAGAAAAATAAGCTTACTGGTTTGAATTGATTGCCGTCAAAAATTGGATTTTTTTTTTGTTGTATATATTTTTCTTTTCTTTTGGTTAGCTGCCGTTACTGTTGTTGGTGATTGTTGTTGTTGTTGTTAGTATTTGATGTTATCATTTATAGCTATGGTTATTATATGATGATATGGATTTATATGTTTAATGATCCGCAAAGCATCCGAAATCAAAAAAAATGATGGCAAAAGAAAAAGAAAAAATTATGTCGAATCTAATCGGAAATAAACAAGGCCAAACAATGTTTGTTTTTTTTTTGTTTTGATCCACCAAAACGAATGTGAAAAAAATAAAATTTCGAAATTTTCCAACAGAATTAAAAAAAAGGTGAAGAGAAAAAAAAACGAAAAGAATAAATAAATAAATTTTCAAATAATCAAAAAAAAAAATATATTTCACAAATAAATACATACAATTTAGGCTTGAAGCATCAATCACACGAATGAATCGATTATCAAATTCTTCGGTCTTATGACGACGACGACGACGACAATGTTGTTGACCTATAAATGAATCAAACAGACAAAAAAAAATAGAATTAGGAAATGGATTAAAAAAAACACCGAAACAAACAAACAAACAAAAAAATTTTCAATGATAACAAAAATCTAAACATTATATCATTTTCTTTTTTTTGTCAACGATTGCTAATAGCAACAACCAAAAAAATACGAAATAGAAAATAACAATGACAACAACAACAACAACAACCATGATGATGGTAAAAGAATTGGATTGGGGATAACAAATTCCGTCGAATAAAAAAGGAGAAAGAAAAAAGATTTACAATTTCTTGATCGAATTCGGTATTCTCTTTTATCTTTGTACCATTATTTTATTGGATTTTCTTCACCATAAGAACACACAAGGATTATTATTATTATTATTGTTTAAACACTAATAAAATAAACAAAGGAAGTTGTCATCATCATATTTTTATTATGATTATTATTATCAGAAAAACATAATAATAATAATAATCAAAAATTATCATCATTTTTTCGAAAATTTATGATGTTGGTGACACACAATACTCTTTTTTTTATAACATAAACACAACCAAAACACATACCAGGAACAATATTTTCTTGTTTGTTTACCAAGTCGAAACAAAAATCATCACAATGTTTGTCATTCAAGCAAAAAAAATTGAATAATACAAACAGAAAATTTTGTTCTTGTTGTAGAAAATCAAACTTTTTCTGGTGATAAAAATTCCTCAAAATTCGATGTTATTGGTCACATTCAACATTGATGACAATCAAAAGAAAAGAAGTAAAATATAAGGGAGGAAAAAAAGCTCACTTTTGCTGATGACCACCGGTTTTTTTGGCTTTTCTTTTGGTTCGGTAGCTATTTTGGATGGATGGATGGATGGATGTATTCTTCTTGTATGTTTGTTGAACGTATCGAATGCAAAACACAAATCCAAAATAAAATATCAAGTCTGTGAACAATTATGGTATTTTGGTGTCGAAGGTCGAAGGTTCACATATACACAAAAAAAAAATCTTTATATTCACACAGGAGAAAAAATGTTTACACAGAGAAAGATAGAGAAAGACAAAGACGTGACACCAATGTGTGTGTTTGTGTGTATGTATGGGTGACCTCGGGACATCAATTCACCATAAAGACTTTTTTCTTGTTGTTCAAAAAAGAAAAAAGAAAAAGATAAGGTCCAAAAGTCTGCAGGCACTTTTTTTCTCCTTGTTATACAGATGTTTTAAATCAAATACAGATTGATGATGTTGATACGGTCGACGTGTTGTGTTGTTTCGGTATTTTGAACATTTGATGATGGACAAATAAAGAAAAAAAATAAGAATTTGTATAGCTCCTATAGGATGACAAATTGAAATAACAATGATTTTTTCTTTGATCAATTATTCATCATCAGCGTCTTTTGCAGAATAATAAATCAATGTAATCACAGTGATATATACAGGCTGTTTTGACGAGAAAGAAACAAAAAAAAGCATGTGGAATTTGGATTCTGATTTTATTCTTTTGTTTATTCAGATGACGATGATGATGATGATGACGATGATGATACTGGTGGCAGCAATACAAACAAAACAAATTAGCAGCAGTAGCAGCTGACAAAACTTTTATCAGAATTGAAAATAAAATTACAGAATTATCTTCGAATAACAACAATTATCATTATTGTTGTTGATGTTGTTGTTGGAAACCATTTATACAATCACAACAACCATTTCGACCATAAATAGACGTTTATAATAACTTTGAAACATTCGATTGAAAAATGTTCGAATGATTGTTATGGCTGGATGTGTAAACCACTATCATATTTCAAAATATTATGGAACAAAAACCATTCGAAACAAAAGCTTTACATCATTCATACATACTACTACTATTTGGATTCTTACCACTATCCAAAAAAAATTTTCATAAATATCTTTTCGATATTTTATGCTACTATGTTATAACCAAAAAAAAACTGCTACTACCTTTTAGCTTTGGGCCATTGTCCTATTGTGTTTTGAATCTTGAATTTCAAATTCAAAGTAGCAGCATTAGTTTATGAACAGAATACTCTTCAATTCAAAAAATTCGAATCCATATGGATGGTTCTCTCTTTTCTCTCATCATGATCATCATCATCATCAATTTCAAGTTCTTCGATTTAACAAACAAACAAAAAAAAAATGACAAATGAATCTTGTTATCTTCTAAACTTTTGTATATTTCTTCAAATGATGATGATGATGATGATCATGCAATAGGCATGTAAAAAAAATAAAGGTATAACCTTCCCCCCTTCAAACAAATGAATGAATGATTATAAGATGTATTCAATTGCTTTTTCTTTCTTCCATTTTTCAAATTAGAATTCGTATCTTTAAATTGAATTGAATGGATGGATGAGTCATTCGTTGTTGTTGTTGTTCGAATTATAACAAGTTTATGTTTACTCCCTGTTTTCTATTGCTATTGCTTACCTTTATTCATTAATTATTATTAATTGACCAATCTGATCGCTTCTGTTCTTCTTGCCTTGAAGCATAATAATCTATAGATAAAAATCTTGAAAATTTTCAAATTAAAATGTTTAAATTTATGATGCCTGTTGCTTGTCATCATTATCATCGGAATTTTCAAAGAATTTCAAACGCAAAAACGAATTCGTTTCTGATTTTTTTCCCATTCGATTCGTTCGAAATGATTGATTCATCATAGTCCTGTCGACAAATATGTCCTAAATGAATCTTTCTTTGAAGAAAAAAAAACCAAAATGTTAAATGTCATCATCATTATGATCTTACTGGAAACAACAACAAAAATGTTATTGTCCATTTGATGTTGAATAAATGAATGTTGTTGTCGTTGTTAATGTTCACATATTATCATCATTTATGCAACAATACCTACCTGAAGAAGAAGAAATGAAAAATGGGAAAAAGGTTTTTAGGTCATCAAAAAAAGAAAAAGGAAAAACTTTTTCTGTTTTCCATGTGAACTTATGGTTTGAACAAAAAACACACACAAATGGAAAAACATTTAATTCACATCATATGATAATCACAAACATTACTGATTTGGTCATTAATTTTATTAATTTTTCTCGCTGGACATTACAAACATTTGATGTCCATTCTGGGTTTATTTTATTTAATTCGCGAATAACATTGAAATCATTTTACGGAAATCAAATTGAATTTTTTCAAAAAAATTGCATGATTACGCCATCTGTTGGTGATTTAAAATATAAATATATTTTTTTCATTTAAAAATGTATGGTTTCCAAAATTTATCACATTTTTCTTCAAAATAATTTTCAATCATTTGATAATTATTTGGATCTAATGACATAAATGAAACATAATCATCATTGGTATAATTACTGTTGGTCATAGCCATTTTCCATTCAATCGGTTGATTTGGTTTGGATATTGTTGTCAACGAACCAGGATTACCATTTTTAGCAAATAAAGTCCATGCTTTTATCATATCATTACTTAATTTAATTTCTTGTTTTGTATATAAATGATGATTCAATGGAACATAAAAAAGATAGATAACATCTTGTACATGACAAACACCTTGCCATTTTTGACAACTCCATGGACCATTTGATAATGGTAACATTAATCGATATGAATAGAAATGTTTCGTAAACGGTTTCATTGCTCGTGCATAATATTCACCAAATAAAATTGTTGGACAAACATTTTGATAATCACCAAGTATATCGGCTATAGTTAATCTTTTAAAAATTTTAAAGAATTTCAAATTTTTGAGAAAAAATTTAAGGATATTTTTTTGTTTACCTTAAATCATTTTGATTTGTTGATTTGTTTAGATTTTTTGAATAAAATTCTACCACTTTTTCAGCTGTTTGTTTAGATTCTTGAAATGCCATAACTAATAATCGTATGGCCATTTTTGTCATCGATAATGAAATATCATTAGCTTCTACTTCGGGAATATATTGTACAATAAAACCGGCTGCTTCATTTTTTGTTACGCCAAACATTAAATCTACTTGATTATTGGCTACTTTTAATGCTTCATTTGGTGAAATAGGTAATAAATCATCACCAAAAATCGGTATCATTAAACGTGAAAATGTCATTTCATCATTATAAACATTTAAAATCTGATTGATTGTACGATTACGAAGACAATCCAAAATATTTGGCTGATAACAATGTAAACGATGAGCAAAATCTAATGTTTTTTGCATGGCTAGATTTTTATTCCATGATCCATAATAGGAAAGAATTGCACCGGATTGAATGATTGCACGATGAAATAAACCATTGGCTAATGGTGAAAGAATTAATGCCGATACAGATAATGCACCTGCTGATTCACCAAATACTGTAACCATGTTTGGATCACCACCAAAATGACCAATATTATTCTGTACCCATTTAAGTGCTAAAATTTGATCATGTAATCCTTGATTTCCAGGGGAATCATCCGTACCAGCATAAAGAAAACCAAATGCACCAAGACGATAATTAATTGTAACAACAATAACTTTACCCATTGAAACCATATAGCTTGGATTATAAATATCATCAAATATTGAACCAACAATAAATGCACCACCATGTATCCAAACCATAACTGGTATTCGTTTATTGTTTGATATTTTTTCCGGTCGATATATACTTAGATAAAGACAATCTTCACTCATTGTTGGTTGAGAATTTTCTGGTGAATTATCCAAACCAGTAATGATTGTATAATTGCCTTGTTGTGGACAAACACTACGAAATTCAATAGCATCATATGTATCATTCCAATGATTTTGTAAAAATGTAGATTTTTCAAATCTTTTTGCTTGTCCTTTTAATGGAAAGATTGAAAGATTTTTGTTAGTTTTTCATTTGGTGATTTAAAAATAAAAAATTAAAATTTACCATAACGAATTCCTTGATAAACAAAGATCGAAGAATTATCCGTAAGTTTCGTTATAAAACCACGAACATTACCACGATCTGTTTGAATAATTGGTGCATATTCAATACAAAAAATTGTCGATTGAAAACACAGTATTATTATAATCAAATGTATCATTTTTCATTGCGAGTAACAAAAACAACACAAAGATACAAATAAACAATTAAAAAAAATTGATATTTCTTTTTATAAATTTATCATCATTTTGTTGATGTTAAATAAATTAATTTATTATCAAATTGATGATAACAAAGTACTTGATCGATCGATCGATTGAAAATAAATAAAAAACAATGTTTATTTATTATTCTTTAAATAAAATTGGTTTCCAAAATTGATCACATTTAGTTTGGAAAAAATTTGTAATCATTTGATAATGATTCGAATCTAATGACATAAATGATACACTTTCGGATTTATGTTTCTGATTGATTGCTTCCATCCATTCAACTGTTTGATTATCATCCAAATTTTTCAATGAATTTGGATGTCCTGTCCATGCAAATTTTGTCCATGAATAAATCATATCATTACTTAATTGAATTTCTTGTTTTGTATATGTATGAGGATCCATAGGAACATGAAATAAATATACAACATCTTCACCATGACAAACACCTTCCCAACCTTTACAGCTAAGTGGTCCATTCGAAAGTGGTAATATTAATCGATATGAATAAAATGTATTGATCGATGAATTTAAACCACGTGAAAAATATTCACCAAATAACATTGTTGGACAAACAAGATGATAATCACCAAAAGCATCAGCTATAATTATTCTATAATCAAAAAGAAGAAAAAGAAATCTTAAAATTATTTTCAACCATCCAAACCAATTATTACCTAATATCATCCATATTGGATTTATCATTCAATTGTTTCATATAAAAATTGGTAATTTTTTGAGCAGTTTGATTGGATTTTTCAAACACCATCATCATTAACCATATTAATGCTTTGGCCTTTGATAATGTCATATTAGGATGTTTAATGTCCGGTTGGACTGCTGAAAAATATCGTTTAACAAAACTAGATCCTTCATTTCGATTTACACCGAACATAATGTCAATCGGATTGAATTGTTTTGTTTCCAATGCTTTGTTCGGTGAAATTGGCATCAATGTTTCACCATAGATAGGAATCATTAGACGGCCATTGAGTATATCATCTTTAGTTGCATTCAAAATATCTTCGACACTAGTGTTACGTAAACATTCAATGATCATTGTTGAATTAAATGATTCTTCATAACAATTTAATCGTTGTGCTAAATGAATTGTTTTATTTAATGCCTCATTTTTTTCACATGATCCAAGATAGGCATTAGTTGCACCAGATTGCAGAATTGCTTTACCGAATAATCCTTTTGTTAATGGTGATAGAATTAATGCCGATATTGACATTGAACCAGCCGATTCACCAAATATAGTTACACGATTTGGATCACCACCAAAATGACCAATATTATTCTGTACCCATTTAAGTGCTAAAATTTGATCATGTAATCCTTGATTTCCGGGTGCATTATCCGTACCATCATAAAGAAAACCAAATGCACCAAGACGATAATTAATTGTAACAACGATAACTTTACCCATTGAAACCATATAGCTTGGATTATAAATATCATCAAATATAGAACCGGTTATAAATGCACCACCATGAATCCAAACCATAACAGGTAAATAAATTTTTGGTGAACGTTCCGGTTTATAAACGCTAAGATATAAACAATCTTCACTCATTGTATTTGAGTTTGAAACAATTGAATGATTTTTCATTTGTTTACCCGGTTGTGGACATGTATCACGTTGTTCAATAGCATCATAAATCCCTGACCATTTTTCAACAAATTTTGATTTTTCAAATCGTTTTGCTTCACCTTTTTTTGTTTGAAACAAGACGGGATTATAATCATCGATCAGAGAGAAAAAAAAATATTTTCGACAAAAACAAACTTACCATAACGAATTCCTTGATAAATATCAACAACACTATTATCGTTTAATTGTGATCGAAATCCACGTACTAAACCGGAATCGATTTGTATGACCGGTGCATATTCAACACCGGACACAGTATAAAAACTGATGACAATAATCAAAAAACGTAACATTGTTTGTTTCTTTTTCCAACATCAAATGAAATAACGCAAATGAAATGGATGATTTTTCGCCCATTCTTTTTATATATTTTGGATTTAAAGAGAAAAAAAAATTGAACATAAATTATCCTGCAAAAAAAGAAGAAGAAGAAGAAGGGAAAAAATATTGCCTGAAACATCTTAGCAACCATAAAATTTATGGATTATTGAAATGCAAATAAAAAAAACCCTTAGCTAATTGGATAAAATTACCGTCTTAATCAGATTAGATCAATAAAAAACAAATTTTTTTTTGATTAACTTTTATTGATCTGATCTAATCTGATTAATTTAATTAAAATTTTTTAAATTTCAAATCAGTTTAAAAAAAAATTTATTCAAAATTTATAACAATTTTTTTTTATTTGAAAACAATGAATATTTGATAAAAGTGTTGGACAATTGGAGAAAAAAAAGGAATGGAAAAAAAAATTATAACATCATCATCTTGGATAAATCATTATTGGGATTAAATTAAAAAGGGAAGTAGTATATTATATCAGCATGTGGATCAATCAATCAATCAATCAATCATAAAGAAAATTGTTGTTGTTTTTTCCAAGGAGGGATGTGAAATTGGCACCAAATTTTTTTTAATTATTTGCAATTATTAATTGTTTAAGCTTTTTCAATATTGTATCAATTTTATTTTTTTTATCTCGTTCATTTTTTGATAATGCTGAAAATATTGTTTTTTTATTATCACCACGTACTAATTTTTCCAATAATATTAATGCTGTTTGTGGATTAACTCTTAAATATCTGGATTCATTTTTACCATATTCAGCAAAATAAGTACTCCATGAATCAAATTCCATAAACAGATCCATTGTTTGTCTTAGTTCAGCAAAACAAGATTGTAGTGCACCTTCTTCAAATTCTTTTACCGGTTCACTACCGGCAAACATTTCACATTGCATTAAATCTAGATTGAATTGTTGTAAAAATCCATGTGAAATAGATTTAATATCATCTTCAAGCAGTATATTTAATAAACGTGATGAAATAAATTTACAAGCAGATAAACATGCAGTTTGTGCAACTTTTGATGGTAGATTTGTGAATGCTTCGAATGTTGATTTTAAAAATGCCATTAAATCAAGAATATAACTTGATGCTTTACCCGGTGAATCGGATAACATATAATTATATGTTGCAAGTGAAAAAAATTCTTCAATCTTATTATTTAATTGTATATAGATTTGTGATTCAGCTTCTGATCTTGAATCTTTAAACATTGTACGACCTTGTAATCTAGCCAAATGTGATTGTGATGATGGTTCAGATATTGATAATGAATATTTAAGACGATTTGATGATGTAAAATTATCGGATGATTTTTCTTTTGTATTTTTACGATGAATTAATTCCGAAATAAATACTTCTAATACAATGCTTGATTCTTCCAGATAATTTGTATTAATTGATATTTGTATCAATTGTAATAAGCCTAAATTTGGTTTTTTAATCAGACTAGAAAGTGAATCGCTTAATGTTCTTGTCAATAGAAGATTTGTTGATTTTCTTACAGTATCTTCTTTATCACTATCATTTAGATTTAAATCTTCAATAAATTTTAAACAAACAATAATAAATTCTTTAACTTTTTTATAAACATGTGGTACGAATGATGAAAATGGAAATCGTTTTGGAAACATATCCAATTTTTGCATAGTATCATCATTATCTTTAAACATTTCTAATTCTTCAGCATTCAAATCATTAAAATATTCATTAAATTCACATTGATTATTCACCACTAGCGGATGATAAGTATCGGAATCGAAAATTTTTCGAAAGACTAGTGACCATTGTTTAAGAAGAATATCAGTATAAAGTTGCCGTAATTCGACCAATAATTTTATGATTGATTCAACTGAATAACCATAATTATGTGTAGTTTCACAGAATAACATTAACATATTTTTCATATATAACATTTGTTCGGAATCTTGACATAATGTAGCTTGAAAATGAATCGATTCAATTAATGATTTTATAATATCATTCCAATTTTCTTCAAGATATTCTTTCGTAACCAAACCATTCGAAGTGTTCAAAAGATGATCTTCAATGACAAAAAATCCAACAACACCGAATAGATAATTTTTAAAATTTTCACGATTAAATACATTGGTAATACTAGCTAATGATGATGGTGGAATTGAAAATGATTGTAAAATTAAACGTGCCTGTTGTTTACGTTGTTGACGATAATATGATTCAAATTGACCACGTGCACCAAGACAGCCAAAAATATGTAAACAACGATAAACCGGGCTAAAATCAACTAAATCAGTTGCACTTAATTCTTCTTGTATCATCATATAATCATCTTCATTATCCGAATTAATACCATTATTATTATCATCATGGTTTAGATGATTTAAACCATTCATTTTATCACCATTCGTTCGAATGAAATTTGTTCCCAATTTTGAGCGATCAATATTTTTATCACGATTATTTGCCATCGATAAAGTTGTTGTTGTTGTCGATAGAATCATGGCAAAATCTTTTGATTTATAACGTATGGCCGTATTTTTCATTGCAATTTCACCAATTTTAAATGTTAATTGACGAATATTTTCAAGAAAATCTTTTAAATCTTTCATAGATTCTTTTTTAATTGTTTCACGTATTTTTGGTACACGTAAAAACATTGTCTGTGCAAAACGATATTTTTTAAATTTAGGCATATATAAACGTTCGAATTGTTCCAGGGTTTTCAATGCTGAATAATATTTTTTTTCATTCATTTGTTGATCAAGTTTAGAAAATGTATCCAACATTGGTAAACATTCCTGTAGATATTCGATTGCTGTTTTTGTATTGCATAAAACACGACGATATTTTATCAATTCATCTGCTTTTCGTTGAATATTTTCCGATGATTTCAACAGTTCATTATTAATTTGATTGATTTCAGTTTTTAAATCCTGTGCTTGTGGTCGAACTTTTAACAATTCATGTATACAATCAACAAATCCTTGATAATGACAATTACACATTCGTTCAATATCTTTATCATGATTCTTGATTCGCATATCAAGTTTTTCCATAAAACGATCATGTTCATCACCATCATATATTGCTCTGTTTGAAAAAAATGAGAACAAAAAACATTCAAGATTAGTTTTCCATCATCATTTGATCAAAAAAAAAAAAAATCATTTTTCGACAAACAAAAAGAAAACCTTAAAACAAGCGCTATGGTACTAGCATCCGAAGATTCTAATTCCAATAACAGATGATCAAATTTTGTATCCGAACGAAATAATGGTTTGGAATTTGTATTCGATAATGATGATGATGATGATGTTTTCCTCGTAGTCGTCGTCGTCGACGACGTTGTTGTTGTTGCCGTAGTGTTTATCATCATTTTAATCAATCGAAAACAAAAAGAAAAAAATCGAATCAATTCACGAGGATTTTGTTCTCGAAAATTTCGAAAACGAAACCAATTTAGTTGAATTTCTTATAACTGTAAACTATCGTGTGTTTTGTGTTATAGATGTATCCATAGCATACAAGCACAGCAAAAATTGAGCAGGACATATAGTCATCATCACTATGTGTTGTGTATTTGGGATACCAAACCCAAATAACAGTAACAGAGCAACAATAACAAAACCAGGATTCAATGAAAAAAAAATATCAGCTGATTTATTTTAATTTAGAACACGCGAGTTTGGCGTCGTAAACATTCAACAGAAAAAAATATCGATATTTTCAATACTAACCTTATTGTTGAACCTAATTGAAACACTGGATCCATTTCAATTTCAGCAATATACATATCGATACGACGTTCTTTAATTTCATATTCAAAATGATCATCAACATTATTATTTTGATTATTTAAATTATTTTGATGTTGTTGTTTTGTTTTTAATTTTAAATCTCTTAAATCATTGATTGAATGTGAAAGACCTTTTTGTCGTTGTTTACGTAATAAATTCATTTGATTCATATTCATTGAAATATTTATTGGTGAAAATAATTGTTGATCAATCTTTTCATTGTTTTTTATATTGACTAGATCTTTTTTTGGCTTAATTTGTCGTTGATTATCATCATAATGTTGATGATTATTATTTATCGATTCTGATGTGGGGTGTTTCTCATTGACAACATTATTTGATCGCATTATTCGTTGATTTCGATAATGGTGATTATTGTAACGAGATGGTGAATCATTGATCGTTGTCGTTGGTGAATTATTATTATTATTTTGGATAAAATTTTTTGACAATCGAAATTGATTAATACGATTTGTTTGCGTTTGTAATGATGGACTATTATTGTTGTTGTTGTTATTGCTACCACCACCACCACCACCACGTATACTCCAACTACTTTTCGATAGAAATTTTTGATTCATTTTCAATAATGATGACATTTTTGTTGATGTTTGATGTTTGATGATGATGGTTTTTGTTGATCATTAACCAAACAAAACACAACGATGATCAATTGATTTTTCTTCCCTGAGTGAATATGTTTATTTTCAAAATCAATCAATGTTTGTTGACGTTGTTGTCAGAAATTTTCTGTTTATTTTTGGATTTTCTTTTCGTTCGTTTGTTTGTTTGACCAGTTTTCCCCGATTTTTTTTTCTTTTTTGTTGACAAAATCACAATGATGATGGTGATGAATGGATTCGAAGATGATGATGATAATGATGAAAAAAACAATGATGAAGATGAACGAAAACGATGTTCAACGTTTGTTTGTTTGTTTAGAGTTCGTAAATCCGTAAATGGCCACGAAGTTATTTGCCAAAAAAGTTTGTCTATCTCACTCTTTCATTCATTTTACTCAGAAAAGGAATGGATGAATGAAGAAAAACAAACGTTAACGAATGATTTTTAGCTCTATCGTTTACCACCACCACCACCACCATCAACTACCACGGCTACAACGAAGACTACGACGATGATCCTGAATACCATCCATGTATGACAATAACAACAACAACCACCTTTGCTAACAAAAAATCGATAAGCAGCTGAAATCAACTTGTTTTTTTTATTCGGCATTTTTTTCTTCTCACTTACATCATCACCATTCATGCATGAATGTGTGTCCTGCTTATTTTCTTCGATGTTTTTTTTTTCTTTTCTATTCGGTATATCCAGTTCATGGTAGTTTTTTTCCCAAAAAATGATCGAGAAAAAACAAAACAATGTTCAATGTAATCGATGCTAATTAATTTTTTATGCAAACAAAACCAACAGGTTTTTTTCCCAACACACAGAATTTCAGGGGGAAAAAAACATTCGAATTCAAAACATTCGATTTTTGTAATGTTTTTGTTTTTCCAAAAGATGGCGTTTACTAAATAACGGAATAAAAATAAAAGTCTCACATATGATTTTTTTTTTTTTGGATTTTCATTCGCAAAAAATTGTTTTTTGGTTGAATGAAAAGTCAGGAAAGAGCGAGTCCATTTTTATGACCAAATGTGAATCATCATTTGGAAAGAAACAAAAAAATTTCTGGTTACATCCATTATCCAAACCAAAAAAAAAAAAAAAAAATTTCAATTATTAAATC